AGACAGGATAATAAAAAGCCAAATTAGATGGCCATTCAGATTATGTAAGAACAATTTGTTACTCTCCTGATGGTACTACATTAGCATCTGCAAGTGATGATAAATCTATCCGTTTATGGGATGTTTAGACAGGATAATAAAAAGCCAAATTAGATGGCCATTCAGATTATGTAAGAACAATTTGTTACTCTCCTGATGGTACTACATTAGCATCTGCAAGTGATGATAAGTCTATCCGTTTATGGAATGTAAGGACAGGCTAATAAAAGGCAAAATTCAATCATTCAAATATTATTGATTCAGTCAATTTTTCTCCTGATGGTACTACATTAGCATTTAGTAGTAGAGATAGATCTATCCGTTTATGGGATGCTAAGACAGGATACTAAAAAGCCAATTTATTTGGTCATTTTGGAAAAGTTTATTCACTTTGCTACTCCCCTGATGGTTCTACACTAGCATTTGGTATTGATGATAAGTATATTCTTTTATGGGATGTTAAGACAAGATAATATAAAGCAAAATTAGATGGTCATTCTGAAACCGTTAATTCAATTCGCTACTCTCCTGATGGTACTACATTAGCATCTGGAAGTGATGATAAGTCTATCTGTTTATGGGATCTAACTAAAGGATATGAAAAAACCAAATTAGATGGTCATTCATATGGTGTTAATTCAATTTGTTACTCTCCTGATGGTACTACATTAGCATCTGGTAGTTCGGATAAGTCTATCCGTTTATGGGATGTTAAGACAGGATAATAAAAAGCCAAATTAGATCGTTCAGATTATGTAAGTACAATTTGTTGCTCTCCTGATGGTACTACATTAGCATCTGGAAGTGGAGGTTAGTCTATCTGTTTATGGGATGTTAAGACAGGATAATAAAAAGCCAAATTAGATCATTAGTGTTGTGTTACATTAGTCAATTTCTCTCCTGATAGTACTACTTTGGCATCCGGCAGTGATGATCAGTCTCTCCGCTTATGGGATGTAAAATCTGGACAACAAATCCTACCATCAGCTAATCGTTATAAAGATATTTTAGCTTAATTTCCACTATCACTACTTAAAAATAAAGCTCTTACAGAAAGTGGTATTTATATTTCACTATTACTTAGTTGCTTCAATTGTTACTATCCTTTCAATATCACAATATCTAATATTTTAATCTTAAGGAGCTCTAATTTTAAAAGGAGAATTTCGTAATCCATCAGACATCGATTTGAAGACATTATTTAAACAAAGAGGATGTTTTATTTTAGAGAACCAAATTGAATAATATAAACAATGAAAATTGATTAATATTAATAATCCTATAATATAATATCATATTTCAGATCAACTCTTAATAAAATGATAAAAAAACCAATACGTCGAAGTAATGAAGAAATAAATACTTTAGGTTGCAAGTTAAAATTCCAATAAACTTGAATCAACAAATTTAATCAAGGCCTTATTAAATCAGAAATAAGAAATATTGGTCAGCTTTAAGAAATTAATTTGAAGAAGGTAGTTTTATTAAACCGAAATTGACTTATGGCTCATTTGGAAATTTCCAAATTCATAAATCAGGGGGTGGTGCCTTTATAGTTTTTTCAGTCATAAATATAGTGGGGGTGCCTGTATCCCGAAAATAGTAGGGATTTCCAAAGCCTCTACTGCCGGAATACGAATCTTCATTCTTTTATGGAATGCTAAGATGGATAATAAATATTAGGATTAGAAAGACATAATGGAACGATACAGTCTGTTTGTTTCTCTTCTGATGGTACTACATGGGCCTCTGATAGTGATGGTAACTCTATTAATTTATAGGATGCTAAGACAGGATATTAAAAGGCCATATTTGAAGGTCACTCACATTAGGTTATGTCAATCAATTTCTCTGCTGATGGTACTATATTAGCATCTTNTAAAAAACACATTAGCGGATTTCAATTTTTTAGCATTAGGAATAAATAGATTTTAGCTTATGAGATAGTTTTTGGAACCATCAATGCCGTATTTACGATTCCCATTTATTATAATTATTTAAATTAATACACAAAAATTCCGAAGAAAGAAATTCTTTTATCATTTTGGATAATAGTTATACGAGCATCAAAGATTTATTGTTAGAGAATAAAAATTTGCTCTAATTTATTCATCATAATTAACCTAAAGAAAAATGATGGCCACTTTTAAAGCAATATCTCAATAAATAAGAAGATTAGTATTTTTACTTTTATTTCTAAAAAATTGAAATTTGTCACTCCAAGATCCTTAGATAAACACATCAATTCTGTATTTAAAATAGAATTGAATGAGGAAATATTCTGAATTGCATAAACTAAAATATTAAAAATGTTTCCGGATTATCTCTCAAATATATATTTAACTAAGGCTAAAAAGATTTAATGATAATAACTATATTAAAATTAAAATCAACCTTATTAATTGATATAAGAGAATGACCTCCTTAACGAACTTATGAATGTGACAATTAGAAATGGATCAAAAGTTTGAATAATTGCTTGGACTTAGAGTAATTTTGGTAAGGTCTCCTAAAAATAGATATCTTGAGCTTAACTTCTAGACTCTAATTCGCGGAATAGAAAAATGAAGGCTATCATATACTGCTTGCATAATTGACGAAACTATAGTTTAATTAAGCCTTGAGGTAGTGCTTTTAAAAGAAATTCCTGTTAGATTAGGTATCATAATTAAATAACAAAATCATCTTAAAATCTAAGTAATAAATTTAATGAAAATTTATCTTCTTAATTGAATCATGAAATCATTATTAAGATAGCTAACTAATTGTTGCCTCATCTTAATTTGAAAATAATAAGTTAGAAATTGATTCATATTAGCATATTTTACTAATCTAACCAATGAGCTGGTGCTTAACTAAATAATTTTAATCTAAACGTACTTATGAATATGATCCTCTCTCAAGAAAAAGTTTGGATCCTTTTATCGGGATGTAGGACTGTTAGTGAATTGAAGTAGATTATAAAGAAGCAGAATTTTTTATGTTGTTTTAGGATTCCTATTTATAGATTTGTTATATGCTAAAATAGCCAATAATTATAATTAATGAATTCATAAAATCAATCTAAAGTACATTCATTTTGAATTTATTCTTACACATTTAAAGCTACTTTTAAGTTCTTTTTGATGGCTTATTAAGTTGTTTCTAAGAATAGTATGTTTTTAGAATTTGTGATTTGCTCGTTAAAGTAAAATAAAAGAGATATTATCCAAAGGAAAGTTTAATTAAGAAAATATTAGTATATTAATTAGATATTTATAATATGATTTTGCTTCATAACTTTTATAGTTATTTCTCTATATAATTCTTATGATTTGACCCTTTTTCCAATGCATCTTAATATGTTTTTTTAGCTTCTTATTTGTTGTCTAGTTCAAATAGTGAATCAGCTAAAAATAAATTAAATTAAAAAAGCCTACCTTTTCGTTGTAATCTTAGAGCAGTAATGCTGATGGATAGAGCCTTGTCATAACATATTATAGCATCCTCATATTTCTTTAAATTATGTAGAGCGAAACCTCAATTATAAAATAATTTACCTTTATTACTCCATACATTATCATTTTTTGGATTAATAGAAAAAGCTTTGTCGAAGCATACAATTGCTTCTTAATAATTATTTAAATTGATTAATGAAGTACCTGAAAAATAAATTTAACTGCTAATTACCTTTATTATTCCAAACAAGATCATTATTTGGATTTATGAAAATAGCTTTGTCATAGCATTCTATAGCTTCTTAAAATATATTTAAATTTTATAATGCATTGCCTAAATAATAGTGCGTTACAGTTAATTACCCTTATTATTCCAAGCAAGATCATTTTTGGGATTTATGAAAATAGCTTTGTCGAAGCATTCAATTGACGCTTAATATTTATTTAAATTTGATAATAGATTGCCTAAAAAAGAATATCAAACAGTTAATTACCCTTATTATTCCAAGCAACATCATAATTTTTATTTATAGAAATAGCTTTGTCATAGCATTCAATTGCTTATTAATATTTGTTTAAATTTTATAATGCATTACCTGAATAATAATGTCTAAAATTTAATTACCCTTATTATTCCAAGCAACATCATAATTTGGATTTATGGTAATAGCTTTGTCAAAGCATTCAATTGCATCTTAGTATTTTTTTTAATTTTATAAAGATGTTCCTAAATATTAATGTCTTAATTTTAATTACCCTTATTGTTCCAAGCAACATAGTATTTTGGATTAATGGAAATAACTTAATCGTAGCATTCAATTGCTTCTTAATATTTATTTAATTTTTTTAACGCCGCTCCTAAGATAAATTAATTATTAAACCTTCATTTAATAATTTTTCAGCTTCTTATAAATTCAAAGGCTATTAAGAATTATTTTACAAATGTATTTCTACTAGTTTAACATCATTTTAATTACAGAATCAAATTCACCACCAACTTGATTTCTCCAGATAACATGTTCTTTATTGTATTATTAATGTTATTCAATTATATTATTTGTATTTCTTAAATAAATAAATAAATATTTTATACATCTGTAACTTTTTTTTTCTCCAGAGTAAAACTGTTTGAGTATGTGAAGTTGTGACTTAAAAGTCAAATAATCTTAATTTTTAATTTATTGGGTCATATTTTCTAATGTTGTAATTTCCTGATCAAGTTTTTTTTAAAATTATTCAAATAAATTCTCAATTCGTTTAGAGATATCTTTGAATTATTTCCTTAATTGATTATAAACTTGCTTGGATTCATTCGCAATTTAGATAATTTCAGTGAATCGAATACAATCGTTGATATGTTCTGAATGAGTAGTATTTAAACATTTATAACAATATAGGGTTGTATTCTAACAATTCTGATTCAAACAAAACCCAATAATTTCTTCATTTTCGTGTTTTAGATATTTACATTTAAAGATATCCATAAAATGCAAAAAGAAAAAATTAATTTATTATTTTTCATACTCAAATACCCTTAATTTATAATATAATATAAAATGTAATGAAATATAAATCCTTCGTTAGAAACTCCTTTCAACCAAAATGGAAAATCTGTAGACCAAAAATCCCTGAGTTTATAGAACAGAATTTTAAAAAGAATTTATCTACTTTTAGTGAATACAAACCTAACCATAGACTCTTAATTAGAATTGAAGACTTTTAGGTTCTTCAAAATTGTGAATTCAAATAATTGGCAGAAATATCTACTAGCATTCAAGAAACACTCAAAATAAATAATATTATATAATAGGAACCTACTAACCTGGTTGATCTATATTATAATAATAAAAATTTTTTGGTTGGGACAAACAATTTAAAATTTTCTATTCAATTAACAAATTGAATTTCTGACCATTTGCGATTATAAAAAAATTCCAAAGAGATCTTTTCGTAATTCTTAGTCAATACAATGAGGTTATTAAATCTATACTATCTTATAACATAAACCATAAGCACAATTTAATAAAAGAGAAAATAGAAAAAAAAACCAACATTTTTGGAATAACAGTTAAATTATAATTACAAAAAATTTAGATAAAGTGTTTAAAGTTTCTTAAGCATAGCTCTTTTCACCTGAGTCAAAATTGTTCTATACCTCCTAAAACCCTTAAGCCCTTAAATAATGAGGAATATTATTATACATGTATTAAAAATTATTAAGATTATCATAGAATAATAATTGTTTCGATGTGGCAATTAATAATTAGCTATTAATAAATTGTATCCATTCTTTTTAGAAGAAGAATTGGCTTGTAATTTATATAATTTTGGATTGTCTGGGCTCATTTTATGAAACAGTAGATTTCAGTTTTTTTGCAGTTCTTTTGACTATCTTTATCTTAAGTTCTCTTTGAAAATTATTATAATATTAAGTATTTTTCTTAGGAATAGAAATACAATTTGAATGAATGTATTACCTAATATATATATATATACTGTTTAATTTAATTGGTTCAAACCGATAAAGTACTTATTACAATATAAAGAGTTAATTATTCGCTTGATCAGCATCCCCTTAAGAGTAATGCATAATAATCCTAAAAAAATATCTTTTATTTTATAAGCCTTATGAAAAAAAATTGAAGTTCACAAATATATATGAATTACTTACTCATCATCATTAGATTAAAAAAAAATAATAAAAGATATTTATCATTTCATTTATATAATATCTTATATGATAGATATTTTCGTATTTTTATCCAACAATACTTAGTATTATCAATTATAACTCATATAACCAGAATTCTTCTTGTCTCAAAATTTAAAATGAAAAATGTTGAAATCGCCATTATTTAATTCGTTAATCAAATAGATATGATATTTTTGCATTACTAATAATAAATTCCTTTCTTTATTGGGTATTTTGGAAATCATATATCATCATCTCATTCATTATTAAAGGGATAGTTTTAATTTAGTTCTAATTAAAAATTCTATCATGTAATCTAAATATCAAAAATCTTATTTAGGCACCCAAATACTTGTTAATTGTTTGTTGAAATGCATTTATGAAACAAGATGATAAATTTTAATAATATTTTAAATATTTTTAATTATAAATGTCGAGATTTTTTATCATTAAGTTCATAACTCTTATTTTAAAGAACTTTCTAAAATAACATTTTAAGCAAGAACCTATGTAACACCTGAATAAGCCTAATTTCCTGTGGCTTATTATTTACCACCTCTTATAGAAGTGTTGAAATTGTTTACTTTTAAACTGATTTTAAACTACCTCAGCTAACTCTCCTATTAGGCTAAACTTGGATTTTGTATTTAATCAGCCAAATGTTTTAACTCCTAATGTAGACTCTCAGTAATAGTGACTGACTGATTTATTTATTATATTTAAACGATGCACCCTTCAATTTAAGTGCAAGAATTAATCACTGGGTTTTCAATTGATTAAGGCAATTTTCTTTATAAACTTTTTGATTTCTATTAAAAACTTAACACTATATATCTATTAAACAAAATTTCAAATTGCTTTAATTTTAGTAGAATCATAAGTAAATTTGCATTCGAAAATATTGAAGTTGCATCATTTATTTATTAAAGAAAATAAATTTTAATTAGAAGATTTGATAATTTTTTCTATTTCCAGAAAAATAGCTTGTTTCATTTTAGAGAAATTGGTAGTCTTGATTAGAAAATATTAAAATATTAATTCAGAATTATAGCATACATCAATTTTTCTGATAATTCATATCATTTAAAAAGAAAAATTATTTAATATATTGTTTGAAAATAATATAAAACATAATATTCATCCAGATCGAGTTGTTGTGGTTGTATTTGTGACACTACCACTTTCAAATGCTAAAGATCCTTTTACTTAATCTGGAGTATTGAAATTTCCTTCATCCAGCCCTAATGCTGATAATACAATTAAAACTATTATGCATATAAAAATTAGACCAATCAAACAGATTTGGAGTTTGTCGGTTTATACTTATCTATTAATTAATTATAAAAAGAAACTTGGTAAAATATAGTATTTTTTCAGCTGATCTTTTTAAAACAGATTAAGTGTCATTTACTGTGTTATACATTCCATCTAATTGATTAATTTGACCATCTAGTATCTCATTTATTTAATCTGCTATAGCATTAGCATCATCCACAGCTTAAGTCGCATTTTACAATGCCTTTAATGCTAAATTTTATTGATTCTATAAATACCCTTCTCCTACATTTAATTACCCATATCAACAACTTATTCTGAATAATTATCTTATTATTTTTAAGTCTATTAATTTGACCTTTCTTTAAATAGATTCTCCAGTGTCTGCACTTCATTTTTCTTAAACTATAATTCTGATTCCAATCGCTAAAATCTTTATAAAATTTATCTTAATGACTCTTTATATCTAAACTATAATATTAATATACTTTTCATTTTCAGCTTTATAAAGATAACAAATTTCAAGTTTATAGGTTTCAATATTAGTGGAAATTATATTAACTTGAGCTTGACATTTATTAATTGCAGCAGTTTTTTAATTTTATTCCTTTTTGCTTAAAGAGATTAGGTCATTTTCTAGTTTATTTAATTGTTCGTTCAGCTTAAAATCCAATTGGTCCAAAGTAGTCATATTTATATTATATTATAATGCATTTTATCTGAATTTATTTAATTCAATTATAATGTATTTTATCAGAATTTATTTATTTAAATACAAGTCATCCAATTTTTATGGAAATCAACTAAATGCTATAAAAACAGTTCCTATAAATGATATGATTTATAAAAATTAATGATAAATGAAATAAAACAGGAGGTTTAATACTTAATAACATCCTTCTATAATTATAAATATGAAAAATATCATTCAAACCTAAATAATGACTATTATGTCAAATGATGAGTGAAAATCCTCTAAATTAATCTACTAAACATTAGTTTTGTTTAAAATACGAACTAATATATAGATATCAGAAAACACTAAGTAATTAATAAATAATAACCAGAAATAATAAATTTCTCATATTATGGATAAAAATCTCAGAAAATCGCACTTACCTATGATATGGTTATTCTGAGAAAATATTGTAAGAAGGAATGCAAGAAACATATACTGTTACTATTTAGGTAGGATCAGTATTCCTTTCAATTTTGGCTATCCTCTGAATGAAAATGAAATATAAGAAAATCTAGAAATATAACTACTGTGAGAAAAAATGTAATAATAGAACATAATTAAAGGTAAAACTAAATAATTATGGTAATTGCACATATACTGTTGAAAAAATCCATAAACTGATAATCCAGTCAAATAACCACCCTCTACTTGCTTGGAAAGAAACAACTTTGATTTTGAGAGGAAAAATACTCAAAATTGAAAGACCAATCACTTTTAGTTTTGGTAAAAAGTTAACGCAGGAATAACCAATAAGGAACCGAGTTAACGTATTTAGTTTGGATAAAATTAACATTGTTAATTAAAACAAAATCTATCAGCAATGTATATCAAAAATAGTATTGATCAAGTTCAAATAATAAATTAGCCTGAGTTATTAACTCTGAAACTCCTTTAGAATATTTCAAGATTATTGAGGATGAAATTCTTCAAAATATAAATTTAAAAAAAAACCTGAATTCCTAGTTTCTTAATAGATATTGAACTAGATCACATTTTGGCTATAAATCTTTAACTCCTCATTCTAATGCTTGGCTGACTGAGCAATAATAATAAGAGAATAGAAAAAATTCTAAGTAAATGGTTTTTAGAATACTTTATTGGAAATATAGTTATATATATAGATTATGTATGATCGATATGCAAACAAATCAGGCAAATTTCTGAAAATCTCACATAAAATTTAGGTTTATTAATGAAGATATAAAATATTGACCCACTTCTTATTGAGAATTTTGAATTATATAAATTTTGATAGTTTGGGATAATTAGAACTAGCTTAAAAAATTAAAATAATAAATAAATCGTCATTTTGAGATTTTCAATCATCGATTATTATAACATACTTTACCCTGAAGTTAACAAAAAATTGTTTTTCTTGTAATGTTCTGGAGTTTGGTAATTTCATTCAACTTACATTCTACTGATTCACATATGTCTATGAGAAAATGCCTCTGTTTATTAGAAGCAAATTCACAATATTACCCCTGCAATATCTCCTCAAATACATAAGGTGTCTGTTACCATTCCCCATTTAATTTCCTTAAAATTCCCATATACCAGAAAATCGTTATGATTATTATGAACTGGAGAGTGAGAACATTATCTTTATTTGTATTTATTTGCACCATACATAATTTTATTAACTAATGAACATCAATCCAGCAAAAACATTGCATGTTACAGGTCTAATTTTACATACGTTTTTTCTGAAGTAACACAATTTAATAGATTGTCATAATCCTATCATTATTGATAATGAATAAATGGTTCAAAAAAAATAAGTTTTGCTACTTTTTTATTTTAAATTGATTTTAATGAAAGTCGCAATTTTAACCCAAAGCATCAGTTACGCAACTAAATTTATTCTAAAATCGCTGCACTACTTCCTTCTTATGCAACGTACTTCATTAGTTGTATAACACATCTTGTTTAACTCCATCGTTATTGATTATACATTAACGTACTTATCCTACATTAACTTAAATAGGTCTTAGTAATAATTCACAATTCGTGACATCTATGAATTTTTCCTCTGCTCCCCAAATCGAGACATATGTAATTTTTATTCTCCGTTTTATAATCACTGCATTCTTACATTTTTCACACACTTTGAACAATCAGAAAACACTTCAAATAAATAAACTATAATAAAGACACATTACTTGTTCAAAGGTATTAAACGGATTTTAATTATTAATCATGAATTATTTAATTGATTAGAATCTAAAACACAATAATCATTTTCCTATGTGCAAAAACCAGAAGTTTTGCATTATTTTTCACTTTAAACCTGGCCGCAATTGCATGAGTTGAAAATTCTAAACACCTTATTTAAAATAATTGATGGAACAAAAGTAGAAAGAATATATTGAAACCTTTGTTTACTTTTTTTTATTAAAAACATTAAACTCTATAATATCTTTTGAAATGTTCATCCTTTTAATTAAATTTCAATCTTTTTTTCATAGAGTTCTTAGAAAATTCAATAAACTTATTGACGGATGACTATGGCTGAATAAGATAGTTTACAATTAAGTTTGAGATTTGAAAACCTTGAAATAAATTTAATATTTAGAATATAAACCTTGATTCCTATTTTATCTTTTAGTTGATTTAAATTACTTAAAGACTTCAAGATTTCTAAAAATTTAATAATAATTGAATATTATGAATATGCAATTATTGTAATAAAAATATGAAAAACACCAACCCGAAGACTCGAACTCGGATCTTTGCCGCCCTATGGCAACGTTTTACCTCTAAACTACTTGATGTAAACTTAACTAAATAATAGGTAAAACCTTAATAGGCTCATTCTTCTTGTTAGTCATTTTTTAATCAGTTTGAATATGAAGAAATTTATTAAGCTAAAGTTTCAATTTATGATTTTTTTTTATCATAATTTCAAATTTAATGTGAAATGCGCTTTCTCGGATGTAATCAGCAACCTCACTAAGAATTTAGTAAAGTAAAAATCTATCTCAAATACCCTCTTAATTTTATGAATTTATAAATTTAAATATTTTGATTTATTCTATTTTAACAGATTATTTACATTAGTCATAAGATTATAGTAACCTTATGAAGTACTTTTTTTTTAAGTATTTCTATAATTTAACCATATATGATGTATTAAATATTTTAATCCATGAATTCTTTTCATATTAAATTTTGAGTAAAAATATTGTTAGATCCAAAAATAACCAAAACATAATTTTAGTGTTGATCTCGAGAATTGATACTTTGCAATCTCAATCACTTGTTAGTATTTCTTTTTTTATTTTATCATATTATAAAATGAATATGTGAATCAATAATACTTAGTATTTAATGTCTTTATTGAAAACAAATCAACATAATTAATGAAATCGTGTTCATATAACTATTGACTCTTTCTTAGTATTAATCGTTATTTGTATTTATTATTTAATATTAAATTTCTTTGAATTATTTATTTAAGTTACTACAAAAACTTTTATTTATTTGGTCATATATTAGCGAATGGCGATAAACCAACTATAATATTCGTGATAAACTTAATGAATTTTTTGAAAAATCATAATATAATATCATCATTAAGAATTGAAAAGATTATACAGAGCTTAAATTAAAGACATTTATGATAGCAATTCTCAAAGATTTCTGTTGAAGTAGATTATTATAATTATTTCCTATTTAAATTAATTATTTTGATTTATCTTATCCAAGTATTATTAAACTGCTCGAATTTTTGAGACACATGTCATTTATTTATCATAGTAGGTCGATCTTGTTAATTTTTCTCTTGAATTTATTAAATATAATTAAAAAAAATGACTTCGTAATTTCAAAAGCAGAATAAATTATCAATCGTATTTTAAGGCAATATAGAATTATCTTTAGATTTATTTAATAGGTCTGTTAATACATTTATTTTTCATTCTAGTCATGGAAAAAAAATTATCTACTTCTATAGACTCATTAATAACCTATTTTGTTTCTAACTATTCTATAATGATTATTAATTTACTATTATTTAAGGTAAATAAAGTTGAGAAAAATCTTTTCTAAATATATACAGAATATGTTATTTTTATTCATAATTGTTGGATTTCATTTTCTTCTATAAGACTCAAAAGCAACAGCTTGTGAAACAAAATATGTATAATCAAAAATAACTTGCCATTTCAAATAAACAGATTGTTATATACTAGAAGGTGATGAGGAAGATTACTACAAACTTAAAAGTATTGATAAAAACATTATAGAAAAATCCTTTACTATTTCTTATAAAATTGAGCCTATTTAAGTAAAAATATTCAAATTATTTGAATAAGAGATCTCAAAGAAACTAATTTGCTAATTTTTAAAAAATTAGAAATATTATATATCATGTACAACATTTGATACATTAAATTATGGTTAAAATCATCATTTATAAGAGAGTATTCGAATAGAGACAAATATTTTATCAAATGAAAATTGCGATGAAATATTTTAATTGAATGATGGAAGAATAATTATATTTTGCATGACATAGTCTCATCTAAGATAATATTCTGTAGGTCTAGATGGAGATGCAAGACTGATGCTTGAATATGAAGTCGTAGATTAAATTTAAGATTAGTGCAAGAAGACTCTGTATAATATAAAAAGGAAAAATCAATTTATAACAGCATTTTTCCAATGTTCGCGATGGAAAATATTTCTAATTAATAATCTACATATCACAATTATTTTGGAAACTAAAATGAAAGATGAATATCCATCCCTAAAATATTTTTCTAAAATAAATGATATATCAATATGCTGGTTAACAGCGCAAACACTCTACATTTTTGAAGGTAAGCATTAACTTCTTGTTAATTATGATTCAATTTATTCGTAAACTTTTACATTATCAAAGAGTGAGCATTAAATTTTAAAAATAATACTATTAAAAGTTTGTTCAAATAATATACTCATTACATATTCAAATGAGTCCAATTTCTAACCTTTTCAAAAAACAGAAAGGGAGATTATCATAAATTAAACTTTTGAAGCAGGAAATATTCATTTCTTTTCTGATTATATCTTTTTTTAAAATGAAACTTCCCTATTAATTAGGATAGATTATCATTTAATTTAAACTTATGAAATTCTAAACACAACTTTAAATTTCTTCGAATAGGATAAACTATTTTACCAAATCGATTTGTCAAATAATTTGATATAATTTTATAGATATTTTCCAATGAGTGGTTTCATTGAACCTAAAAAAAAATTTATCTACATTATTTTTAAATTAGAAGTGATTCTCCCTTAATAATTAGATTAGTGTTTCAGAATTTAATATGGAAATAAATCGAATGAAAGGATAAAACATGTAGAAGAGATCGAAATCTAGAGAAATTGTTATCTTAAGCAAGAAGTAGTATTAAATTTTAAACGATATAATTCCTATTTACAATAAGAGTTTTCTATTTAGAATAATCATAATGAGGTTATTAATTTGAGTATTTGGAATGAGGCAATGGAGGATGTGAAGTGTTACTAACGAGTAAAAAGTTATGAGTTTAAAAATAAAACCTAACTAAAATCTAAACATCATCATTATTTAGTTTTTCAGAATGACTACTTGATATATTTACATAATTGTATCCAAAACAAGATTGAAATGATCATAAACACAAATGAGTTTGAAGTATTTCGGTTTCATGAGGACTATTATCTAATTGATAAAAAGAATCAATAGTTAAAAGTGATTTCATTTGCTTTAAACCAAATAAGCTAAATTGTATTATATGATCATATAGAAATAACAAAAGCCTAATAAGTTTAGTAATAACTCTTCCTATATACGAAAAATAATACATCCCCAATAATAATTTCTAAAGTTTCATTCTTATATACTACCAATTATCTTTCTAAAGTTTATGTTTAGCCAGAATAAATTACATATTATCAAAAGCTTGGAGGTTATACATTTTTTTAATATCCTAATATTTTAGCCTATGAATTTTAGGGAGATGTTTTATGTTTTGATATTTCAAACCTCGTTATTATATCAATTAAAATATGGATAAAGAACTTGTATTAAATTATTGCAGTACAAAATGAAACTAACTCAGTCCTTCTTTATTATACTAATCTAATTGAATTACATTAAATCTACAATTATACTCTTAAAGAATATTAATTCTCAAATCCTCTAAAGTACTCTTATGCCAATTTAAAATTAGTGATTTTAACAGAGCAGCATTCAACTTTTTTTCTAGCTCTTTTCTCCCAGTCTGATGAGTCAATTACTTTGATGGATATTATCAATACTGATGATACCTATTTTGAAATTCTTGAGTATACTTTATTTTATTTGAAAAATGGGTAAATGAAGTAATATTACATGACTGGAGTGGATGCATTAATCAATACCAATATTAGTTTTCAAAAAAACATTTTTGAATATTATAATTTTACACTGAAACCAGCTTTAAAAGGTAACGATGACCTTAACCTAAAACTCAAGTTGATAAACGAATGCTATCAATTATTTTGTAGAAAAAATTCAATTTCTTTAAGGTTATAAAAGGATTAAAAATTATATCTAAAGATTCCTGAGATGTTTTATGGTCCAATAAATAATTTAACAATCCAAAGTAATCAAAATATTTATTTGAAAAATCCTTTTAATTATATATCCTAAATCAATAAATGTTATGTAGATTAATTTATTTGTATTTAAGAATTCCACTTTGAATCATAAAATTCAATATCTAAAACAGAATATCAATTTTTTGTGATCATTTTGAATAATAAAACTGTATTTCATTTATTATAGCCGCCTATAGATGATTTGCTCAATTGGATATTTTGGATATCAGATTATAATTTTATACGGCTTTATTCATAAGATAAGAGTCTATAAATTGGCTTACTATAATGCAATCTTGAGCTGAATAGAAATTGTAAAGAAATTAAGACATCGACCATAGGTATAAATCCTGTAACACCTTTAAGTTTTAGTATCATAAAAATCCAAAATTTGATTAGAATATCCAATGATGCTCAATAGATTTATTTGTATATTTGTAATTAGAATTTTACTATCATTAACATTACAGATTATAATTTGGATATTAAATACATTGAGAACTCTAAAGATTTGTTTATCGGTGTATCAAAATTTGATGAAGTAGAATAATCCTTAAGAAAATTACGAATTTATTAAATTCATTTTAATGGGTATGTAGAGATATTCTCAGATATAATCACCAAAAAAATTGAAAACCTATTACCTTTTTATAACAAATTGTTAAATATATCTTTAATTTCATGTAGGTAAACAGAAAATATAATAGTAGCTAACATTTTGGTTTAGCATCTCTATACCTTTTTTACGGTCAAGATTTAGATTGATATTTAAAATGGATTTTTTATTTCTTTTGATTTGTAAAAACAGATTAGAAACCAGCTATGGGATTCAAATTTCATCATCAACTATTTAGATGACGACTATTTAATTTTGAACTCGATTTCGGCTGATGCCACCATTTTATTTGATTTATCAGAGGAAAGATTATTTTATGATTATTGCTATCTCCAAAATAATCATATATAAATCACAAGAGTCAATACTACACATTTTATTTTTAGGAATAACTCAACGATTCATATAGGGATGATATAAAATTATGAGATCGATCTAAGAGAAATTGATGATAAAAATTTCAACTTTATCTTAAATGCCTAAAATCAAATATCTGAAGCTTAAATTTCAATTCATGTAGAAGTAACTTCAGACGGTTAAGATAAGAGCATTATACTGATTTAACTCATCAATATGATTTTTATTCTATTGTAATTAAGACTTGGGTAGAGTTTAAATAGATAAAAGAAATAAACAACATTAAGAATTTAATAATAAAATTATATAATATGAAATAATTACATTTTAAAGTTTATTTTTTAATCCTTTCAAATTTAGATCAAAGATTAATTATTCTAAATTTCACTGAATTGTCAATTCTCTATTACTCAAATTAATATAAATTCACCAATCATGATTATTTTTACTTTAGCTATTAGAATATGTTGACATTGAATTAGCATTGACATTTATAAGTTTATATCATCACTTTTAAGTCTTTACATAATATATAATTCTATTAGTTAAATGATTAAATGGAGGGCAACGATAATTTCCATGTTTTTAATTTTACTAATCAAGAGAATTATGAATATCATTAACAAATATTTTGTTTAATTTAAATTAAAACTATATTTATTATATGTTTAAAAACAGTTTTAGATTCTAATCAACAGCATATATATTTTCTAAATAATTTATGGTCCCATTGAAGTATAGTGCTCATATTAATAGCCATTGCTGTTTAATAAATTATGCATTACAATGATCAACTTTATGAAAGGAGACTCAGGAATATTTATCTTAAATACATTCTCTGCGATATCTATCATTAATGAAGCATATTATTGTTATTAGAGGATGATCTTGGATAGATTTTAATTCTTAATTATTGCGAACTGTAATTTTGAAGTTTTTGTAATTTAGCAAATAATAAATATTAATTTTATTTTCACTAATCATCCATTAGTGTTATATTTTTTGTTTTCTTAGTTTGAAATTAAAAGGGATTTATTTATTCTTTCTACGCAGGTATGCAAAATGATTGAAAGATTTTATCTAATGGGAGATATCTTAAGTTCTGCAAATATTGATTTACTTAATTCTCCTAAATTATTCTTTCTAAAATTGATTGGAGTGAAATATCAAGATTCATTCATTTATAATTATTAGTTACTTCAATAACCTTTGATTTTAGTCGTTGATTTTTATTCGTCTCTTTCAATCCATTTCTTAGCCGTTTTCTTATTCTAAGCAAATATTCATTAATTTTGATTTTCTTGTCCTGTATGTTATTCTTCTTTTATATTTAGACAACCTAAAGGGCTTATCTTGATACCTTTTCAATAGGTTTTTGATTATCAAAAGTATTGAATCTAACCATTCTAAAAAAAGCTGGATATAATTTTAACCATAAAGCAAAGGATATTGTTATTTGGATCATTAAGATTTATAATATTTGAATATCTTTAGCTTATGAAGCTTTTAAGTAACAAGGAGTTGTATAACCTTAGCTTGATAATGTATGAGCTTTCAAAATAAATTTTTATTACATAGTATTGTAGTTAAACTGATACGATTATATTAGATAGGATGTATAGACCTTAGATTTAATAGAAATATTAAACAAAACTTTTTATTTCAGTCCCCTTTCAATTTCAATATCTTAGATTTCAAATTATACTAAGTATCTAAGCTTCTCGTAATTAATAAAATAAGGCAAAGTAATTATAAGTTTTTGAGTTTATTGTATTTGTGTGAAATATTTTAATTAAAAAAATGAGTAATTTTTTCGGAAATCTAATAGGATCTCTCTTAGGAGAAAATAAACAACATCAAATAATAGATATAGGTCAATAACTTGAAACAGAAATTCATGATTTCAAGTAGCATTTAATAAGTGATGTTGAGTTGCTAATAACTTTGGATAAATATATAATTGTGGTTTTATTGTTTTTAGGGCTCTTAAGTCTCATTATTCTAGGATTTCTTATTTCATTGTTGAAAGCACAAAAACCACATCTGAATGGATATTATTAACTTCCAGTTTAAGATTAATTGGATAGTAAAAAATGAGTGAGCAATTTGATTATAAAAAAGATATTGATAAATTTATTATAGAAATGTTTATGGTTCACACTAACCTTTAAACAATTTCTCTTAATATTCGACTCTAAAATTTTAATAATTAATATTTCTATTAAACTAATGTAAATTATACGATATTTTTATTAATATTATGAAACTTTGGAAGATTAAGTTAAAAGGATATTTTACTTTAAATTTCTATGCAAATTTAAATTCAATTGAATAAATCTTTCATTGTATCAATAAATTGGTTAAGTATTATAAGATCAATTTTCTCCATCTTAAATTTGAAATATAAAATCCTTTCTAATCATTACAATCAGAGATTCAAAGTAGTAACAATGAAGTGGGCAAAAAAATTCGAATTCAATTGTTAAAATGTATTTTTATTTACTTTAAGTCTTTAACTATTTTAATTCAAAAATTCTGCAATTTTCTATGTTATACTGAATTTTAATAAGTACTTTAATAAATGGACTGGACTATCTTAAGCTTTATTAATGAATTTGAATTGTTATTGAATAAAATTGGTTAATCTTTGTCTGCTAGACTCTTTTATTTAATACATCTTTATTATAAAATATGTTTTATAATATTAGCTCTCATTCCTAAATATATTGTTTGATAGAATTTTATCTCAGAAGATCTTGTAATAATTGGCGAACTCTACTTTGTTACTAGAATTTAACAAATATGTAGGCAATAATTATAAACCTATCTAAATAGTCTTTTGATAAATTATAAACTTTCTTTTAAAGTAATTATAATATTATTTCTAATAATCATATGATTTTATCTATTTCTATTTATTCTCAAAACCAATACTTGAATTTAATGAGATGAATAATTGAATAGCCTAGTAGTATTTTTGTATTTTTAATTGATTAGATTTTACCAAAAATAAATTGTATGAGATTTCTTTCAAAGAATAAACAAAAATCCAATCATTTTTTAGCTATGAAAACCTTTTCAGACACTATTTAATTAAATTTAATTTATTCTTAAAAAATAGTTTGATAAATTAAATTAGATAGTCACCTAAAAATAAGAATGGTAAAACTAAAGATTTTATAAAAACAAATCAAAATCATACATTTAGCATCAAGGCCTAGGTTATTACTAAACGAAAATAGTTTTTGAACTTTAATTTCATCATTAAAAACAGATGCATTCTTAATTCAATTTACTCTTCAATTGTCTTCTATTCTATTGTTTCTTTAATAATAATAATACAATAAGTAGACTACCAAGAATTATTTTCAAAATAATTAACTCATCAGAATGATAAAATACATCTTCAATATTTTAATTTTTCCATCCAAATTTCGGATGCATCTGTTTTACAAGGAAGATTTTGTTTTATGACAGCATTAACTTTTAGGCATAGCTAAGGTTGATTGTTAAATTAAACTCTGAAAATCCTTGATTAATATTTTTATATGATATTTGTTATTTTCTTCATCGTTTTGGTGCATAAAGCTAATGCGTATGAAATAAAGGAAATGGATTCTTTTTATTAATTTTCATCGGAGACAATAGATTTGAACGAAATTGTTGGGAGTGATGAAATCTCATATGGATATGGAGTCTGGTCAAAATATAATCCTTTGAGTACAATTTCTTAAGTTGGAACAATTGGTTTGTTTGATAGTGATTGTTTTCATATACACAATGCTGTGGATTAACAATCTTAGAGTTTGAACTTTATTTACTATGATTGCCTGGATTACTCATCTTTGAAAATTGTTAAGACAATAACATTCATAGATGAGGTTGGAGAATAGCATAATTTCGAAGTGAATATAGATAGCTTTTAGTATGAAAATGTTTGGTTTTACTTTTAAATATAATAATGGCCTAAATTGAAGATATTTGAGTTAATGATAATCTAATTAGAAATAGTGACGATGAAGAGGAGGTTGCCAATAGCACGTCCTTTCAATGATGATAAAATAATTATAACTTTTGGCGGAGGACTGTAAGTACAGAAATCTTTGATCACAACATTTGAATTGGGAAAAAAGTTTTCATACTTTCCTGGTAGAATGATTTTGGCGAAATTTGCTGTTGTCCAATAATCTCCTGATTTAGACTACGAAACTATAAGTCTAGATGCTTTTTCGACATATCGAGTTTGTGTATGCTAGGACAGTAAGGGAATGAAGATAAATGATATTGATTTGAAATATATGGACAAATTGGCTTATTTGTCGAATTTGGTTAACTGCAATAGTTATGGTTTTTCTGGATGGTTCAAAATTGCAGAGATTGTCCAAATATCAGAAAAATTGGAATATAAGTTTTTCAAGCTATCATAAAACTTTGAAGATTAACTATCTGACGCCAATCTATCACCATTTTAATTAGTTTACAAAATTTCTCCTTTTGGGAATTAAATAATTACAACTACATATAGCTATCCTTTCCCTTTAATCAATCTAAATTTTGATACAAATCCTTTTTTAATAACCAATTATTTTGAGATTACAAATTTATTATCACTTTGGAATTTTGTAAGCATTCAATTGATAGAAAGAACCTTTGAGATTATGATAATGAGTTATAAAGGGAATGATATTACTTAATTTTCAGCCAAGCATGATGTATATCAATTTAACAATGTTAGATTAAAATTACATTATGGTAACATTGAATAAAATTCAAAGGATTACCTAAATATTTAATATAAAAACCTAGTGTTATACAATTGCGAACATATTATCGATCTAAAATATTGCCATTACACTTGTGGAACTTGTGATGGGCCAACTAAATATGATTGTTTAACCTGTTCAGCTGAATCTAAAAGAATATATCTACCTGAACACAAAGTTTGTATTTGTCCTCGTAATACTATTGATGATAAAACTTGTAAGTCATACCAAGATATGTAATTAACCTTAGTAGATGGCGATATTAAGACTACAAACAATTGCTAATACGGATATTATGAATATTAAGGGGATTGTCTTAAATGGTACTTATATAAACTATTACTCTAGTCCATCTATTGTTAGAGATAGAGAACTCTTTTGTATTGAATGCTTAGAGAACCCTAAAAAATGGACTAGTAATGCCTTTTGCCTTAACAATCTATATTACAATAATGAAGGAGATACTTAAATATTAACTTGGCAGAGTGATTAATACTTTCTATTTGATGGTGAGGATCTCAATGGTTGTGACATTTGCAATGAAAGCCACAATTTTGTTGTTGATGAGTATGAAATTGATGAAGAGATTGAAAATTCATCAACTTCAAAATATATGTGTAGAGATACTGATTATAAATGTGCTTACTGTATCTAGACTGTAAGCGAGAAAATTTGTTTAAGATGCAATATAGGTTACATCATGATAAACCAGATATGTACCGAAAATTAATATGATAAACTTTCATGCAATTTAGGATAATATTTGACATCGAGGAGATCCTGCTAAGATTGTCCAATTAAAAATTGTAAATATTGTTTCGAGTATCAAAACGACTTTAGTAAATGCACTCTATATAAAAATTTTGAGGCTTTTAATTTTGACGAGGAGATAAAGGTTGGATGTGCACTTTGCGAGGAAAATTATCTATTTGATTTTACTTTGGGTTTATGCATTTAAAGATAACCCTCAGATCAATTATGCAAGCGTTCCTTTGTTGATTTAAATGGAAATGAAATTTGTACACTCGCAGCAATTGATGATTTTAGTATTGCACCGTAAATTATTAATTGCCAAAAGCATTAACCTAATTGCTTATAATGCACAAGATTTCCTTAATTTATCATCAAATGCATTGTTTGTGAATTAGGTTACACAGCCTCTGTCATCAATGGAGGTTGTTATCTAAGTGGAGGAATAGATACATATGCTAAGGTTTTAATAGAAGGGGATTATACATTATAAGATGGATCGGTTTAAACTATTCAAAGCTTTATGATGAAACTCTTACCGAAGTCTTATTTTTATCCAGCCACAGATCTAACTGCCATTAGTACGGAATAAATAATTGAATGCATCGAAGGATACTAACTAAATATATTTGGATACTGCCATAAATCATGCTCTTCTGAATGCCGAGTTTGTAATGAAGATTCGTTGAATTAATTCTTTTGTTAAAAATGTCCTTTAAATTATTACTTTGAGCCTATTAGAAATCAAGAGGAAGGATAGTGTTTTGAATGCACATAGCTGTGTAACATCTGTCGAGCACGTTCAACTGAAGAAATATATGTAATTATAGATTTAAATATATGTTTAGATTTTATAACCAACCTACAAAATAAAAGATGAAAATCTTGTTTACACAACAAAGTGTCTAAAACCAATCAACGATCCTAATGTCTATCTCGATACTTATGATTAAATAGCCAAGCATTGTTTAGATGATATCTAGTGTAAACCTTAATTACAGTTTACGTATGATTTTGATTATTGCGAGAATGTTGATTCAATGTGGGAAAACAATATCAACATAAATTATAGCAATCAAATGGGTGTAGATACAATAGTTGTTAAATTTAATATTCTCGTAAGTGATATATAATCCTGTCATTTTGACGGTTTTATTGTTAAAAACACTTTAAAATCTAAAATATTCCCCTTAAGAAATCTTTACTTTAAATTTGGTTCTGATGAAACATTGGTATTTACTACTTCAGATCACATTAAAATATCAAATTTTGACAGACTTGAAATATACAATATCGCTTATTGGAGAAGTGAAGAGACTAACTTTATTATGAAAAATAATCTATAATAAATTGATCTACATTTAAGAAATTTTAAAATTGTTGATAGTGAAATTGTCAACACTTAAGCCATTTTTTAAACTGATCTGTTTGGAAGAATTTATTTTGATTCATTTGAAATTTTTAATTCAACATTTCAGAATTCATCACTCCTTGATTTTGAAAAATTTCCAATTAGTGGAGATATAGAAATTAATAAAATTATAATTAGAAATTGTACAATCAATTAATCAGACATTTTTAATTTTAAAATGAACTAAGGGTCTATCTCCATTGTTAATCTAATATTAGAAGAATCGTATCTATATAACTCTACTATCTTTTCGATAAATTCAAATAATGCAAATGTAAAATTTACGAATTTTTAAATTAATGGCAATTCTTTTTTTTAATCTAGGTTTTAAAAAAGTAGCCTCTCATTTAATCAGGAATTGAATGATATTTAAATTTACGAAAATTTTTTCTCAAATTCAGAGGCTTTTGAAATAAATTACAATATCACAATGTCTGATTTGCTCATATCTAAAAATACTTTTGAAAACTCAACTCTATTTTTCACATCAGAAACTCTGTTTACTTTTAAACTCTATTAAAAAATCAACTAACTTTAAGCTAAGTTTAACACTTTCATAAGTTCAAATATTTGGAGAGTTCAGTCAAGCTTAGAAACCAGCAATTTGATCTTAAGCCTTGATTAAATTATTCTTTAGGATATGGATAGTATTGACCAATTGCATTATTTGTTCAAATTTAAATGCCATCAGCTTTTCTTAAATGATGTTTCAATAAATAATCTAAATAACATTTTTATCTTCTACATTTATTAAAGTAATTAGATCTTTGTTGAGAATATCTAATATTAAGGTTCTCAAAATTAGTATAAGATTCCACTAATATAGTCTTGTTAGGAAATTCCAAGTAAAAAAACTAAACTGTTGAAAATAATGGGTTTTTCACAGGTCAACATTATTAAGGTTAGGATATCTAATATATTTAACATTGACGAATCAAACATAGAAATTAATTCTAATAATGAAGATTTAAGCACAACTTTAAATTAGATATAAATATAAGACATTTAATTTATAGAGAATATTGTAGTCTTAATAAATTAGGTCGAATTCACTTCTCTATTAAAGATTAACTCTGAAAAACAATTAAATATCATTATAAATGATATTCATTATATAGAAAACATATTTCATTCTTTCGCAGGAAGTGTTTTTAAATCCTATGCTAGTTTGATTTTTTTCAATTGTAAAATTTGCAATGTCAGAATAAATAATTATCTCTCTAAATTTAATGTATTCACAAATTCATCTAATTCATTTGTGTATATCAATTCCAATATAATAAATTTTAACAACTATTCTGTCCAGAATCACAACCTACTTCCTTAAAGCGTATGGGAAAAATACTTCGAATTACAATTAGACAAGTCATATAATTAAGAGGAACTAAAATAAATCATTTAATAGATCTTGTTTATAAAAAACATAGGTGGGGCAGCATAATTAACAACAGCTAATTTTCATTGTCTTAATTGTAGTTTTATGAATATTAGAGCATATAAAAGTTCTGTTTTTGAAATAATTACAGAGGAGGAAGGTGTAATCAAATTGATAGATACGTACATATCTGAAACAGAACATAATCTTGAACAATTTGCTAACAGTTCAGGATGTATAAGCATTTACTCATAAAATAGTTTGTTAAATTTGATAATAACTAATTCTCATTTTTCTCAAGTAATTAGCAGAATGGCTCCATCAATCCTTAGTATCATTCCTTCAAATATTGAAAATTTAATATCAATAGTTAGTGTTAACATCAGAAATTGTTTATCTTTAATTAATTCCTTCATGAAAATATCATTCGCAAACAAAATAGCTCAATAGAATAAAATTCAAATTATGAATCTAACTATAACCCAAGATGAAGGAAATTGGATCAGTTATTTTTATAAAATTGAACCCTTAACAAACTCTGAAATTGAAGAGATAATAAATGAAAAGAATGCTTTAATGTATTTTGAAAGTTGTTCAGCTAATATTTAAGGTCTAGTAATTTCAGGGTTATATTTATTTCCAGTCATTAAAGCTTTAGATATCCCCTCCTTCAAATTATACAATTGCAAGATTGATTAAATTTAACTATTTTACTCATTTGATATTATTGAAATCGAATCAATTCTTCAAAACTAAAATGTTGTATTTATATAATCCTTAAGTATAACGAACACTTATACTTATTAAGCACTTTTGACTTAGGTGCTGAATACCAAAGTTTTAAAGATTTACTTGAATTGTGTGGCAATTGACATATACACTGAAGAAAAATTTTAAACTTTTTTTGATATTCAAAGTTCTTTTTAACAAAAGTCCTAAAATACTTCATCATATGTTTACATTAAAAGCATTTAAGAAAATTCTATCTTTACCTTTAATCTGATTAAGATACAAAACAATAATTGTTCTTCATGTAATGGTTTGATGTATTTTAACTTTCTTAAAAGTTAAACACTTAGGATAACTGATTTTGAATGTATTTCCAACATAATTTCAAATTATGGATGCATCAATCTAATTCATTCAACTCAATAATCAAAACAGGTTAAATTAATTCATTCAAGTTTTATGAACAACAATGGTAGCCAAGGAGTTGCAATTACTTCTATTGGAGCTGCTATTTTATTACAAAATTGTTTAATCATAAATAATACTGCCAGAGAAAAAGGGGGAGGTCTTTACTTTGAAATGAAAAATAGCTCTTTTATAATAAAATCGTCAATAATTATACAGAATAGAGCTTTGGAAGGAGGAGGATTGTATTTGGAAGGAAATCAAAGCTTAAGTCTTAATAATTTTATTTCAACTTTATTATTATATAATTCTGCCAAATATTGTGGGAATAACCTTATAGAAAGTCCATCAAAATTAGTTCTAACTATCAATCAAGTATAAATGAAATCAGCTAACTTTATATTGAATAATATGACATAAGCCAAAATACTGTAATTAAAACCATATATAACAGTTGAATAAGAAAAAATAGTTAGGAGTGAGTATCTGAAAATCCCAAGTAACCAAGTTATAATGGATTATAATATTATAATACCCAAAATATCCTTTTCCCAAATATTATTCTCAGATCTTAGCTTATATTTTTCAAATAGTATGGATGAACAGCTTTATCACCTACCAAATTCAACATGTAATGTTAGTTAATAAATTATAACTAACTAAGAAATATAAAATAGTACAAATCTAGGCTAATTAGATTATAATACAAAATCTAATAATTTTGATTTAAGATATTTGTCACTTCATTTCAACCCTAATTTATAAAAGCAAAGTCATTTATAAATCATAATATAATGCAATCCTTAAGATCATTCTAAATAATTGTATTACGTTATATAAGCACAATCTTATAAATGCTAATTAGGGGAATTTTATGTCGATGATGGTTGTCAATCATGTTAATCAATTTAAGGGTTTTACTCTGTTACATATAATGTGACTAAATGTTCTATATTTGATAAATCAAAATACTTGTCAATTACATCAAATCAACTGAATTTGTAAGAGGGATATTGGAGACCTCATTATCTATCCGATTACACTACTTAATGTTTTAAGAACACTCAAAATTGTAAGGGTGGTTGGCTTGTAGGTGATGAAATTTGCCTTCAAGGACACATTGGAGCATTGTGTGAAGAATGTGATATTTATAATATTCGAGGTGATGGAAAATACTTTAAGAACTCTGAGATATTATAGTGTCTATCTTGTTTTGGGATATCTGATAGTATAATACCATTTGTTATGAATACTGTTTGGTATAAATATATATATATATTTAGGGCTGTGTTATCGATTGTTTTGACTTTAATTAGTCTCAATAAATCAAATGATTTATTTGTTTTATTAAGAGTTAAACAAAGATAGAGTCAAATCATTTACAAGTTAACTTAAGGTATTTAATTAGTTAAAATTAGATTTTGAAAGCATTTTCATTAAAATGATGCTGAATTACTTTTGGATATTTTCCTTAATTTTTACATTTAATATTAGTTTCTCTTTCTCTTTTAACTTCATAGATAAAGCTAGCAATACTACTTATTCAATGGCAAATAATTTAGATTGCTATTTATCAGATTTATCTGGCACTGAACTTCTTTATTTGAAAGTCTTTGTAATTTTGGTGTTAATATTTTGGCAATTTGTGATAATTCTGTTAATATTTGTTGCCTATAGTTTCTTCAATAAAGAAACTTTTAAATTTCGAATAGTCTCCAATATCTTACTTTGTTTATACATTCTAAATTACTCAGGCTTAATAAAATTGTAAAATATCAATGATAATAATGAAGATTAGGTTCTATAATTTCCCTCAGAGAGATATCAGACTAAATTTATATTTAGGGCGATGTTTCATTATTCTACAATACTTAAAGTCATTTCAATTGGATGATATTTTTCATGATCCCATTCTTGGTGATATTTGGCGGACTGATTCCTTTAGCACTTTTCTTGTTGATAGTATTGAAGAAAGAGAAAATGAGCTAAGGGCAATGGAGAGGTCACATTTGCTATTTATTTAATGAATACGAGAAGGAGTGCTATTATTGGGAAGAAATTAAACTGTTAAAAAAAGCAGTTATGATATTAATCTTGACTTATTTTGAGACTAATATATGGATTAAGGCATCCCTCCTAGGACTTTGCTTATTGTTGTATTAAGTATTAACTGTGAACAACAGACCTTATGTTATATCCAAATTAAATCACTTAGATTTGCAAAGTGGATAAATTTGCTCTATCTCTATATTTTTAGCAACAACTAAATATTTCTGTGAAGGGTAGAATATTCCTATTACTTCTATGATACTTTAAGTTATATTGACCATACTTTTTATACTCCTCTCATATCCATTTATTGCATCCATCCTAAAAATTTACAATAAAAAATATAAAATTCTTTTTTTGACTTATTTTGAATTACTATTGAAAAAGTTAAAAATAAAACTACTTTAAATGGAAATTTCTAGATTGTTGCAATAAGAAGTAGAAAAACAACAAAAATTACAACATCATTTGAAAAAATTAAGAAAATATTTAATGAGCATTTCCAAAGCTTAAATAATAAATAGACAGTAACATTATTCTCTATACTTTTAGGTTAACACATATCTCTAAGGACAAAAGAATGAATACTCAATAGAATATTCTAAGTACTGAGCTTGTAGGATAATCTAATAACCTTATTATATTAGATAGATAAAATATATGATACAATTATTACCAAAAGTTGATTTATCATATAATTTTTTTTATTTGAATAGGATAAAATATATATATTTATATAATTAGTTAAAATATCAATTAAGTGACTTCTTTAGCTTAGAAAATTTTCATTAGTATAATCCCAAAAGTTAAATTTTTCAAGTTAAGAAACAATGTGTTTATCAATTATGAATTCATAATGTTTAAATTTCATCCAAGTATTGAACAGATTCAATAATTTCAGATATTATCTTTTATTAAATTTTTTAAAGATTATTTGGAACTTTATAAATTGTCATATTCTTTTATCTAGTGATTTTGTTTAAATTTATTGAAAAAAAAATAAAGTGAATAAATTTGAATCAATCATTTGACACTGAGGCAGTTGAGCGCTTGCCTAAATAAATAAATTAAATCTGTGGAGACATTGAGGAAAGGAAACATAGAGGTGCCTGATTGTATATCAGCATAAAGGTCTAACTGATACTTACTATTGTCATTTTCCACGCCTAAAACAATGTTTTTGTTTTAAAGGAATCAGCAATGAGCTACCTTCATTTTGCATTTTTAATCTATTCCAAAGTTTGTCCATAGTTGCTGAGGGAAAAAATTAAATATGGTTTAAGCACTGATCTTCAACCCTAATGGTTATTGACAGATTAGAAGCACGGCCATACCTACGAAACGGTAATGGTGCCCAATTTGAAGATTTTATATAAGTAGGGGTACGCATTACCTATGCCGATTCTAATTTATAAAAAAATTTATTTTTTTTTAATTTTTCTCTCGTTAAGCCAGTCTATGCTCTCCAGTAATGGCCCTATCCACTATTAGATTATCTCAGTAAATGAGGAAATTATATTTCCGATACATCATTGACAAATTCTATTTTTTATTTATATTTAGAAACTACATATAGTTAAATCAATTAGTTACTTATCTAGAAAAAAAATATTTTACAATTGATACTAATATTGTAGAGTAATATGAATAAATTAAGGTACATATTACTTTACGAAATATCATATGTCAAAATATGTTCTTAAGTTCCTTATCTTGAATTCATTTTGATGTTTACTCTTCTGGAAAATCTAGTCTCACATGAGACAGTTAGACTCGATTAATATATCCAAAAATCGCAGTTTTTCTTTCAACAATAGCTAAATCAAATAAAGGATTCTTCTCTTTAATCTTGAAGCACTTTTGCCATCCTTATGTTTTATTAGACTATGCTAAAAATTTATGATAAATTATTCTAATGAACTCTTTCAATTAAGAGTAGTAGAGCTGGTAACTTGGAATAAACTTAGATATTTAAAAATTAATAGATAAAACACAAAAAAAAAACAAAAAAAATAATTGTTATTCCAGCAAATAAATAATTGATAGGATCTTTAGTGTTTTAGAAAAATAAAATTAATATTTATCCAATTACTCCTTTTATTAGATTTCGAATCTTAGGATTAGCTCTTCTTACTCATCTCAGATATCTTCCTCAACCTCATTTGCAAATGCCTTTATTTTTCCCATTTCAATTTTAAAACGTCTGTATTGGCTAAAAAAAACTTACTATATATTAATAGGATACAATGTGATACCCAAATGCTTATTCGTATTTATTTGATTTTGCTCATATAACTTATAGAGAAAATCATATTTTATTCAGAAATTATATATTGTTGGATCTTACTTCTACCTTTATTTTTGAGACGATAATAATAAATTAAGAAAGGAATATTTCATATTTGTAGCAAATGTGGTTAGAAAAAATTAATGAAAGACAGAATATATCACTCAGAGTCATACTCATTAAATTTTAATAATCATATAAAAAATTGATTATTATTACAACACAATTCTAAATATGTAAATATAAAACTTTAATACCTGTTTACTATTAATTTTTATTCTTCTATTTTCTACCTCACTTATATGAAACTATAATAGAGTAATCAAATTAATTAGAATAAAAACGATAATACACATGAAATTCAACTTTATTATAACTATTCTAAGTGATCTAGAACATCTACAAATTGAAGATTGTTTAAAATTAGATTNTTTATATTTAGAAACTACATATAGTTAAATCAATTAGTTACTTATCTAGAAAAAAAATATTTTACAATTGATACTAATATTGTAGAGTAATATGAATAAATTAAGGTACATATTACTTTACGAAATATCATATGTCAAAATATGTTCTTAAGTTCCTTATCTTGAATTCATTTTGATGTTTACTCTTCTGGAAAATCTAGTCTCACATGAGACAGTTAGACTCGATTAATATATCCAAAAATCGCAGTTTTTCTTTCAACAATAGCTAAATCAAATAAAGGATTCTTCTCTTTAATCTTGAAGCACTTTTGCCATCCTTATGTTTTATTAGACTATGCTAAAAATTTATGATAAATTATTCTAATGAACTCTTTCAATTAAGAGTAGTAGAGCTGGTAACTTGGAATAAACTTAGATATTTAAAAATTAATAGATAAAACACAAAAAAAAAACAAAAAAAATAATTGTTATTCCAGCAAATAAATAATTGATAGGATCTTTAGTGTTTTAGAAAAATAAAATTAATATTTATCCAATTACTCCTTTTATTAGATTTCGAATCTTAGGATTAGCTCTTCTTACTCATCTCAGATATCTTCCTCAACCTCATTTGCAAATGCCTTTATTTTTCCCATTTCAATTTTAAAACGTCTGTATTGGCTAAAAAAAACTTACTATATATTAATAGGATACAATGTGATACCCAAATGCTTATTCGTATTTATTTGATTTTGCTCATATAACTTATAGAGAAAATCATATTTTATTCAGAAATTATATATTGTTGGATCTTACTTCTACCTTTATTTTTGAGACGATAATAATAAATTAAGAAAGGAATATTTCATATTTGTAGCAAATGTGGTTAGAAAAAATTAATGAAAGACAGAATATATCACTCAGAGTCATACTCATTAAATTTTAATAATCATATAAAAAATTGATTATTATTACAACACAATTCTAAATATGTAAATATAAAACTTTAATACCTGTTTACTATTAATTTTTATTCTTCTATTTTCTACCTCACTTATATGAAACTATAATAGAGTAATCAAATTAATTAGAATAAAAACGATAATACACATGAAATTCAACTTTATTATAACTATTCTAAGTGATCTAGAACATCTACAAATTGAAGATTGTTTAAAATTAGATTGTTAGCCTAAGTAGTAGCTTATTGATAATAAATAAGACTGTAGTCAATTCATAAAAAAAATTTAAAATTCTTTCCCTTTGCAATAAAATTGCGTATTTCCCATATCATCAACTAGTTATGTAAATGAATCTTCGTACCTAAAATAGACTCTTTCTCAATAATTTTAAGGTAATTTGTAGATACTTTCTAACATCTCTTCCAAACAAATTACACTTTAACATAACTCAATTATATATTTTTAGTAAGATCTTATATTGATCTTGATTAATTTAAATATTCAAACTAATATTATTACTGACAAATATAATAGGAGTAGTTTAAACTGTTTAGATTAATACAATATGTAATATATTAACTCATCTTCATTAAATTCTGAAATAATTCATGGTATTTGTTATAGTGGTCAGAATGATGTTTGAATTACATACTATCATTATCTTATTTATTATTCTTTTCTTTTATTCTCCAAAATACCGTTGAATAAAGAAACTCTTTCTCTGCGTTTTTTAAAGTTCACTTGAATTAAAGTCCATTATCCATATCATTTATCTTAATCAAATCTCACAATGAACAGTTTATTCTCCTCTTAATATCATACAATACACTTTATTTGTCCTTTTTATAATACTCTGATGTTATTATGAATTGGTTTTAAAATTAGAGTATGCCTATAAAACGATGCAAAGTTATTGGTATAAAGATAAATAACTTTTATTATTTGAATGGTGTTCATTTCTCGATTAAAGTAATTTATTAATTCAATTATTTAAGAATCCTTATGCAGAGAATTCTTTGAGTCTCCAATTAATAATGATGTTTTAGGTTTTTTAATAACAATTGCGTAAGATCTTTAATAATGTTTGCTATGTAATTACTAAAATAATCGTCTTAGAAAGATTTATAAAAGGAATATAATTGGAATTATTTGGCTCAAAAATTAAAAATCAGCTCTTTAGAATTTGTAGATTTTTATTTTTTTAATTTACTTTTGGGGTAAGGTTCGATTATTTAATGATCAATACTTCATCTGCAGATGTTAAGTTAGAGGAAAAAATAAGAAATCACTACTTAAATACATTGTTTTACAATAATGTAAAACTTAGCATTAATTAAGTTGAACTTTACTCAAGATGAATGGATTTAGAAATGGTTAGTTAATATCATCTCTCAAAATATCATAATCTCAAGTAATTATTCAAATTTTCTTCAATATAATAAATATTTTAATTAAAATGTATAAACCATAAATGATAGAAAAAGAGAAAGATTTTAATTGTTCCATGAAACATTAACTACCAATCACTATGGTTGTTCTAGATCATAAATTTGAAATTAATAATAGATTCTTATGTCATCAATGTCTTGAGTATTTTGAGTCAGATGTGAAGATGGTAGGATTTAAGAAACTCATCTAAACGATAGAAGATAATAAGAAGAAATAACTAGAACACTTGGAAAATATGATTGCACCAATTATAACAAAAGTTTAGTCAATTTAAGGTCATATAACTAATTTGAAGTCTTTTCTTGTATTATAATTGGATTAAGTAATGGACAACACAAAGGATTGGATATCAAATTTATAATCATTAGGTTTAAAGCATTCACATTATAGTCTCTATGAAGAATTAGATGTTATGATCTTGAATTAAAGATCAATAGAAAATGATCAGATTATTTAAGTAAATTAGATTAAATAATTAAATGATTCAATGTCCACTAAATTTAATAACAAATTGGATTCATTCAAGTAATTTAAAGAATATCAAAAATTTCAACTCTTATTACTAGAAATATCATCCTAATTAGAATAGAATATAAATCTATATCAAATTATTAATGAAAAGTAATAAAATAAGAATTAAGTATGTGACAGGATTTCATAATAATTAAGTCCATGCGGATTATAATTAATAAATGATTCTGTTAAGTAAGCTGAAATATGTTATGGAATCGTATTTGATCCAACAGGGAAGATTATGGTTTCGACTAGCGAAAAGAATATTAAAATATGGAGTTTTGAAAATGGCAATGTCAAATTAACACATACACTTTAAGGTCATTCAGATATTGTTAAATGTCTTGTGTTTAGTTAGATTGAATATTATTTCATTTCTGGATCTTGTGATCAATCAATTAGGATGTGGAAATCCTTGAATAATGAATGGTAAAGTTCTTAGCCATATTATCAACATAAGAAAGAAGTGAATTGTATTATCTTAACATAAAAGGAGGATTAATTAATCTCAGGTAGTAATGATAAAACAATTTTGGTTTGGAAGATACATTATAAGGATAATAAATTGTAATTTCTCTATTCTTTAGAGAACCATAATGGTTCTGTTTATTCATTAAGTTTAAATGAATCGGAAAGAGTTTTGGCTTCGTCTTAGTATAATTAAATTATGATTTGGCTAAAACAATCAAATAATTAGTGGATGTTTAAGTAGGTTGTTAATTTATCAGAAGAAGAAGGTGGATATCATGTTAAATTTTTAAACGATGCTTAATTTATTTGGCTACAACAAAACGGTAATAATCTGAGTGTATTTGAGATAGTCGATGGTTTGTATTAAAAAAATAAACAAAAGAGAGTTTAATTAAAGAAAGTTGAATTAAAGAAATTTTATCAAGGCTACACAAACATAAACATGCCATTTTTTCCAATAATTCATATTCAAGCTAAGAGTTTAATATGCTTAAGATATTTATTGGAAATTTACATAATTAAAGTGCAAATTGATGGTAAATTATCAATAATTAACTAATTAAATTGCAATCATTGGTAAATATATGGAACAATAACCAATGATGGATAATACTTGGCATTTTGGTGTAAAGAGGGATACTAAATACATGAGATATTATATAAATGAAACAAGCCAGATGAATATTGTAATTAAAAAAATAGTTTATGATGTATCTAAAAGGATAATCTACTATTCCTTATTATAATAATTAAGAACATTCTGTTCTTTTGCTTTTTATTCAAGCATGTCGAAAATGATTACTTTTAACAAAATGTTTTATATATATTATCGCCTTATATTTTTCATCGATCACTTTCATAAATGATATAATTTATCTGGTATAAATATAATTTTATCTAATTTATATAAATTATCATATTGATGTACGTATATAATTGTTCCTGTATTCTCCTTAACTCCCAACAAAATTAATAAAATAGAAGTAGTCTCTTCCATTAAGAAAAAGAGCAACTGTGAATACGATGAAAGAGCCAATAGAAATAAATTTAAAATTTCTTTCAAATATCAATTTCTTTCTATTATTCCATATTTTTCAATTCATATTAATTCAAATTGAGAATTCGTAATCCTTTAATAATTACAAAAAAGTCTAATCAAATTCTCAATTTACCTTTTTTACAAAAAAATATTTATTAATCAATATAATTGTTTCATTAATTATTAATAAATTCTAATATATGAAAAAAAATAAAGCTTTTATGAACATACTTCTGAGGTTGCAAATAATGATTGAAATTTTTAAGATTAATTATTAATTTTGCAAAATTAAATATGTGAGATGTATTAAGTAACATTGCCAATTCTGCAACAGTAGCAAATTTTTTGAGAAATCCGTGATATTTTATATACATTTCTCGTAGGTAGGCTTCGGTCTTTGATAATTGCGGCTATACATTCTGTGTTAATTTTCATTAGAGTTTACATATCGTGTATGAAATATAAACATATATCAATATGTGATTACGGAGATCTCCAACTACCTTATGCTTTATAAACATTCTTTTAATAGCACATTTATAAAGACTAAGAGATCAAAAATAAAAAGTTAAGCAATAAATGATGGATTAATTGTAAATTCATCAACAACAATTACGAATTAGAATCTCAAACTTGAAGAATTAGTTAAATAATAGATAGGTCGTAAATTAATCGAATATTATTTTGTTTATCTATAAACAAATGTTATTTATCGTTTGTTATAATCTTTGAAAAATACTTGAAACACATTAAAGATGCAGAAAAAATTGAAATATTAAATAATTAAAATAATAATTTTGATATATTATTATCAAATTAAGCCAAAATTAATTTTTGAGATACTGATTTCGTTTTTTATTAATTATAAATTGAAAGAAAAAATTATACTTAGAGACTTAGATAATTATAAAAGAGGTTAAAATTAAAATATATGAAACTTTCAAAATAAATCCTTGGTTTTTATTCATTCTTTAACATCAATTTCAATCACATGTAATTATCTTTAATGGTAAAGTATAATTATTAGAATTAAACTCTTTTCATTTAACCACTTTTTAAATGAAATATTTCTTTGCATTCTTTCGATAATTTATGATAGATATCCTATTAATCTAAATGAATTTATACACCACGTTTTGGATTGTAGGATTTTAAGCAAATTGAATCCTCTAAACGTTAAACTTATTTCTAAATGAAGCCACTTAATACAATTTAAATATATTCATCACTTCTTAAAGGAGACATTTCTGAAGATCATTAGGTAAATTAAATATATTGTAATATATTTATCCCTTAGTAAGATATCCTATAAATAGGAAGTGAAAATTAACATTTCTAAATTTCTCAAAATAGTTTTTTATATTCAGTATTGCTTTTATTCATAGAAAATGAATGATGTTCAATTATCTTGTTTAAGGTTATAACTTGCTTTGATTAGATTACAATATTATTTTGATATCAGTTGGATTAAGAATCAAAATATTTTAATGTGTTTGAAAGTGGAAAAGTAGAATTTTATTTTATTTGTTATTTTTTAAATTTATTATTAAATTCTGCATTTAAAAGTATAAATTTTCATAATTTAGCTAATCTTCAATAATTGTTGTAAACGCTACAGTTCACAAGAATGAATAATTTTTATTCTGACTTTTTTTATCTTTAAATGAGATACTTATTAACAATCCTGATTGCTTGTTTAAATTGAGTATTCTAAACCCTTCTTATTAAGGTTGCATATATTGTATAATAGGTAAGAGGGATTTAGATTTATCATTAATACAAATAAAAGTCGTAGTTATAAAAATACGCAAAATCAAAGATTCTTATTAAATTGAGAATATAAAAAATGTTACATCATTCCAAATATATAGAAGGATAACTAATATCAATTAGTTATTGATTATTGAAATATCTTAATCCTAATATTCTAAATATTGTGTTTTTTTTAATCAAATTTATTCTACAATGATGTTGAATCTTTAACAACAATAAAAACATCGTCAAACCATATGAATGTATCAAAACAGTTTTTTAGTTTCTTGAAATTTATAGAATGAGGGAGCTATATAATATTTGTAATAAATTGTTATTTTGACTAATCCTTTGCTATCAGTTTTCTAGAAGCTGGTAAATAATATATCAACTATGATGTTGAATTAACCTTCTTCTAATAAGATGATCCTAATAATTGTTATTGATAATATTTTAGAAATATCCATTTTAAAGGTTAATCAATTTCTATTTTTTAATTCTTGAATATTAAAATATAAACAACTTAAATTCAAGAATTAAGATTTTTAATTTAGCTCACTTATTTTCTAAACTATTTAGTAAAATTGAATTTGGCCTAATAATTCATTATTTTGAAAAAAATTAAAGATTGCAGATATCAAATTCATGAAGAATATATATGCATAAGTTGTTTATATAATTGAAATGTTCTGATGATTTATATTAAAATTATTCTAATCTATAAATTTTCCAGGAAGTAATCATATATACTCCTTGATATAAAAGGATACAATCTTTAAAGAAAGTTGTTTAAGTTTCAATTAATGTAGGCATCACAGGATTGAAATGAATTAAACATGAATTAGTTATTTAATATTCAAATAAATTAAATTATAATTATATTTGTAAATTCACTATTAATACTTAATTTACAATTCTTTTTTTCTTTATTATAATAAAATTATTGGAATTAGTCCTTTGATTATTATAGATCTTAAATGAAAGCTTTTTTAATCTTTGTAATGACATATAAATTAAATTTTGAATTTAATTTAATGCAAAAAAAATAAAGTTAGAAGCAAAAATAACCTTAAAATAAAAAAGAATGTTTCTATGATTTTGTGGTAAATAATGCTGTTAAATAAACTGAAGCCTGCTTTGCGATATCCATAAATCATAGTAATAAGATGGTAGCGGTTGGATGTGATGAATCTATAAAAATATACTTATTTAAATAAGAATAATTGAAATAGATCAGCACTTTAGTTGGCCGTTAACCACATGTAAGAGTATTGAATTTCCTGAAAAATTCAGAAATTTTATTTTCTGGTAGTGATGATAATTGTCTTACTATTTGGTCTATGAATAGTATAAACAATGGGAAATATGTAAAAAAGTTACATGGACATAAGGGAGTAATAAATTGTTTAATAATTAATAATGAAGAAGATACAATCATTTCTGGCAGTGACGATAGGAGTATAAAATTTTGGAGGCATAAAAATTAGTGGGTACTTAATTAGACTATAATCGAACATCGTGACTAAGTTTACGGGTTAAGTTTAAATCAATTAGGAAATATTTTGATTTCTTGTGGCTAAGACAAATAGATATTGGTGATGGAGATATAATAAAAAGGATATTAAAGTTAATGGGTTTTAAAATAAAAAATAAAAGAGTAATGGTCAGGCTATCGTCTATGCTTCCTAAGTGATAATCTATTTGCATTCTAATTTTCTGCAGGAAAGGAAATGAATTTTTATGAAATGAATGATGAAAATATATTTAAGAAAATATCAAGTGTTGCTGTCAAAGGTAATAAAGAATATTGCAATCATTTTTTTCCTTAATAAATTATTTAATCAAAAAATCTAATAGTTAGCAAGAATGGGCCTTATGTGAACATAATTAAGATTATAAAGGATAACATCTTTCTTTATTGTTCTTCAATTGAATTCAGTCCTGAATGCCTTGGAAATATTTATGGATAAGTTACTTCAGATGGAGAGTATTTGATTATTTGGGATTAAAAATCAAGTGAAATATAAATCAGAAAGTACATGAAATCTTGAGTCGTTATTATTAACCTGATATATTCAAAAATTATAAACTTAATATTATTATATTTAAGATGTTCTTTTGACTTTGATGGAGTAATTACGTTTGAAAAGATATAAATAAAATGTTAGCTACGTATATCAGTTCTGTGTACTTTATGTTTAAATTTTTAATATCATCGTAATAATGGAGATCTTTATTACCCTGAATTAGTTTATCAACATATTTTTAAAGAAAAGTAATTGTAAACATTAGAAATGGTATTATTTAATACTAATTATTCAAAATGATATCAAATATATTATTGAGTTTGAAAAAGTGCTTTATAAATAATATATAATGTAAAACGGTATTAAAATTATTTAAAATCAAACTCGAGTTCAATATTCGAAGACATTGACGATCTGGCAAAAAAATCAATTGATTTTATTGCTTTATTTAAATTAATTGATCTCCAATTTTACCCTTATTTTCTTTGTCTTTGATATTTTAGAGTCTCTAATCCCCTTTTATATAGACTAAACTTTAATTAACTTAAGTTAATTCTAAATGAAAATATTCTATTCCAAACATAACTAATAAGTTATTACCAAACCTTTTCATAGTTTATCATAAATTCTTGAGATAGGTTTATTTGTACAGATATTGAGACCTAAATCTATTTCTGCTCTGTTTAACATATTATAATAGAATTAAAGGATTCTATAAATTTTCGATAGATTCAAACTTAATCAATTTTTAAATCAATACTCTTATCAACCTTATATGCATTACCAGTAAAATCAAGTCTTCATTCTTTCACATAATACTTCTCCTATGTATTTCTGTAATGAACTCCATAACTATAATTCAATATTTTCAATCATATAAGTGCAAGAATTTCAAAAGAGTCATTTAAATTAATGTGACTTTCAATTAATTCCCTTCTTAATTTCTTAATTATTTTAACAACTATTTGATATAATTTTAATGTTTTATTCTGGATGATTCTAATTATCACTAGTATTTTAAATGATGAGATAAGCTTTCAATTATACACTCCCTTCATTAAAAAACAAATATTGTAAGACTAAAACGATGATGGCTAATCAAAGTCAGATCCATCTCATAACGGATTAAGTAATTATAAATTAATAATTACAAAAAATAATCAATCTTGGAACTAAAATTATATATTATTGTTTAAGATATGTAAATGCTCAAACTATCTATTTAAGATTTAGAAATTGAATAAAATCAAAAAAAATAGTCATCGATTACGCTTCTTTTGCAAGTTAAAATCTCTATCATTTAATATAAAACTTTGCAATTGATTGTAATAATATTTTCTCTCTTATTCATTTTGATCTTTAATTTTTTTTTTTAAGTAACTATCATAGACTTTATGGATTTACACATATATATCTATGAATAGGTTAGAAGCCAAAATTGAGCAAAACATACCTATATGAATCCAACCAAAAAGGATATAACTGTCCTAACTAAAATCAAAACTATAAATTAGAAATGATCCAGTTATTAACATCACTAAAAACTCTCTACAAACTAATTTGTGAAGTTCGAATTGAGATTACAAAGGTTTAAATTTGATTAAGTAAATCAAATAGAAAAATGAAAGCATAGAAAGTAAAATAGATTATGCTTCAGGATAATTCATTAATTGAACAATAATCATTATGTAAAAAATTACTCTGTAAATTTAAAAAGATTTACATTGAACTTGCCAAAATGATGTTTTTGATTCAAAATAAAAATATTTCCATTTCTTTAAGTCTTTTATTTCAGCAGAAGTGATGGAAAATAAATTAAAATTCACAAAACAAACAAAAAGTAATCCAACAATTGCATTAATGCTGTTGAAAATTTCAAAAGCACTATTAAATTAATAGTTTGGAAATTGCAATAATGTGCTAAATATAAGCTAATGTAGAATTGCTTAGTAAAGTTTAAATATGCCTAAAGAGAAATATTCGAACTTCAACTTTAAGCACTTCTTCTGAATCTTCTGTTAAAAAAAATCAATAAATTTTAGAATTTTAGAGTTTGGATTTTATTAGTTGTAAAATTTAAATAAGAATTTTTACACACTTTTAGACACTATAATACAATATATTAGATAAGTTAATATCGATGCCAAGACAGAGAAATAGCAACTTTTTGCATTGATTAAATAAAACTAATTTAAAGTATTTGCTGTGGTTTATTATTGAGATTTATTGCTGGCTTAATATGGAAGAGTACCTCCATTTAACTTTGCCAATAATTAATCTACCTGAAAATAGTTCATAATGGGTTGCAATGAAACTTTGGTGTAAGTATTCAGAAATTCTTTTAAATGTGGTGGGAACTGATATTGCATAAACTTGATATAAGATAAGGACTATAGTAAATCTAGCAAATTAAAGAACATAATAGCATTTCCTGTCAGCAATGCCAAACTTGATACACTTACCATGGAATACATCATAACATCATTAATTTAAACGATAGAAGTCAATTATTTTTTTGCAGTTTCAGGCAAGACAAAAGGAGTTCCAAGAAGGATTGACTTCTAATAATTTTATAGATCTTATTCAAATTAGTTCTTTATTATAGATCTCTCTATTTCAACTTACAGAATAGGATCTATTATGGGTTGAAGAAATTCGATTGAGACTTTATATTTTGGATTGCTAAAGTGAATAGAAATATTTTAAATGTAACTGATGGTTAATAAATATTGAGTTTAAGTAGCTATTGTGAAAAAAACTAGTTCATCAAACTTTATTTCAGTCGATAATTTAACTTCTTAAGTGAAAGTTAGTTCGAATATCTAAGTTGAATTCATTTTATCTGACAACATATTGAGAATAAATTCTGGAGATCTAATAAATGTGCATGAACTTAATGATCCCTCTTAATTCACGCATTTATAAGAATTTTCAATATTGCAAAATGAAGAGCATCCGTCACCTCCAAGACTGTTTCCATCATCACATTCTTCATACTGATTAATCAGTATTCCATTTCCGCACTAATTCACACATATATTATCAACCAGTAATTGGTTTTCTCCGCATCTTAAAGCTGTATATTGCTATTATTCTGAGATTGATGGATCAACATTAGTATCAGTCTAATTTTAGATTTTTTCCAAACATTTAGCTGTTTAGATATCCAATGTATATTATGCATCATCACATTTCTTACATTAACTTTATTGACAATCGACACAACCATTTGAGCATTAAAATTGACACTGATAGCATCCATCATTTGGTAAATCATTTCCATCGTCACATTCTTCTAGTCCTTCAATAATAATACCATCTCCACATATAGGAACACATTGGTTATTAATTAATTGAAAGTTATCATCACAACCAGAACAAAGATTCTGTTGTTCACATATTTTACAATCTGGGATACAATCAAAAGTAGGATCATTATATGTGCATTTACCAAATAAACATAATTCGCAAGTCAATTCACAAGAAAAGTTGCAACTATGACACCCATCATATGGTATTGAATTGCCATCATCACACAATTCCACATCAACAATTAATTTGTCTCCACAGATTGGTTTACATTTAAATTAATCTAAGAAGTATCCATCTTAACAAATTTGACATATATCCTAATTACAAACCAAACAACCACTTAGACAATTATAATTACAATTATAGCAATTAGAATTGACATCTTATATTAGTGTATCACAAATCTCAGTCCCAATAATTAATCCATCTCCACAAATTTCTGCACATTCATTATTGATTAACATATACCCAATTTAACATTCTTGACAGCTACCAAATTTACATATAATACAATTGGGATGACATTTAAATTAACAATTTTCACATTTTGTCATATAAGAAACCATCTAATCTTCACATTATTCATTTTCTACAATTAAATTATCACCACAAATTTGAATGCATTATCTAGTATATTAATCATATTAATAGCCTATTTCACATTTAAGACAATCCCCATTTTAGCAATCAATACAATAAAATGAACATTCCTATTCACAATTATTACATAAATCGAAAGGGTTCAAATTTGAATCATCACACAGTTCTTGTCCCTTAGCAACAATTCCATCACCACATACAAATTCACAATTAACTCCTGTTAAATACCAGCCATTACTTTCATCACACTTTTCGCAAATACCTTAATTACATTGAAAACAATGATCGTAACATTATAATTAGCAATCATGACATCCATCAAATGCATTATTATTACCATCATCACACTATTCATATTTGACTATAACCAAATCTCCGCAAATTGATTTACATTTATTGATTGATTCAACTAATTAATAATTATCTTTGCATTCATAACACTTACCTAAATGGCAAAGCTTGCATTCTTCTTCACATTTAAATTTACATTAATCACATCCATCAAATGGGTCATTATTACCATCATCGCATTCTTCTTCTTCAACTACTATTTTATCCCCACATTTTGGAAGGCAAGGTAGATTAATACCATCATCGTAAAATCCAGGCTGACATAAACATTAATTGTATTGAATGCTTCTGTGAAATTCCTCAATACATGAAACACAATCATTTTATGTAATACCAAAACAGTTTTCACAATACCTATTACATTATTAACACAGCATTCCTTGTTTAAAACTGAATGGCTTACACAAACAAATTCCATTAATTAGTTAAAAATCATCGCTAATGCATTATTAACATTCTTCTGAACTTAAACACTTAATACAAAATTAATCGCAATCTTTGCAACTATAGGTTAATGTTTATTGATCAAAATTGATATATTAATTACTTTAGCAATTTGAACTATCATGACCTACCTTCCATAAGGTGCATCCACTTGAACTTGTGCAAGCTAAGCAAAAAGGAGGGCACTAATATTTAATGTTTTAAATAATACGTAATTGACAACAATAAAGTAGTCTGATATGGCACAAAAACATTATTTAATATTTTGAATAGATGCTTAACAATTAAATTCTATGTATAAATTGTTATCATAAAAATTGTTCAAATTAATGTAAAAATAACGAGTGCTTTCTTAAGCAAATCGACCAATTAGATTTGATCCTGCTCCAGGATTATTAAAAGGTCCTGAAAACGCACTGCTAGTAGTACCTATCTTATAATAAAAAGATCCAGTATAACTGTCTCCGTAAGTTAAACTAAAATAAATTTACACTCCATAATGAGGATTTAAAATAGACCATGTCTTGGTATATGATCCATCATTCCATACCAGCAAACCTCCTAATACTATTTTATTGTTCAAAAATGAAAATTTTTATGTGGTTTCAATATTAGTTGATGGATCTGGAAATGTCTCATAAAAAGAATTGATCTCATCGAGAGTCATATTTAAATTATAAAATCCTTTGGCTAAATACCTAGAATCTAATGATATAACTTTAATTTTACATGGAATAATATCCTCGTAATCCACACAATTAACTGAATGAATAGGACATTCATCAACACATTAATTTCTATATAATTTATAGTTTGTTTCACATTATGCACATTTAGACTAGTCTTAACAAATCTTACAATTCTATTAACAAAGTCCTGTGTCAATTGTGACATTTTTAAATCCCCAAATTTCACTTGCATGTTAAAGTTACCCTTAAATCTTAATAATTGGATGAGAATTAGAGACTTAAAAAATCGTCTCTATTCTTAACAAAGTAAAAGTACTATAGATGCAAGTAATACTTTTTTGAAATATTTTATTCAAATTTTCATATTAATAATCATTTGTAGTTTTTATGATGCGAGATTAGATTTAATTATCATTTAAGATTTCAATTTTACTTGAATCTAGTAAATTCGACAACTAAAAAGTAAGGCGAATTCGGAGAAATCTGACTGAATCTCTTAAATTCATTGAGTAAAGCACCCCTTCATTAAATTAAAATTCACCAATTAAATCATTTCCATAACAATCCTTTTAAATTAAATCAGTGTTCTTAGGATGAAATATGTCTGTTATAAAAATGAAAGGGGAATATCTATTATCATTTGATACTGGTATTACATTATTATCAAAAAATGTTAATAATGATTTAATTCTGTAGTCTGATACGCAAATTTTATCATAACGAGCTATCGAATAATTTCTATCACATTCCTAACGACAACCTATAAATGTTTCAGCAAATTATTATTCAGGAATACATTAGCATTTCCCTCCTTATAACCCTTAACCATCGAAGCACGTTAAACAATTTGTTTCTAAAGGCCCATTACAACTTAAGCATGTTGGATAACAAGGATTTACATAAATTAACATGTTTCTAACTCCTATGTACGATTATGTTGAGCCAGAATTAAAACAAACATTTATTATAAAGTTGTTTTCAATTTAGAGATTATTAATTGTATTTGTTGTTATTGTCTGAAGACCAAAATATTAGTATAAATTAGTGCAAATATTTTGACTGTTAAATAGTAAATCAGGTGAAGAATAACTTCTTTAATAAATTTAATGATCACCACTTGGAGTTGTTAATTTCACCTATAATTTAGAATTTTTATCTGATCCTTCAATAAAAAAGACATCAAAAACTACTTAAACTGAATAACTCTTATAGTTGAATGACTTTATCATGGATTCAGAATTGTCATTTAAAGACGCATATTTTTATGGATTTTAATTACAACTACCTATATTGAATGTAGGAGGATAAGTTACGGTGCATGATTTAAAAATCATCCAGTCATTATTATCACTATTAGCATCCGTAAAACTATAATCTATTAATCTCCAGTTTGCAAGGACATGGAAACTAAGAAGTAGAAATAAAATGCATTCCTTTAAATAAAAAATCATATTTTTAATTTACATTATTTACTAAAACAATAAAGGAATTAACATCCTTCATTAATTTAATCAGTTTACATCATAGTTGTGTGTTTGCAAGATAATTTTTATGATAGGTTATTTGATACATAATAGTTTTTCTATAGTTAAGAGTAATATCCATATTGATTGGATCTCACAATATGAACCTATTGGTTTCCAAATGGTACATTGAAATCTATTGCAAAATTAATTATTAATATTTTATTTGAATGCCATCGCTTTTTGAATAATAAGCATGTCTTATAAATCTTATTACGCTTTAAGTTGTTTTTATAAAAAATAGATTAAAATAAATAAATAAATATACATATTTGCTGAGACAAACTAATGATTTTATCAAATTTAAGTTTTTAGTAATGAAGATTTCTTATGTTGTAGCCTTAAAAGTTTGAATTTTCCTAACAACATTTTTTATAAGATTTAAGATTAAGAGTTCCTCAGACAACACTTTTAGTATATTATTAGGTATCTTGAGCCCTGATATGAATAAACTTGAAATGCACAAATTTATTATGAAAGTCTAATCCATTTATTTCGTCAAAATCATTTATTTTACATCCCATTTTATTGAAAAGATCATCCAACCTTAATTTGTATTACATAATCTTGTCAAAATTACTCCATAATCATTCCAATAGAATGATAATTTAATTCTCAATCCTCAATTATCGTCTCAATATTTCTAAAAATTTCTATATTCAAGATCTCCTCTTTCTTCATAAATAATAAAAAGCCATTTAACCATAACTAATATAACATAATTTCCTTTAATTTCTGTGTATCAAATTAAAATTAATTCTAATTGGTTAGGAAAATTAGTTATATTCCAGAAGTGAACTTTTTGTTGTAGTTTCCATTTTAGAGTAATTATTGCAATGTTATTTTAATTTTCCTTTAATTTTACTATTATTCCTCCAAAACTTTTAGGTTTATATCCTAGTTATCAACTATAAGTATTGCTTCATTGTAATTGCTGTTAAATTAAAGAATTATAATTCTCAAAGATTGAATTAGCTGTTTCTAAATACAATGTTGAATTTAATTATATGAAATGCTAATTTTAGAGTCACATTTTATTTTGCAGAGTAAAATACAGAAATAATAAAATTAAAATTTCAGGATTACAAAATGAATGACATTATCAGAGAATATGATTAATATTAGGCAGAAATAATTACACAAAGACTTATAATTATTGTAAACTAGAATTAGAGTGATTGGATTGATCTATCGATGTAACTTCGTGAAAAATGAAAAATTTATTCAACTTCTTTTATAACAATAATTAAATTTTTTGATCAACATTATTCTTCACCATTTTGATAATCAATCTTGTTATTACCATTGTCGATGCATTTGTATTTAAACCAACTACAAAATGATATTTGATCACAATCATATTAATTATAATAGTCTGAACATTTTTTATCATAGCAAAGTTTTCTTTTCTCATCCCAAATGCAATATGAATTTGCACATTTACCAGCCTCACTAGCTTACAATGTAACACATGATGAGTCCCAACATTAGTTATTTCTCCAAGAGCAAGCAACCTAATTTATTGTAGTAAATACAATTTGACAACACCTATCCTATTATAATTCTTCTGTGCATTTTCTGATGAAGCACGAGGATGAACTTGCTACCCACTTACAGTTTGCTGCAAATTAGCATTCATTTTCATTATTCAATTGATTGCAGATGTTTTGACATTTTGAAGGTGACCAATAATCCCATTCACATTTATCATTCTCATTACACTACCTTTGATCTGTAATTTCATTACATTAACTTTTAACACAAGTTAATTATGTAAGCATCCAAATAAGAAATATATTCACATTAACTATTTTCATTTGAATTATTAATTTATACTTATCGTTGGGAAGATTTTAGAGATATTTCAAATTTACTTATTGTTTTCAACAAATTAATTGCTGATATAATTTAAAATTTCTTAAAGTAATTCTAGGCTTTTGCAAATTCATAGAAATTATCATTATATTTAATTGAATTATAGACTGCTATATTCTGTTTTATTAGTTTCTAATAATCATAACCCTAGTAATATTACAAATTTATATAATGTTCTTGGAGGTCCATATATTTTTTACATTTCAATTAATTTACTATAAGATTTATACTAACTGTAACAAAGATATTTACTTTGTTAAGAAATCGATTTTAATCTTGATGTGTTTGAAACATTGAATTTAATCTAGAGAATCATTTTAATACAGGTTGTAAATGAATATTCAAAAGATTATAATACCCTTTAAATTTCAAAATTATTTGAAAATTATATATAATTAACCATTCATATGATAATAAATAATATAATAAACATTTAAATTTGATGATTAAATTAACATCTATAAATAGTATTTCATCTAGTAATTGTAATTTAAATATTTTGCATTACTTAACAGAAAGAAGAGGAATTTCAAATTAATTAAATGATTAAAGCAACAATTTACAATTTCAAAGTCCATTTAATTACTTTTTTGTAGAAAATCTTAATTTTTTATATTGCAGATAAGGATTTCTAAAATAAAAGAATGTATTTTAATGTAATTTATACTTCATTTCTTTTTTGAAACAAAGATTGCTAATATTAAGAATGCTATTTCAGCCACTTTTTTCAAAACGGAGGCAGACGAGAATGATGAATTTTTATATTCTTCAATTGATGCTTGATTCAATTTGAGATTAGTAATTAAATCAGAAACGACTTTTTCAAATTCTGAGCAATTAATGGATTTTTCCTTTAATTCAGATTCACTAAAATAGTAATTGTATTGAATTTATCCTTATTTTACAGTAATCTTTAATTTCCATATGTCATCAACTTTCTTCTCAAATTATTATTAGCTCATCTCGTCAATATATCCTCCTTATTTACTATCATCATTTTTCTCCTATTATTCAGTTTGCTTTGTAGTACCTGAATTGATTACTCGTTTTAAGTCATATTTTTGTTTATATTCTAAATCAGATAAAATCTAGAGATATAAAATATTGAATTTCTTACTCTGAATGCCTCTTGCACATTTAAATATTTTTCACTGTTTGGTGTTTATGAATCTGGATGGTATTTCTTAGCTAATTGATAGTAATGGATTCGAATTTAGGATTGGTCAGCTGTAGGAGGAAGCTTTAATACTTTATAATAGTCCTTTGTATAATCAATTTTTGCTGAAACTCTTGAAAAAGCTTGAAGTGTTTTTAATAACATTTTTTTAATATTTATTGAATTTAATTTGAGATAAAACATTCAATAAGGATCCAAACTTATATCAGACTAAAATACTGCCAATAATGAGCAATTTTTCCAATCACAAAAATAGCATTAGAAATTGCAAGAATAATATTCATATTTTTTTGAGGAAGAAGCAGAATTAAGTAAAACAATCTAAAAAAACGAATAGGAGATTAATAGAAGGATACTTGAGATAAATATCAAATCAAATTTTTTGATACCACTGCAGGTTATCTGAATTTTCCTTCAAAATAGTGGAAATTACAAATAATTCAGATGATTTCAAATAAAAATATGTGTAATAATTATTCATTTTTATGATAAACTAGGTTAATTCCAAAAATTAGATCCTCTATTGTTTAGACCATAAAATTCACACAAATTCATGATAGGAGATTATTATCTTCTCATAAAAGTAAAAGATTTGATCGTTTTAGCTTTTAAGCTTTTAAGCTGTTTTTTTATTTCTTTCTTCTTTTATTAATTAAAAATAAAAGAGTTGGCGTCATTTTGTGTTTTTAGAGAAGAAATTTATGGAGAGGAAATCAATTTTGATTCTCAAAGAAGAACAAGCTTACCCTCAAATAAAAATAAAAGATTAGGAGATTTGTTGTTTTTTCTGACACATCTAGAAAAGAAGAAACAATATCAAAAGTAAATTTATCATAATTATTTAAAACTAATATAGAAAAGAAATAGATTATTTAAGATGAAGTTTAGAGCAAAAATCAACTATGATTATGCTAATAACAAAGAGGATTATAGGGTATAAGTAAAGATAGAAGTTTATAATGTCAGGAATAAAAAATATTAACAAAGTGAAATATTTTTAAATTTAAATGAATGAAATAGCTATAAAATGGATGTTAACAAGAATTTTGGGAGAAACTCAAGTGGAAAAATATATAATCAGAAATAGATATGTTAATGAATGCTGTAATAAATAGCACTTCAAGTTCAGAAATAATATGGATATATTAATTAAAATTAGACTGTTTTTAATAAATTCTTCTGCATTGATATAACAGTATTTATATTTTATTTCCAAATTTGTTTGTTTTCATTTTGAGTTAATATATTTTATGTAAAAATGTAAAATAATTCATTATTCTTACAGTTTTTATTATAAAATCTAACAATTACTTGTAAAATTATGTAATGTATCATTCATCTTTTGCCTGATTTATTTCATTTTGCATTCTAAGGATAGCAATTAGAAATCATCTTATAATTTATTAATGATGATCTAAGTAATTTCTTCTATTGATTAAATCGTCATCAATTTGTATTTAACGTCCCTAATTTGATATTAATATTACAATTAATAAAGTCATCTGTTTGTATTATTTCTAGAGCAATTGAATCATCAATATCTACCTTAATAAATTTTTTATAATATCTAATTAGTTAAAAATAATACAATTCCATGATTTCTTTATCAGAGTAAATTTTGTCTGGAATAGTGTAAGCTTTTTTGTGAAATACAGGTTATTTCTTCTGCTTAGGGATTTGTATTCTCATTGGCATTCTGACTTGTCTAATCAAGAGGCATAAATCGTTATTCATAAATTAACGATAAAATAAATAGAGTTCTTAACAATAATATTATTTTAAATTTAATGAACAGAAACTTGAAATTGGGTAAGAATATTAAAAAATAGAATTAGGAGAAATTGAGAATCTTTCAAGAGTAAAATTAGCTCATTTTTCTGAGACAGCTACAAGATTCTTTACATATGTTGATGAATAGAATTAGATTTACATTGATAAGATAGAAAATTCAAAAAATTTGTTAGATTTTAAATTTTTCAACCCATCTCAATAGTGTTTTGTTTAAAGTCAGAATGAAATCATATTTAGTAGTTATGATAATGAATTAATAAACGGTTCAATTAAAGGTATTATTTCATTTATGGATATTTAAACCTAAAAAAATATTATTAGTTCTTAAGTATTTAGTTTAATCTAATATACAGGAACATTTATCATCAATACCAACTTTAGCAATAATTTCTAAACCAAGAAAATATTGTATTAAGTGGAGCAATCGATAGTTAAGTAAAACTCTTGGATTTAAGGTATAAAACTGCTTGGATTTACATTAAAAGCGCATAAATTATCAATAAGTGCTTTAGTAGTCTCCTGATGGTAACTTTTAGCATCTGGTTCCAATGATGGAAGTGTAAAATTTTGGATAGTCATTAATAAAAATTTTTTGGCTACTTTTAATGAATCATGTTTATAGTATAATCCTCTTGATAAAGCAATAGCTACAGCGTCAATGGGTGCATTAGATATTTGAGTTTAGATAAATACAATTAAGTAATTTGAATCTTATCATAAGATATCCTCAACGAAACCAGATGATTAACCAGTAATGAAGGAAAATAATTAATATGACTAATTATGGAGGATCAAATATTCTATGATTAAACTATAGGTAGAAATTATGATATTTGGGATAGAAATATAAAATTCATCTTTATCGGCACAAAATTATTCATTTAAATGTTGGGATCTTGAAAGAGGTGCATTATTGTTAGATAATTTACAAAGTAATTGTAAGGGCATATTGGATACTTATGGATTTTAAGACAAAGGATTTTTTGGCTTTTCTAGTAGAATTAAACTGGCCTAAGTAGATATAGTATTGATAGACATATGCAACGAATTCACAGTGAAAGAAGATAAAGTTGTGAAATAAATGATCAATTCTAGTTGAGAAACAGTGTTCATATTTTAAAGACAATAGAATTCTCAAAATATTTTTTCAAACTCTGTGAATCTAAAACAACATAGTTAATAGAAGTATAAGGTTTCCAATAAAGTAATTGTAATATTGGAAACAAATATGTATCAACAGCACAAATATTGGTTAATTAATAAACGAAAAGAATTGATTTTAACATTTAGGATCTATAAACAATAAAGTATTTTAATTAAATGTCAAAAGTAGAGAGGAAAGAGTGGCTTACTATGTCAGTATAATAGAATAATTAAAGTAAATAATTTATAGCCTAAGTTAACAAAATTAATAGATAGAAATAAGGAAGAGATTATTGATTTAGTTAAAAAATTTCAAATAAAAATATTAGGCTTTTTAAAAAGAATGAATTAATATTAATAATGATGATGATTTTTTTCTATTTATTATTTTTCAGAAAAACTTAGTTTCTGTTTCTTTTTTGACAAACAAATCTCTAAATAATATAATCAAATATATACCCTTCGCCTCCAAAGAATGGATAAGCACACGTAACAAGAATGGTGTTATATAATAAGTAAACAATAAGAGGAATTGCAGTGCTTTCTTCAACAACAGTAGCTAACATATCTCCTTAAACACAGGATTGATAAATTTTTCCTCTTTTTGATAATTTATCATCAACTTGAAATTAGTAATTGATACTATACCTTCATTATAATAACGGCTTTATTTCATTGCAGTTCCATTAATAATAGAATAACACATCAGAAATAGTATAATTATTGTGTGTCCTAAAAGAAATCCTGGAGTTCCTCTTTTGCCAAAGAAATATGCAAAAATAAATAATAATAATGTGTCAGTAATTGTTATGATGTACACCCAAATGATTGCCAGTAAATGCTTACTATCAAAATATCTATTTAAGGTAATAGTATTTCTCTTTGCTATCTCTGCAGCGATGCCACTCTCATAGATATTAAGATCAAATATTCTAGATATTGATATCACAGAACCAACAGTCATACCTTTGATAAGGAATGCCAATCCAATTCCAAAGAGAATTCCAAAAATACCATTAAAATCTATCAATGGATTATTGTCGACTTTAAATAGATAAAGTGCTCCTCCAAGGAAGGTTAATGCTAATAAAATGGCTGAGCCAGCATTGGTGACTTTTAAGTAGATCATATAATTTCTAGCTGCCCAAGCCATTTTGGTAAATCTCTCAGATACAACTTGTGTAACATGAGATGCAACACATAGTTTAGCACCATCTTAGGAGATGGATCCAATATAGTAAAGTGGAACTATTATCAAAACATTGATTAAGAATCCGGCAGCAGCTGCTAAGATTCCAGCGTATCCAGCTAATGCATGTGCAGCTGTTGCTATTATTCCTAAGGTTAATACAATGATTATTTAGCCAGAAGCACTAAGAAATGTGGCATAATTGAAAGATTGAGTTAATATTCTATCAGATGATGATAATGCCTCTTAATAAATTAAATAATGATACCAAATTTCTAACTGGTTGGCAACCATGCGATGTCATCCATTCTCCTATTGATAGTAATACTAAGTTGCTTAATTGACCCAAAATACAACAATAAGTGATCTTTCTAATTGTAATGTCTTCCTTAGCTAATGTTTCAGGTGCTTCAACTCCTTTTAAAGAAAACTACTTTAAGATTGTAACCATTGGCATGAAAAAGAAGATTAATAATGTCATTAAATGAGTAATCAGCACTTATTGTCTGATGTTCAGTTTAGTGAATCTCACTACTTCATTATCCCAAATCATGCTCTTCAATGTCTATACTATCACTGCACAGAAAACGTTTACACAAAAGTACAATGTTGGAGCTAACAATGATTTCCAAGTAATATTTTCTTTCGCTACTTCTTCGGAATTTGAGAAGATTACAAATCCTCCAACTGTCAATACTGCTATACATATAGCTGTGTCCAACAAATTAACTACTTAAGTACTGATTATGTTGGAAATCATATATAATAATTTAGTGGGTGATGAAATGTAAGGGTTATTGAAACTTAGGTTCCTATCGCATTTCACCAAACCATCGATTGCATTAAATATACTTCTACCCAAAATACTTGTTGATTCTCTATATACAAATGCACAAACTATTATTCCCAAAGCATAGCCACAACAGCAAACACCCATCAATTGCAATTTATCTTGCGGTTTGTTATCATTACTTAATCCTTACAAACTTCTAAACAAAAAGAATAAAATTAAGAAAATGAAATAGATGGATGCTATGCACATCAGAACCACACCAAATCCTACAGTGTACATGAAATCGTATAACTCCCATTTATTTTAAATTGCAGTTGTTATCACTTTACATATAGATCGACCAGCAAATGTGTATGCTGTCCATGCAATTATTGTTATTGATACAAATCCAAAAAATAAACCTACTATGAATCCTGCCTTAGTTCCAACTGGAATGAACCAGATCTACATAAATATTTACATATTGATACAGTTGCCAACAGAAACAAGATCAATAAGATTAGAGCGTATATCAATTATGTAAAGAACATTCCGATTATTGTATTTGATATCTGAATGCATCCATCAGCCAACTCACTAGCGTAGTTATGCCTTACCTATTATTATTTAATCGAATACTTCATATTGTCTCACTATTTCTTAGGTTTCACATATCAATTCAAATTATTTTGCTAAATGTTATGGTTCATCCTCTCTCTCTTATAATCCTCCAAAATATGCCATTATACACCATATTAATGCTAATATAGATGCAAGTATTATTAAGATTATTGGCCAATCTGCTGTCAAATCTATTCCAACTGCCCCTGCTGTAAATACCAATCCCAGTCCTAGAGCACCGCATAGATATTTGGTGCACGTTGCTATTGGACCAAGACACATTCCTAATATGTCACCAACACACATTGATATTAAAAACGAATTAATTATAATCTCATTTTCTATAAAATATTCAAATTCATCCTATATTGTTATTTTTAAATAACTCTCCCATTATTTGTTTATCTGATTGTAACAAGGCAAGCAATTATTCATATCCATTTTCCTACTATTAAACATAATCCCTTACCTCGCCGTTCGGATTACCAAATAAATGGCCTTAACCATTTTAATTATTACTTTCATTATGGTCTTCCTCTTCAGAAGTCACAGGTTCTAATTCTGTCTATAATTATTATGGTTATTATGATTATTATTACTACTATTATGGCTTCTACTATTACTATACTTATAATTATTGCTATTATTATTATTACTGTTGCTATTACTATTACTATTATTATTGCTATTACTATAACTATAATTGTTGTGATTATTTCTTATTTGTTTTCTATTCATTTATCTTACTTTCAACCCATTTACAAAATTCCTTCGACTAAGAATATATTGAAAAATAAATACCTTAAATACATTCTTTACAGTATCGTACTGCAAAGGATTAAAACTACTCAACATCATTGCTGCAGTTTATTATTTTATAGTGATTACAAAGCATAATTTAGGAATCAAATTTCCCCAAAATTTAATGATTCCAGAGTCTCTTTTTTAGTAATGAGATTCGGACACAAATTCTGTTAATTTGAAATTTGCAAACAATTATGAGTTTTACAATTAATCATAATGCATTAAATATACCACAGTATAAAATGAGTCACTCAAAGGAAATGAAATAAATTATTAGTCTTTTCGTAACATCTCACTTAATTTTAGAATATCACCTAATTCACCATATTTTTCTGGGACCACCCATCCAGCCAAAATTATCTACATGTTCTTATTCACTAATCTTTCCATCTATTGCAAAGTCGTATCTTATTATTAAAATTTTTAGTGTTTAAACTCACTAGATATTTTAGGAAACTCTTTCAATTTATTATCCAAAGAATTAGTGTAAAACTCACAAGTCATTTATTAGTCTTTTATATTAAATCTATATCTCTTTCCTATCTTTAAGATTTTATCTCCAAAGTTAAGTGGTGTTACCTAAAATAATTAATTAATGTACTTCAATTTTTTAAATAATCACTTTTTATTCTGGTTCATCATCATCTGGATTATACAAAATGGGTTTATTTGGATTTTCCATTTTCAAAATTTCTAATTCAGGTAAATCCGATGATATGGAATCATTGACTCCTTTACTTAGAGATCTACTTGGAGAAAGCAAAGATTTGGAGGATTATTATTAAAATTATGATTATTATGATTATTATGATTAGAGTGATTATTGCGATTGATATTGAGAAGTTTATTTATTTTAATCCGAATGAAAAGTCTCAAAAATAGATGATTATTATTATTATTGCTATTATTATTACTATTATTATTATTATAATTATTATTACTATTACGATTTTTATTATATTTATACTATCTATGGCTATAATAATAATTATTTTTAAAATAGTTGAGGTTATTGTTATTATTACTACAACAATTTGGATTGAGATTAGATTTATTATTATTACTAGGTTTGTTATTATTATTATTTGATGTTTGGATATGAATCATTCAAAATTTAATTAAGAACATCTTCTTTAGCTTATTTAGATTGTGTTAAATTAGATTATATTTATTTGGCAACAGGTTAGGCATTTTTCTAATTGATTGGTTGAATAGCAATAATTTTATTTTTATTTGGAGCCAGAGGGTTGTAATCTTATTGTTATGAAGATGATGCATTAGGTCTTTACATCAACTTTTCTTCTATCTGTAATAGTGCTTTGCTTTCATATTTTTTGACTGCATAATTAACCTATTCTATATTGAATCCTTTTTCAACAATTCTTTTTGAGAAATTAGGTAATTATTGCAATTCTTTAAAGGTTGAAATGAGTGTTGTCATTCTCTCCAAATACACTAAATTATAAATATATATTATACTTGACTTATTTGTATTGAAAGTGCCAAACTCTTAATTTTCAAATATTTTTATTTTGGTCTAAAAGAATTCCTAATTTTTCAAATTTGATAAGGTAGGATTTCGCCAAATAACTTATAGTAATTCCTTTTTCTTTGCATCCCTCAATTATTAAGTAACTGTTTCGTTAGTTTACTATTTCTTAACTTTCTTAATGCTGTCAACTTAATTATTTTGTTCCTCTTTCTCTTCTCTCTATTGATTCTTCTTTCTAATCGATTATTTTTATTTCTTATCAAAGTATGAATTGATATCATCAAATGGTTTCTTTGGTTGCAATTCTCTTAACCTTTCTAATTTATCATGTTGAGTAATATGCTAAAGTTCAATTTAAAGTTGGGAAGCATCAACTTTTCCATCACCACAAGAGTCCAAACTTGATCCACTTGCAACTGAATCAATCAATTTAGTCATGATTGATTCTAAATATATTAAAGGAACCTTCATTTTTTCGATTGATAATTTTTAATTATTCATTAAAGCCTAATCAATTATATCATAGCCTTGATTCAACATATTTCTAAACGAAGCAAATCCCCATTTTTATTATGGATTTTCCTTGAATTGGTTGACTTATTTAATCCAAATAGCAATTTTGACCCTTTCATATTGATCCCCCCATCGAAATATGCTGAGTAAATCATGAAAATCATTGAATGCCTATTCAGTTTATAAATTATTTTCAATAAATTCTAATTTCTTATTAAATTCTTAGTATTCTCTAATAAAATGATCAGCATCAGAATAGATTATTATTATATCTTTGTATTTCTTTTAAAAATTGTTCATCAAATCAGTCAATTCTTTACTATTAGGATTTGTCTTTTATTTTGAGATCGTTTGTCTTAATATGGAATAACTTTGCTTCAGCTATTCGAAAGAGTTCAACCAAGATTGCACTAATTGTTTCTCCTCAGGTAAGGGCAAGTTCTATAACTTTTCTAAGATGTTTTGAACTACAACTTCTTTTGTTTTAATTTGAGATTGAATAATCTCTTGAATTTCATTTTAAATTTAAAGGCATTCATGATATCTTATCTCAACATCTTAAGATCTTTCGATATTGATATTTTGAATCTTATCAATATCTTTTACAGATTATTATAGTTCTTCAAATGTATAGGGTTGATTTGTTTTGATCTTATTTGCTATATTTTAAATCTTTTCAGCAATATTTAATAAGTTATTCAATTCCATGATGAAATTTGGAATTTAAAGGTTATGAGATTGCAACAACTACATTAGGCTATTGTATTACTTTTTAGCTTTGAATAATTCAACTGTTTTATTGCCTTTTAGTATTTCTTTTAATTTCAATAGATAGATATTTATCTTCAAATCCTCCATTAATTATTAATCTTAAATGAATGATTAAATCAATCTTTAATACAAAGATGTAAGAGCAGAGATATCCTCACAAGAACAATTGCTAAATTCTTCCTAAATTTAATGGATATTTTGAAAATCTTAATAGAAATCTTTCGAAATAAAGTCATGTGCTATGTTGCATGATTTAATCTCTTAATCCAATAATCTGGCTTCTATAATTGTGAAACATTATTTGAATTTCTACAAATCTTATTTTGACTTCTTCTTTTCTAAGAATATCTATTTCCTTATGTTATAATCTTTTATTTTATCAACCAGAGCATTGAAACAAGCTATTTTTTAAATCAAACTTGCACAAATCAATGCTTGTTTAGGAATGTGTGACATAACAATAACATCTTATAATAATTTTAGACTTTCATAAGTAAACTCTGGGGTTGTGGTAATTTCAAAATATTTCTTTACAATTGTAACCCAAACATTATATATTTTTACTTAGTCCCAGATTCCTCCTTTTATAGAAAGAGTTACTTAACCATATAAGTAGAACCATCCTTCTAATTCTTGTGGTAGAGGCACTTAAAATAAATAGTTTCCGATCTAAGTACTTAAAGCAAACGCTATTTTTTATTGATTATAGAACATCTCTGAAAAATTAATTAATTTGGCCTATTCATCTTCATCCAATATGAATGTCTTCGAAAGTACTGCTTCAATTAATTATACTTGCAATTCTTATTTGGATTCCCAAAAGGATAACAATAGTTTGGCTTGTTTTTACCAAAGAAAATGCTAATAATTATTTAAAACAGTATTTATTCTTTTGTCAAGTATGATTGATTATTTGCTTAAAATATTTTCTAATTCTAGGATGATGGTTTCATTATCATCTTTAAATAGAATTTAAAAGGGATTGCAAACTTAATTAATTTTAAATTATAAATCTGGATTTTTATCATCTTCAATTTCCATTTCTTAATCTGGAGATTTATATTTTTAATAAAATTCATATAATTGTTAAATAAATTAGCAAGCCTTATTCAAACTCTATAATAATTATTTCTCTTCATAAATTATCTTACTTTAAGAAATATCTTAGAGTAATTATTTAGCCTAATCTAATTAATCAGTATCAAATATTTCATTCTCCAACAAATATTTAATTTCCTTCTTTTTCTATAAACATTTAGTTATCTCCTAATCAAATTGATTAATAATCTTTTCGTCAAAATTTAGTTCTTTAGACTTTTCTAAAGCCTACTCTAATTGTTAAAGAGTTTAAGATTTAGCCATTCTAATTTTTTCAACTTCTTAAAATTATTCTAGTCTTTTCTATAATTCTTAGATTTCAGGAACATCATAAATTTTATTCATTTATAGTTCAGCCTAAAACTTCTTTCTCATTTATTCATTCAAACTCTTATGTTCAATCATACCTCTCAATTTCTATCTAAATTCATTTAACTACTTTTCCACTTGCTCCAAAATCTACTTGTCTTTCTCAGGAGCTTTGATTTCAATAGATAATTATTTCAACATTTAAAGATGTTCACAGGTGATCTTTGTCTGAATATCCTTAGTAACCTAGATTTCACTGTCATCTTCATCCTTTTCTTGCAGTTCCAAATCTTGCATATATCTCTCATATAATTAGTATTTAGATATAAATTCATACAACTCTGGAAAATCATTATAATGGAATGGTAATTCTTCAAGCTTCTTTAACAATATCTATATTTCATCAGTTGACTTTGCATTTTCTAACTATTAAACAATTAGATTTCCTTCTTATAACTCTTTTCTTAAGATTTCTACCCAGGGTACTGAAATTAATATTGCATCAAATTCTTTAATTGTTTTTTCAACAAATTCTTTGCTTAATTTAATCTTATTTAATTTGATTCTTGTTTCAGAAGTGAGATTATAAAATTATTAGTAATTTTTAATTTAGGAAATCTACAGACCCAAATAGCTCTGTAATTTCTCATAATCCTCTAGCTCATCCTCTATTTCATCCTCATCTTCAGAGGAATCCTAGACATCTTCATTCATGATCTATTCAAAATCACAGAATTTATCTTCAGCTTCTTCCAATTTGCTAATAAATCTTTTCTTTATTCGTTTATATTCCTACACTTGTGATTGCAAAAATAAGAATTCTTAAAATTCATTAGATTTATACTGATTTTATATAGTATTTTTAGTAATTTTAGTTCTGGATGCAATAATTTAAAAAGCTTATTATAAATTATTCAATTTATTTAGTTATTCAATATAAAATTTGCACTCGTCAAAATCTTTAAATAAATTTATAGCTTAATTTAATTTATCTCTTAATTCGTTGTTTTATATTATATTTTGTTAAATAGGTTAATTTGATTCATCTAATTATGATAAAATACTCCATTGATTATTATCTCTATAAGCTATCTATGATTTAAAAAGGAAATTCATAAAATCAGTAACATTTGATTTTTACTTAATTTATGATAATTGCTATTGTAAGGGTTAATAAAATGGTAAATTACTCAAGATTGTTTCTATAATGGTGTACTCAGATTCAGAATCTAGTAAATATTAGGTAATTTTACATGAGGAAATCTATGCAGTCAAGCTTCTTTCACAATAGATGCCTAGAATGATAAGAGTATTGAATGTCATTTTTAAAAAAGGTGGCAGCAAAGACTTTAAATTGTTAACTGGAACATATTTAAGAATATGATCAAAACGATTATTGCTCCATTGATTACAGAAAGGACAGAAATAATGTTCCTTATTTTTCTACTCTTCATAATCATCTTGATATTGACGTAAACACTTATCATGATACCATTCCATACAGGTTTCACATTAGACCATTTCATCAGAATCATTTGCTAATTGTTATTGACAACAACAATAAATCTATTAATTCTAATGAGGAGAACAAAAGAATTCCACCAATTAACTAGCATAACATAAATACATACTCTTTTTCTTCTTCTATTTTTTCTTATTATTGATACATATCATATAGTTAATCTAAATTAATTTACTTATCCACTTTCTAAATTTCCATAAATTATTAAAAAATAGATTAGGATTTAATTTTTAATTGAGTCTTATCATTTCCTGCTTATACAAGGTTACCAGGGCAGAACAATTATTTATAATTAAATTGGATTTCCCACCCTGTTGGTCTTTATTAATTTTCTGAGTAATTTGAATTGTAACCACCGAAACTTGCGATGTAATTGACTATACAATATATGTGAGCATAAGTATTGCATTCTGATTATTAACATCTAATGGTGGCTCCTTGTGATTTGCAATATGAACATATTTATTTAGGAACTTACAATATGTTGTTTGGCTTCTTGAATTTCATTCCCATAAATGATGTTAATTCAAGTTGTTTGGATAATAATCCACAAAGAGGATGAACAAATTCATTTGTATCATTTATTCTTTTCTTCAAACCGCCTTTTTGATTACAGACAATGCATATTTAATCTTGCTTCTGACTATATTTGCATTTATCACATGCAAAATATCCTTAATTATTAGAATTTGGATTCAACTCTATTTCAGTGGAAATACCATAACAATACAAGTGACAGCTTAATTAACAACCATAACAGGATATTATTGTCATTCCTTTGTAACTATTATTTTGCTATGTTTACCTCTTTCTTATTATTAAAATCTGCTTTCGAATCCAACTGCGCAAATATCACACGCTTAACTCTAAATGATTTTTAATATATTAATACTTGTAAATCTCTTGAAATTGTTAGCTTTTTGGGTCTGAATCCAATATCTTTCTTATTTAATTGGTTATAAACTAAAGATAAAATAGGAATTAAAATTAATATATAATGGTATATATAGCGAACAAATGCATTATTTATAACACACCTACTGAAAGATCTTATTTCTCATTTTCTTCGTTGTCCATTTTGTTACTTCTATTTTGCTTAAAATGTTTAAAAAAAATAATTAAATTATTTATATCAAAGAAATCCTTTAAATTATTTATAATATATTAATTGTGTTTTCCTTGGACTACTTTAATGTCTTCTTCTTGTGCTCATCATTAAGCAACATATCAATAAATTGAAACCATTTCTACCTCTTTTTCACCATAAGTTTGTATAAACACTGTTCATATTTATTTATATTAAAAATATAAATTATCGTTAATGATTCCCTCTAAAATTATTAAGAGATAAGAACCACTTACTTCAAATACAATCTAAGATGCATCATAAATTAAAAAAGTACAAAGTAATCTAATGTTGGTATCTAAAGCTAGTAGTTTACCAAAATAGTTTTAGAAAAATGAGAAATTAAAAACTTCAGGAAATAAAATTGAATCTATTAAGCATTCAAAAAATAACTCTATGAATCATTTATCAACAACAGAGAACACTAAAATAATTGATTCCATTCAAAATATTTCTTCCATTTATATTACAAGTAAAACAGAAGAAATCCAACTCAAAAATGAGATCTAACTCAAAGCATAAATCATTGCGGATTTAAATAAAAATATCTCTTAATTATAATTTCAAAATGCCAACTAGTAAATCATGATCTCTTAACTTGAAAAAGATGTTTAATAATTAAATTAAACCATAGAAAAAATGTGTGAATAACTATCAAACTCTAATAGTGATTATAGAAATGAATTACAAGAACTAAAAAATTAAATTGCAAAAAAGGAATAATTAATAATGTTCTATAAATCTGAAAACCAACAATTATTAAGTATTATTAAATAGGGATCCTATGCTAAAAATAAGGTAGATAAAGAAAATCAGCCTAATGTCCCTTAAGCAAATCAATAGGATTAAATAAATTGTCTAAAAGATTAAATAGATCTATAAAGAAAATAGTTTTAATTGACAGAGAATTCTTTATAGAAGTAAATATCAGAACTAAATCAATTTGTAAATGAATTGTTTTATTAATAATCCACCGAAAGAGTAAAAACGAATGTAAGCAATAGAATTGATAAGGATATTAGAAATAGAAAACTCTCATTACAAAATGAAGTTATGGATTGCTTCTAACATTTTGATAAAGAATAAAGATTAGATCATTAATTTGATAATATTTAATGCAATCCTAATTAATTGAATGAATAGCAGTTAAACACAGTTTAGACTGATGATCTAAATACTAAAAATATAAAAGAAATTACAAAATTAAAGCAAGTTGTTCAAATATAAAAGAAACAAATTGAGTCCTAGCAAAAGACTATTCTTAATCAACACTTCGAAATTTAAAATTTATAATCCTTGCTTTACAAAAATGACCAAGATAGTGTCCCTAAATAAAGTAAGAAAAAATAAGTTCAAGAAGAAATTATAACAAATGAATTTACAAATTCTCCAAAAGATGATATGTAAATATTCGTTAAATATTTAGATATCATCTAAATGATAGCTAAAGTGAGATAAAACCAAAATACTACTTGGATAGTATTTAAAATACATTCCAGAAATTTTAAGTTATAACAGAAGAAAGCACTTTCAGAAGTTGAACTCTATACTTTATATCTTTAATAAAAAAAACCTAAATATTAATTATTTAATTATTGCAAATAATATAAATCTATTAAGCCAATGGATCAACCAAAGAATAAGATCATATTAACTGGGGATCAACCTTAAAAATTGAATTTGTTATAAGGGAGAGTTAAAGAAGAAGTCCCAAAATTAGTCAGAGAGGATTTAATCTCAAAATATTCGAATGAAGATCATTTAATTAGATTGTTGATTGCTAGAGAATGGAAGGTTAATGAGGCGTTTGATTAATGGAAAAGATGGGTTGAGTGGAGAAAACAGTATAGAGCAGATGATATCAAGATTGAAGAAATTCAATAGGAAATTAATTTAAAAAAGGCTTTTTGGAATGGATCTGATAAATTAGGAAATCCAGCTTTGGTTGTGAAAGCTAAGAGACATTTTCCTGGTCAAAGCAATCCTGAGACTTTGATCAGATTCTTTTTATATATGATTGATTAAGGAATATAGAAAGCAGATTAAGCCGGTACTGGTAAAATTAGCATGATTTGGGATAGAGAAGGTGTTACATCAAAAAATTTTGATTCATCAATGTTTACAATAATGAAGAAAATGGTCACTTTGGTTTAAGATAATTATGCAGAGAGATTACATCAATTATTTATTCTCTACCCAAATTTTTTAGTTAAATCTATCATGACTGTTGTAAGACCATTTTTAAGTGAAAAAACAAAATCTAAGATAATATTGTGTAATGAAATTAAGGATCTACAAGTTTATTTCCCTGAAAATTATCAAATTTCTGATGGATAAATAGGTGAAAACGTTGAAAAACCTCAAGATGAGGATACTGAAGAAGAGAAAAGGAGAATAGAATAAATGATAGCAGAATAGCAATGATATTATTATTATAGTAGTATTATTTCGAATTAAAATCTAGTCACACTAATATATGATATAAGAAATCAGTTCTATTTTAGACTGCTTTTTATTATAATCATCCTTTTCTATTTCATAAAGTTATTTTGAAAGTTCTTTCTAGTTATAAAATAATTAAAATAATACTTTCTCTTAATATTAAAAATATAATTTAGAATATCTAATATTCAATTATGATTAAAGCACAAAATAATAAATATAGTATTAAATAAACATATATTATCAGACTAAAAAGTAGCCTTTTCTTCTTACTGGTGGTTGGGGTAAAGTAGGAGTTTTCTCTTATGAAATTATCCATTATTGGATATTATTGAATTATTCAATCGTTCTGTTAATAATCTTATTAAATTTAATCCCTTCAAATTTATTATATAAGCCTTCATATCTTGGGGAGTTATTAAACCCAGTCTTATCACTGGCTAAAGCTATGTATTAGTACATTTCCAATTTTCTATTGGGTGTCATATGACTCATCAAAACCTTATCCTTAATTGAACCTATGCTTTGATGAGGATTAGAAACTATCACCTTGAACGGTTCATAATTTTCACTAACGAGAAATTAAGAATTGTACTTCCTTTCAGTTTACCTAATATTTAGGTTTGCTTCGTCCTTAATAACTTTAATGTCTGGTATTTTCTTTTGAAAGTATTTTTCAACATAATATTTCTGCTGAATATTTTCTGATTTTTAAGGAAATACAATTTCATAGCATTCATCATCAGAAGATACTTATTCTATATCAACAATCAGATGGTCTTTATTTATTTTATTTGATAGACTGCCTTATTCCAAGCGACTCAAGGCTAGCAAACGGACTCTTGAATTTTCATCCTAATAAAAGAATAGAGGTTACCTCACAATTGCCATTAATCATTCTTTCATGAAAGAGTTTTGCCTTTTCAATTTACCCAACATAAAAATAGTACTTTCCTAATAATTCATAGGCAAGCAATTCATCATTCTTTTGTTTGAGTTTCCATGCTGCCATCAAATATTTGGTGAAGTACAATTAACTAAGTTTTGGATAGATTCTCAGGAGACATTCCCCTAAACCTCTATAGGCCTTCATTTTATTACTATAATGAGCTTCAGTATCTGATAATCTTTTACAGATTTTGAAGTAAATGGCTCCTTGAATAGGGTTGTAAAATAATTATTCTATTTTTCCAAAAATGTAAAGAATTCTTTGATGTACGCAAATGTTTTTTTATTTAAAGCAATCGAGTAGTATTTCCTTCATTTATTATTCACACTCTTGTCTATTGAATTTATAGGCTAATATGCCAGTTAAATTTTATATAAGTTATTCTATGCTTAACCATGCTTCTGTTAAGTACCTCGACACTTTGAGATCAGCAGTAGCTTCATCGTAATCTTAGCTATCTCTAATGGCTCTAATGTCCTCATTATATTATTAGATGATATATTAGGTCATTTTGTAAATCCGAGATTATTTTTTTAGGGTATCAGAATTAGTCTATAAGGTTTCAGGAGCCTTATAAACATTAAAGAAGTCACTTTATCTAGTACATTTTTTAGTAAGGCGTTATCCAATTTTCCTTTGAGATTTAGTATGTTTCATCTTCAATTCAGGTAAATGAGCAAGAGGAGTTTGATGATTACTTTCTGTTCTGTCTGTTTGAGGTTGACGTAATTCTTTTAAATTAAGAGCTTTATTTAGAGATATTTGGGTCTTTGATAATGTTGTTCTGGATATTCCCAAGCTATCAGTAGTGTAATCTTGAGAAAATTTAATATTTTTCATTAATTATTTATAATACAAATCAAAGTCTTTTATCAATTCATCATCGTCCATTTTACCTCTCAAAGCTTTGACAAATGTTTATTCTACAATAATGATATGATATTACAAGAATTTTGGAGTAGATAATAATTATAATCCTTTGAATCTTGGTAACTTCGGAACAATAAAAGTAAAGTAATAAAAAGTATGTCCAATCATAACTCCTATCAAATTAGATTGTATTGATTTTCCACTTATCACATTCAGGAGAAGAAGAAACCATACCATGTATTACGCCTGTACTTAAATTACAAATAAGACTAAATAGAAGCAAAAGCCTACATAATAATGGTCTTTCTTAGTTTTTTCTGCCCCAAACATACATCAGAGCTTCAATTAAGAATTATGTGAGCGAATACTCATTCATCCATAATCCTATCAATGTAATTGTGATGAAATTCAATATCAAATAATAAAGATAGTTTGCAAAACCAACAAAAGTATGCATTTCTAAAGAAGATGATATCGATTGACTATTTCTTAATATTCTATATTTACAAAAAAATTAGACGCATTATTGTTATTATATCTAAATTTCCAAAATATAAAATGCTTGTTAATGCCCTCCATGGCTATTAAAAATATATTTCCAATTACTTAGAATTAATCCGAAAAGGCTAATTTATAATTTAAATATAGGCTTGAAGGGTTCAAATACTAAACATAGGTAGCGTAACTTAATAATGAACTACTGAAAACTATAATTCCAGTCAAAGGTGGCATATTGAAAATTTGTTGCAATACCATTCTCGATTTTATAAATTTTAATAATAGCACTTTTCGATATTAAATAAATGAATAAATTAAAAGGAGGCAAACTAGCCATCACTTATTATTGCGTATTAATAGATGTGATCTTAATAAGAATATTTTTTTGGAATTTAAACAATAACTTTAAAATTAATTTGCGTAAATAAAAAAATAACTTTCGAACTTATAATATTCGAATATAGAATTACAACCTTGATCTGTGAATTACCTTAAACAAATCTCATCATATTTTTTGTTTTTCGTTAATTTCTCTAATTCATTTATTTTAAATATAAATGAAGGAGAGCATAAATATATATTTGTAATCATGATGGCTTATCTTCTAGAAGTATTAATTATCACAACCGATTTATAATGTAGTAATATGTTTTAACCTTTGATGTTGGTTTAAGTTAAAAAATTTGAAATAAATTACTATTGTTAAATAAATGTATAAAGTCTTGCCGTTTGTCTTGTTTAGAATGTAAAAACCTTATTTTTATGATCATCACATTATATTTTATAAAGTTACTAGTAATAATACTAAAATGAGATTTATTTTAAATCTATCATGATTGGTCAAGATGATTCCAACCCTATGGATAAATGCTAAACGATGAAAACACATTGAAATGCTGTTAAAGATGAGAGTAATAGCACTCTGTTGAATAAAATAATAGGAATTCTCTCTTATATATATTTTATTTTATCTTAATTGTTCAGTAAAAAAGTGAAATTTATTATTTATTATGAGTATATAGTTAGAAACACACTTTAAATAGATTTCATCTATTCTTTTGAGTTCGATTTTATTATTTGTTGTATAAATATATAATCTATAACAATGTTATGTTTTTACTTTTGTTGAGAAATTTCAATTGTCCACTAACCTCTAACATTATTTGGTGTTAATGAAATGAATAAGCAATGATCAAATAGAAATGGTTGAAAAACTTGAGATTATATTAATAATATACATTTATATAAAAACAATGGAAATGTCGCTTTTTAGGTGTGAAAATCAGAGAAGAGTGTGAATTAAGTGTAAATTCTAAGGATATTCAGTAATTTTAATGGACACCAATATATACTTGGGTAATTGAAAAAAAGAAGGAAAAAAAGAATATAAAAGAATGACATAAAGTAAATAAAGATTGTTTATAAGTGATTGTTACCTAAAAATGGAAGATTTTGAGAAAGTTGAAATGGAATTTTTGGAATTGAATGGTGTCATGAAGAAAGAAAGATCAAATTTATTTTTACAAGTGTGATTAGTGAAATGTTGGTTGATTTTAATTAAGTATTAATTATATTAAATCATACAGTGATATGAGTAGAATGATATTTTTTAATTTGTGGTAAATGGTTTAGGAATGCTCGAAATTGGGCAGAAAGTGTTGAAGGTGAATTTTACAGTTCATTTTATAGGAAATGGAGAGCGAATATTTATAAATTTAAAAAGTTGTTACAACTAATTTAATAAAAAATAAATTATTATATTTAATAGCATTAACATTGTGTAATCAAGTATTGATTCTTGGTAATACAAAGCCGCATTAGGATTAATATAGATTATGTTAGATAGGAAATGGATATTAAGTTTGATTTGGAGAAGGAGGTTCATGCTCTTGTTTTACATTGATTTATTGCTTAACTTCTAGAAGTTACCTTATTACTAATTGTGCTGCCCACAATAAATTTTGGAGAGTAGTCTAATAAAGTGGATTTGAATTTTCAAGAGCTTTTTAGAATTATTAAGTTAATATGAGATATAGTTTCTAGCATTACGATTGAAGAAGAGAACGTTATTCTTTTGCCAGAATTACTTAGTCCTCATCTGTGGGTTGCTTATCCATATATATCTATATAATAATATTTAAATTTACTTAGCTAACTTCAGATGATACAATAGGTTGTGATAATTAAAATGTGAATGGATTTACTATCGATATCTTCAGGATATTCTAAACCTTCAGCTTCTTCTTTCTTGTTTCCTTTTTCCCTACACGACCATCTTTTTCGAATGCTTTTTGAATTGTGCGAACTGTACAGTATTTTAGTTTTAGTTTATTTGCTACCTATATTGAATTATGTTTAAATATCATATATATTAGTAGGAGTTGTTGATAATTTTAGCAAATTCATACCTCTTAAAGGGATAGTTTGTCTTTGATAAGCAATTCTAGTACCACTCTCCTTTCCTCTTTATTAATCTTTTAGTATTTTCTGGATTGTTTTTGTTGCTCTTCGACATCTTCTGACTTGGTCATAATAAAAGAATCTTATTTATTATATTTATAAAACAAAATTTAAAAAATAATGCTTATTAATTTAAATAAGATTCATTTTTTTATTAAATATACTAATCCGCATTGATTTAGCAAATTATTAAAAAGAGATTCTAAACCATCCATCATCCTTAACAACAAAATACACTCATAATTAAGAACTCATAAATTTTAAGTCAATATTATTTAACTTTTTCATATTATTTGTTTATCAATATTTCTATATAATTCAGAGCATTATATAAATCATCAATATTTTTTTTCTAATATCTTCATTAATATTGTATCATTAAATTAAATATCCCAGCATATCAAGATCAAAATAATACATATAATCATTGATTTTAGACAATTCTTTCAATTTCATTTTTAAATCAAACTTTTAAATAATTCAACTAAATACGATCATCATAGTTCTCTTCTAATTTATGCGATTATATACAGATATACTCACATGTTTTAATGATCTTTTTACATTAAAGTTATTTACAACAACCTTATTTTTGTGAATAAAATTTCAAATTTTCTAAATCCAGAAAATTTTGTATGAAATAATGTAATAAATCACTATTATTTTACATCAAATTATTCATTTTTTAAATAAATGAAGCTTTTTAATTACTTTGTTTGATATTTTTTAAATTGCACCATATTTAGGTGCCAACATAAATAATTCTCTTGATACTTAGTATATTAGGTTATTCTGTGGTGAAATTATTCAATTTTGAGAGAAACATAATAATAAGTAAAAATATTTAATGATCTAAATTTAGTACATTGATGGATTTATTTTTGATATATTGTGTTGTTGTTTAAAATACTGAAGCAAATGAATTCCGTTTATGATGGACTTGAATAAGTAGCATTGATAAACAGAATAAAATTGAAGAGTTCTAAATTTAGGTTTCACAGTTTTATGACGAATGTAGAGTTCAATGGTTATTTTATTTTGTATTAATTAATAATATTGTTAAATAAATGAATGATGTTTGTACGCCTTATCATATTATTCTATCTTTTCAAATTATGAAAAATTCTTCCATTCAGATTTGTCCATCAAAATATGGCTCATACTATTGAACCCCTTATTTCCACATATCCATAGAAGCATCACTAAATATTCCCTTCAATTCGTATACTATAATTGAACCACTTTTACCTTATTTATATAATACTTTACTTATTTAAGCTTCATATTTGAAGTTAAAGTCTCCTTTAGATAACAATTATTTTCTATGATTGTAGCTATAAAAACTCAATTTTAATACATTACAATCATATGCCTTTTTTACATCTATTAATGAAGTTAATATTTAAAATAATTCATTATATTTAATTTCCATATTAAAATAAATGATTGGCTTCTTCTTCTGTTGCTTCAATTGGTTTCATAAATTTATAATATTCTGCTAATAGCTTCTTATAGCTAAATTGACTCTTTTGGTTGATGTCAAGACACTAGGAAGCTTTTGCGAATTTCTTCATATATCTCAATACTATATCATTAGTAGTTTATTAGTTAAGAGTACTAGTATATCACTTAATCCATATTTTTGGTAAAAACTGTTAGATTCTTCAAGTTTTGTATAAGAATTATTCTATGGACATGGTTTTGGCGGAAACTTATATAAAAAATTCCACCACAAGATCAAAGATAACATCATATTTCTTTTCAAGCCTTCAGTTGCTATGTAATTTTGAGCTTCTAAATTAAGCAAATTTCAATCTAATTAAATCATTTTTTAATACTTAAATCATTACCAGCTCACAATTATTTCTCCTCACACTATTGGTATCAAGGATTAAATTTCTTTTCAGTAATTATAGTCTAATACATGTAATCAGCCCTTTTATAAAGATAATATTTGCTTCATTATTTCAGCAAATTACTCATGTAAAAGCCTTCTCCCGCTTTATTTTATCAAACAGGTTTCTTCCTATTGCTATTAATAAGACTCTATAATCTTATTAAAGTTGTAATTTCTATAAAATTTGGATGGTCCTTTAATATTATGGCATTTAAATTAATCTTCTTGTCATTCTTCTCAAGTTCAATATTAGTGTACTATTTTTAATTTTTTCATTTGATACCATCACTTTTGAGTTTATGAGAGGTTGTATGTTTAGGGCCTGATTAGTTCAGTTGGTTCTTTGAAGATGACTCATTTCAAAGGCATTTTCGTAAGCAAGCTCGCATGAGCTATTTTTTTAATTAAATAATTATGGGAACTTGTACTCAAATCAATAATAAAGTTCTACAAAGAGAAAAATCTTTATTGAGGTTAGTTATGTTTTTCTACAATGTTCCTATGCATTCGCATCCTGATATTGATAGTCTTATCAACACTAAATTGAATTCTTGCCGAATTATTGAAAAAGGATTAAGCCAAACTTTAATTGGAGAGATAGTGCGATTTCTAAATTCCTATAAGAGTAGAACTGCAGAACAAGATGAATTACATAATCATTTTAAGTATGTTCACACACAGTCTTTAAAGAAGTTCAATCAATTTGGAACTATTTTAGGCAAGATTATCCTAATTGTATTATATTTAAATTACAAAAGACTTCTATTGAAGTGTTATTATGTATTAAGACTCTTGAAATGGGGGATTTAACTCCTGTGGATGTTTGGTGGGTCTAAGAACATTTTCAAATAAGATACAGATTATTGAATGAGCAATATAGTGTAGAATATGACAATTTTTTGGAAATGAATTACTTGATTAAGTTTCTCTACCTTCTCAAAGAATGTGTGCGAATTGAGCTCAAAAAGAACAACTTTGAATTAAATCAGTTTATTCTCTCGGTTAGACATGATTAATCAGACATTCTACTACATACAGCTAGAACTGTGGATAGTGCTAGAACTCAATAAAAAAGATTAGAATCAATGTGATAATTACCTCAATTTATTCATGAATTTAATAAATATATTCATAATATTTTGTTATCACAAGAGTTAGACAATAAACTCAATAGTTTATTGCCAATTTGTTATTAATTTTACTGAATTTTATCCCCGTCTTTTTAGTTTAAATTTATATAATGTGATCTAAAACTAATTCAAATATTAAGAGGATATTAATTAAATATCTCGTTAATCAATATGTGCTTATTTTGACCATTGAGTCAATACATGAATAATGATTCTACTTTTAGGTTGCTTATATTAAGAAGATTTTGATAAATGAGAGACACAATGATATATGTATATCTATTTTGTTAATTTTTATTTAAATTAAAATATCAATGAATTAATAGATANTAATCTTATTAAAGTTGTAATTTCTATAAAATTTGGATGGTCCTTTAATATTATAGACAATATTCTAGAATATAAATTACATTTGAAATTACTATCTATATGGCATTTAAATTAATCTTCTTGTCATTCTTCTCAAGTTCAATATTAGTGTACTATTTTTAATTTTTTCATTTGATACCATCACTTTTGAGTTTATGAGAGGTTGTATGTTTAGGGCCTGATTAGTTCAGTTGGTTCTTTGAAGATGACTCATTTCAAAGGCATTTTCGTAAGCAAGCTCGCATGAGCTATTTTTTTAATTAAATAATTATGGGAACTTGTACTCAAATCAATAATAAAGTTCTACAAAGAGAAAAATCTTTATTGAGGTTAGTTATGTTTTTCTACAATGTTCCTATGCATTCGCATCCTGATATTGATAGTCTTATCAACACTAAATTGAATTCTTGCCGAATTATTGAAAAAGGATTAAGCCAAACTTTAATTGGAGAGATAGTGCGATTTCTAAATTCCTATAAGAGTAGAACTGCAGAACAAGATGAATTACATAATCATTTTAAGTATGTTCACACACAGTCTTTAAAGAAGTTCAATCAATTTGGAACTATTTTAGGCAAGATTATCCTAATTGTATTATATTTAAATTACAAAAGACTTCTATTGAAGTGTTATTATGTATTAAGACTCTTGAAATGGGGGATTTAACTCCTGTGGATGTTTGGTGGGTCTAAGAACATTTTCAAATAAGATACAGATTATTGAATGAGCAATATAGTGTAGAATATGACAATTTTTTGGAAATGAATTACTTGATTAAGTTTCTCTACCTTCTCAAAGAATGTGTGCGAATTGAGCTCAAAAAGAACAACTTTGAATTAAATCAGTTTATTCTCTCGGTTAGACATGATTAATCAGACATTCTACTACATACAGCTAGAACTGTGGATAGTGCTAGAACTCAATAAAAAAGATTAGAATCAATGTGATAATTACCTCAATTTATTCATGAATTTAATAAATATATTCATAATATTTTGTTATCACAAGAGTTAGACAATAAACTCAATAGTTTATTGCCAATTTGTTATTAATTTTACTGAATTTTATCCCCGTCTTTTTAGTTTAAATTTATATAATGTGATCTAAAACTAATTCAAATATTAAGAGGATATTAATTAAATATCTCGTTAATCAATATGTGCTTATTTTGACCATTGAGTCAATACATGAATAATGATTCTACTTTTAGGTTGCTTATATTAAGAAGATTTTGATAAATGAGAGACACAATGATATATGTATATCTATTTTGTTAATTTTTATTTAAATTAAAATATCAATGAATTAATAGATAGCACAGGAGCACTTCGAAGCATAAATGTAGTCTTCATAAGGGTTCAAAAATGAAAAACCTATGTAATGATTTTTGTTTGCATGTATTTAGGAATGAATAAATAGAGGAATTGATGGATCATCTGGATCGCGAACATGATAGTGAAGACGAGGGAATGGAAGACTACAAAATAGGAGGTTATATATAGTAAGTATAATATAGGATATCATCCAGTTCATATTGGAGAAGTGCTTCTAAATAGATATGTGGTTATATAAAAGTTAGGATGGGGACACTTCTCCACTGTGTGGTTGGCTAAAGATTTTAAATACGAAACTTATGTGGCTTTAAAAATTTAGAAGAGTGCATCTCATTATCTGGAAGCTGCATATGATGAAGTAAAAGAAATTTATTATTGATTTTAGGTTGAAATTCTCCAAAAGGTTGCTTAAAATGTGTAGAATCCAGTGTGGATTTAATCGTTAAAGGAGTATTATGCAGATGTATTAGTTTATTTCATATTTATTAATAGTAAGGAAGAACTTCATTCAACAGAGATGATACTCACACCGTTTAATTATTGAATTCTTTTGTGTACAAGGGACCTTATGGTCATCATTTTTGTATGGTATTTGAGATATTGGGTGTCAATCTATTAGAGATCATTAAACGATTTGAATATAAAGGAGTAATATATTAAAATATGATGATTAGTGTCCTATGGATATTGCCAGGAGAATGGCTAAATAGATTTTGATTGGATTAGATTATTTACATAGAATTTGTGGTGTCATCCATACAGACTTAAAACCTGAGAATGTTCTCTTGTGTTTGTCTGATGAGGAGATCAAAGATATAGTAGAAAATGGATAATTAACATCAAATCAACTCTTCTCAGATAGAATCCATATATACAGATAAATGTTAGGAATAGTAGAAGACAAACCAGTAGTTGAAGAGAAAAAGACTTATTAGAAACAGGAGGAAGATGATTTAGATTCATAATCCACAAATTTAACAAAGACTCAGAAGAGGAAATTATTGAGAAAAAAAAAATAATAGCAACAACAATAAACCCAATAAAATGAATTTATAAATGAACCAAATGAACAAACAGAACAAGAAAGGCCTAAATCCATAAAGGAATTGTTTTAATAGCAAAAAAAGTATTGATTTTATTAATGAAAGGATTTCATTTACTCAACAGAAGAAATTGCCAGACAATTTTCGTTTGAAAATAGCAGATCTTGGTAATGCCTGTTGGATACATCATCATTTCTCAACATTAATACAGACAAGATAGTATCGATCACCTGAAGTGTTGCTGGGAATCAAATATAATCCTACTGCTGATATCTGGAGTTTTGCTTGCATGATATTTGAAATGCTCACAGGAGATTATTTATTTGAACCCAGATAAGGTCCAAACTTTTCAAAAAATGAAGATCATTTAGCCTAAATCTAAGAGTTGTTAGGAAAGTTTCCTTATGAATATTGTACAAGAGGTGCAAAAGCTAAAGTAATTTGAATTAATAATTATTATTGCAGAGGTATTTTACCAGCAATGGACAAATGAAACGAATTCCTTAATTGCACTTTTGGAGTTTATTCAACGTTTTAACTGAGAAATATAGATTCAAATAAGAAGAAGCTTTATCGTTTGCTTCTTTTATGATGCCTATGTTACATTAATTACCAGAATATAGAACGACTGCTTAAGAGGTGTTGTAGAGAGAATTATGTTCCAATAATTTGGATGATCTTTAAAGAAGAGCTCAGTTGAAAAAATATATAGATCAGATATTCGCATTTTAGAATTTCAGAAATAATATTCCAAATTCTGGTTGGTTATAGGCCAAGACTGATTCATAGATTGGACATAAGATGAATGAAGATGAATTTAAGAAATATAACAAACAAAAGAAGGCTAATGAGGAAGTGGAATAATTTGATTAGAATATTGAAGGAATTTAACCAACTCTGTTGTCAAATTATCGAAGAGTACGTAGAATAATATATTCATTAGGCATCGACTAGGTCTTATGATGGATCGAAATCGCAAACTCCTTAACAAGACAAAGTGGTAAGAAAGGAGGGAAAATATGTGGATCATAGAGTGATTGACAGATCATTCACAGATTTAGGATATATAGGATATGGAGATGGAATAGACTTAGAATAATTAGACAGTACAGGAAATTGGTAGTTTAGTTGAATTATTGTACATGTTAAGTATGTAATATTCTTGAATGATTTTATAATGTAATGGTTTATTTCATTGATTGTGATGACCTTCAAATGCTCTGATATTATGGGCAGTATTAATCACAAAGTTAGATGTGTCAACAACATAACCTTTGGTAGCTGCTTCAAATAATTCAGGATGATGAACTACTCCTTCCTATTTCCATTTATAATTCAAATACTTTCATGAAATAGATCACTTCATCTTAAACTGTGGTACCCAATTCTTGGATATGATCAAGTTAACATGCTAATTCATATTTTAATTATCCTTCTTCTGTCAAATAATCTGCATTATCGCGATCATCAAATTATGTGAAATCAGCTGTTAGTGGATGGAATTAATATGTTTCAACCCAATAGGTGTTTTTATCATTAGCAAGAGTGTTTGTCTCAATCTTTAATACTTTGCCACCTCTGAGTAAAGAGAGTCTTTGTATTTTATATTACAGTGATCTCCAATACCTATGTAAAATGGAAAGATTTATTACCACATTCTTGGAATCCATAGAAATGAAGGAGCATAAATGAAAAGGTTGTTCCAATACCATGCAATGTCTAATGGGTTCTTAAACCAAAGGTAAATGGACAATGGAATGGCTGTCTCATAAAGTATATATGGATATTTAAGGAAGATTGTAAGATGTTTATGGGGATCACACGAGTAACTAATGATTAGTGACTGAATTACAGCAACACTTCTCCGATTCTATCGAATTCAATTGTGTATGTTGGTTTGTAAATTCGATCAGTTTTGACAACATATGAGGATTCATCATTCATTACCTATGCTTTGTGTGCCACAGTGGCATTATGGAAATTTTTGATGTGGTTGAGTTGATAGAGATTCTTCAAGCCCAACCTCAAAGTGTTTATTGATCTGGTGAGCATTAATTAAAGATATTATTAATTATGTTTAAGTTTAGCAACAAGAGAATGGAATATGAAGAATAAATGCTTGAAGAAAATTCAGATACTCTCCCTCCAAATGTTTAGTATTAGCGTATCGATCGATATAATTACATCCTTTAAATAAGAGGTGAAGTAGGTAGTGTTCATGAGGGTAGAATATTAAATTAGAAATAGGTGCCTACATTATCGCAGATGTTAGTTTAAATGGTTTCCCAGTCGAAGCCCCCTAAGTAAATTTTCGCAATAATTTTTAACACGTGAATATTTTTCCAATGGGTAAGCTTTGCTTGTACTTGGTTAACAAAGAAACATGGATTTCTAGCACAAGTTTGATAGATGTTTTTTCAGGAATCAACCAAGTCATACATCAGTATTGAATTAAGTTATAAATCTAAGTCCTACCTTCAATGACCCTGCTAACAGTCTTTATAAGGACTCTGAAGTTTATGAAAAGGATATGAAAGAATAAGCAAAAAAATTTAGAGATGAGAAATATAAAATAATATGAAATTAAATCGTTTTTGAATTGTGTCGTTTTTTATTTAATAAATAAATGAAAGGAATCATCGCTATCATTCTTGCATTGGCTGTGGTCTCAAATGCCACCAGCACAAAAGATTAAATCTTGGCTTTACTTTAAACAGGAACAAAGGCCAGTGATGCCATTGACACAGTCTTTGGATTGCTTAACGATTTAAAGTAATCAAACATCGATGCTCAATTCGCAGCTGACCAAAAGAACGAGACAGACGAATGGGTTGGTGCTTAAACCATTGAATAATTCAGTAAAATCAAGGCCCTCAATCAAAAATTGTTCCAATAGGCTGTTGAAAACAGAGCTGAGTATGAAAACGTTCTTCAATAAACCAAAAATTATTTGGCATGGAATGAAGCCAGAAGAGATTCAATTGCTGCCAAAATTGAAACACTCCAAGACAACCAATGCTTCTCCAACCAATTGTTTGTTAAGTCCATCAAACATAACCAAGAAGCTTTGGAAGTCATCAGACTCCTCAAACAAGATGTTGCTGGATACATCATCAATGGAGATTCCTTTGAATTCACTTAGGTCTAAGCTCAATCAGTTGCCGAGAAATTGAAATAATACAGCAACCTCTTCTAAGAACACTAAATCAAGTCCTTCTTGGCACTTGCTTAAGAAGAATAAGTATCTATAATAATGATATATCAAATAGGCCTCAGAATCATCTGGACATGGATAAACATTGGCTGAAAGAGTCTTGGGTGTCCTTGAAGGCTTAGAATCAGAATTATCTGCCTCATTAGAAAATTTGAAATAAAACGAAATCAATGCCTCATGGGAATTGGCTGGATGGGTATCCTTATCTGAAGCTGAAATTGCCTCATTGGAAGTTGAATACGAAAGAAAATAAGTCTTCGCTGACAGAACTGCTACTGTAAATATTTCAATATTATATTGTTTAGTAAATCCAAGCTGCCTTAGCCCAATAAGCTAAATCAAAGATCATCTTATAAGAATCCCAAGATGCTTTAGATTAGGCCCAAGCTGACTTAGAAAGCAAGAGAGCTGATTATGCTGAAGCAAAAGCCAAGAGACAAGAGGAGAATGCCATTTTGGATGAAGTAATCATCATGTTCAAGAAATAAGTTGCCTCATGGTCTGGAAGATGATATTCTTTTTAAATACAAAATTAGTCAATCATAACAACATCACTAATATTATAGTTCTTAATTCTTTTGTGTTTTAGTAAGAGTAGGCTTTTGTAATTGTTTACTCTGCTAATTAAAAATGTTTTAATAGACCTGCACATCATCTTCATCATCGTCTTCCATATAATCATCTCCTTCATACATGATTGTTTAGGAATTTGTAAACCTACTCTTAAACTCTATATCTTACATGTGGTTTTTAGGATTATAAGTGATAACCTAATCACCTTCCTCATCATAGTCCTAATACCTTTTCTAATTAGAGGTTTTTTGAATCAGTTTTTCCCAACCTTGATTGAGAGAGCTCAATAGTTATTCTTTTGATGACAACTTATTCTCCGCCTAAGTCTCTTTCACAATTGATTAAGGAATGCTTTCCTTAGTGTCAATATCTATGGCTAATTTCTTAGGCTATTATTGAGATTACTCTGATAATTGTTTTTTTTGTAGTGAACTATTCGATGATGATCCAGAAAGAATGTCCAACTATTTTTGTTTAACTTCTTAAACATTTATCTGTTGTTACTTGGATGAATTAATGGGTTTCATCAAATCTTCCATTATCCTCTGTTTGTCTTCCTGACTCATAAGTTGATTAGATTATTTCTTCATCATCATTTCTTTCTCTTCAGCATACAAATCCTACAAAGGTTGATGCATAGGCTATTGATTTTAATAGTGTGAGTTTATTTGAGCCATGTTCCAATCAACATATTATTATTCAATTTAAGACTTTCTATTTTACAACATCTTTTCATATTCTAGAATTGCCTATTTGTCTAAGTCTTTTCTTGAAATACAGAAATTATCAAAGAATTGTAATTCTACTTCATTTTATTGTTATTCCAACTATTTTATCTACTCGTCGCTGAAATTTACAGATAGTAGTTTTTTCAAAAAGAGATTCTATGTTTCTAATTCAATTTATTATGCTTAGATTTCTTGCCATTGCTATTCCTCTTGTATTGTATGTTCTTCGATAACTTTCATCATTTGATTGTATTTTTCTCTTATTTATTGAATACATTCGTTCTTCTTTGCAATTTCAGCATCCTTAATTCTTAATTTCAATTATAAATGCTCTATACTATTCAAGTGATCTTAACATGTTTATTGTTTTAGTTTTTTAATCATTTTAGCCATCTTCTTAATGAGGTACATGCATTCTCTATTATTTTCATAGAGTATCTTATTATCTTAGCAAAATTGATCAATTTTTTCTTTTTATTATTCAATCATCATGATATCTGATGGCCTTATTGGAAGAGTAGCTATCTCTTTTGACTTTCTTTATTCTGATTTCTTTGTGATATAGACAGCTCTTCTTTGTTTTGGTACTTGTCTCGAAGTTGTTGAGTCATCATACTTAAGAGATTCCTCAGTTATTTATGCTTTTGAATTTTATTTATCTATTTCTTATTGCCTATCAACTTTTGAGGATGGAATGGATCCTTATTCACATTGTCTTACTTATTGAAGTTAGACAAAAAATTGTTTGATGAGTTCGTATTTTTGAATAAAGGCAGGTTGTTGAGGGTATTCGAATAACATAATTCAATTTAAATTTAATTAATTAGTAGATAAATATAACAAAATCAATGTTTTTGTAATTTCAAAGCTATTAATTGCATTCCCTATGAATCTGTATATATTTTTTATGTTGTTGCATCGGCGTCGTTATATGTGCAAATCTCATTCAAACAGAAGTGACACTTTTATCGTTAAAACTCTAAGGCACATATATGGCAAATCTGATTGATACAACAACATGACGTTAATATGTCTTAAAATACTAATAATTCAAATTTACAATTAAAATATCTGAAACATATTGGACATGAAAGATGTGCAATTTCTGTAAGGGTCTCACTAATTAACAAATCTTTAAGAGGATGCTATGTTTTAATCTTTCTCACCTTGTCCTAATAACAACCATCCACGAAGTATAGATAATACAAGGAAGGATCCTTCTCATTCGATTTCAAATATTCAGATATTGTAGTTGTTACAATATCTGTGTTTGTTGCTGTTTTTGGTTCTTAGATATCTGAAGAGGTTCCACAACAAAAATACTTTTAAAAAAATGAAACCTTTAGAGTCTTGGCCATTTAGGTAGTAAAAAAATTAAAAATGATTTTTAATGGTAATCAATTAGCGAATTCAATTTTATAGACTCTTCGTGTAACGTCTAAAATAAAACCAAAATTAGGAATCTGTTTAGTTGGAGATTCACCAGCCTCTAAATCTTACGTGAATAGGAAACTTAAAGCCTGTCAGGAAATCAATGTTGATGCAGAAGTCTTTAATTTTTAAGAGAATGTTGGATAGGAGTAATTGATTAAACATATCTAATAAATGAATCATGATGGTATATTAGTGTAAGTATTTTAATAAATAAAAATATTATTAGTTGCCATTACCACCACATCTGAATAAGTTGGACATCATTCACTCAATTCCCTATGAAAAAGATGTGGATTGTTTACATATGCATAACTTATAAAGAATTTTAGTTTATGGAGAATTATGTGAGATGTTACCATGCACTCCAGCAGCAGTATTATAGATTTTAGATTATTATGATGTTAATGTGATTGGCAAGAAAGTCACCATGATAGGTAGAAGCTTCTTAGTTGGAATGCCATTGTCATTGTTGTTACAAAAAAGGAATGCTACTGTCACTGTTTGTCATAGGGAAACATTAAATTTAGATTAACATATTATGAATGCAGATATTGTGATAAGTGCTGCTGGACATCCAAAACTAGTTAGAAATGTTAAGTAAGGAGCCATTGTAATTGATGTTGGAATCTCGTAAGGGGAAAGGAAAGGCAAGATTGTTGGAGATGTTGATTTTGATGTAGTCAAAAACTAGGCATCGATTATTACCCCTGTTCCTGGAGGTGTGGGACCAATGACTGTGTGTATGTTGATGAGGAATCTGTGTAATATTTGGAAGAAGAAATAAGGATAGCCAGTTTACATCAATCCGAAATTGAGTGATGCTTATTTGAATGATTGATTAAAATTAATATGAGTAAAAATGATAAAAATCAAAAGCTGACTGCATATGAGAGTTATAAGAAAATAGAATCTGAAATCAAATTTCAAACCAATCTTCTAGAGAAATCAAATCCAACAATCAGGTGTCCAATACATTAATTCAATTATTCCAAAACTTGCAGGTAGTAACAAATTTGAATGATTAGATAATGTAAGAAAATTGTTGTGGAAGAAGTACCAACATACTAAGAAAAATCAATTAATATGGATAAATATCACTATGATGTCGGAGACAGAGGAGATAATATTATACCCATGTATTTGTGATAATTTAATGAAAGTCGAGGAGAAAATGCAATCAGCAATATGAATTCACTAGTTCGATAAAATATACTTACATGTCCATATTACAAAGAATTATTATAGATTAGAGATATTAATGACATTGTCACTGAGACAGATAAGATTGTTACATCTGTAGGCACTTGGGCTGGTCCAGGAGTACCATCATCGTTCTTCTGTATTTTACATAAGTTGATGAGCATGAATTTAAATGGTATAAATAATTGAATACTGATAATAGTCAAATAATTACAAATTTTATGTGATTGGAAGTTGAATCCATATGTTAGATGTTTAGGATTATTATATTTAAGATATTCATTGGATCCTAACTTTTTATGGGGTTGGATGAAGAGATATATTTTGGATGAATAAGGTATTTCAATTCGCAAAATATTAGAATTCAAACCCTCAAAAGATGAGAACATTACCATTGGAGATTTTTGTGAGAGATTACTTACAGACTTAAATTATTACAATACTCGATTACCTCGTATTCCATAACAAATTGATACCATTATATAAGCCAAAATATTGTTATCTTAAGAGAAGAGACAAAGGAGAAATATTAATCAAAGAATCATGCCATTATTATAGCCAGGAATCCCAGTAAGAGCGATCTCATAAAAAGACGATGAATGGCATGTTGGTAAAATAGAAAGCGTTGATGGCACATATCTTATTATTTAATTTGAAGAAGAGAAAGAAAGAATAAGCTTAGGAGAAATTGAATTCATCCCTAAGAATGATGAATAAAGATTATACGTTGCTTAAATGATTACTGAAGGAATGCAAGAAGATTAAATCGAATTGCCTTAAGAAGTGATTTAATAAAAGTCACCATCTAGATCGAAATCTAAAAAAAAGAAAAGATCAACTTCTAGTAGTAGTCAAAGTGACAGTAGTAGAAGTAAGAGTAGACGTAAGAGTCATAAGAAAAAGAAAAATAAACATAAGTCTTAAAAGGAACACAAAAGAAAGAAAGATAAAAAGAAAGACAAAGAGAAGGAGAAAGAAAAACAAAAATACAAGAAAGAAAAAGAAAAAGAAAGACAAAGACAAAGATCTAATAGTCCAGAACTTGGATAATATGAAACTAATAAAGAGAGGCAGGAAAGATTAGAGAAAGAAATTAGAAGAAAATAAATGGACAAAGCAGTTGCACATTCTAAATAAGATGTTGCCAAAATACCTGCTTCATATAAAACATCTTTGGCTGCTGCATTGCCAACTTCAACAAAACCCGTAAGACAAAGCAGCCCAGACCCCATTAAAAAAAAAGAATAATTTATTGAATTAGGGAGCTCAGATGTTAACAATCCTAAACTTGAAAAAGAATCAAAAGCAGATGTAATACTCTCATATTATTTATAGTAAAATAATCCATTTTTAAAAGAATTAATTAAAAAATATGGTGATGATGATGTTTGACTTATTTTTATCAATTTATTAAGTTTATAATCCAGCAGTTAACAACTATTAATATATTTCATAAACAAATAGTTTCTAGAACAATTTTTAATATTCTATTTAAGAGAATATTCTAGAATACATTATATTGACCTTTAAATTATAAATATTATATATTCTAATAAAATAATTAAGAAAATGGATTGGACTGGATTACTTGCTTGGTCAATAGATTAAAAGAAGGGAGAGAAATTTGATACCTCTATAAAGCCTATGGATGAGGAGACTAAAAAATGGTTAACCGAAGCATTATAAAGCTATTCTGTCGACGAATTTTAAATGATAAAAGACCTGCTAGATAAAATAGCTAAACCAGAATAAGAGAATGAAGAAGAATAACGTTTGGAATGGTTTGATTAATTAATGGAACTATTAGATGCTTTGGATAGAGCTAATGATTTCTGTAAAATTGGTGGGTTGAACTTAATGTTCAATTATTATTAGACTACTAAGTTTGATTCAATCAAATTATAAAGCCTAAAAATTATTGCAAATTGTAATCAAAACAACGCTTTTGTTTAAGAGTATTGTGGATAAAATAATTATCTTAAAATAGTTCAAGAAATAGAGAAAATTGATAATCTAAAAATAAAGGAGCATCTTATAAGTGCAATTTCGAGTATGATAAGAGGGGAATGCTTGAATAATAAAAGGAAATTTATAGATATGAACGGAATATAAATATTATTAAATCATTTAGACTCAAATAGATGTATCGAGAAAATTGCAAATATATACAGAGATCTATTATATTATGATGATGAATTACATAAGACTTATCATGATTTATCTAAGTTTTCAAATACTGCTGGATAAACATTAAAATAACAGGATAAAAAGAATTATAATCTAACGACAGACATCAATGATGAACTATTAAAATCTAATGAACTTCCTGAAAATACGAAGTATAAAGGTATAGTCAAACAAATATTGGTATCTTTGAATTTTTTTGGTTATGCAAATAAATTCATTTTTGATACCTCTATTAAAACCTCTGATCTAAGAATATAATACCTATAATGTTCAGTAATATTGTTAAAAGTGCAAAATAATCAAGAATTTAAATTGTTTATTTAAACTCATTTGGATCACCTATCAAAGGAACAAGATTAAGACGAAGGAGAATTAAGTTTATGTAAATAAATTTTGTGATTTTATTATTAATTTTTGTAATTATAATAACATGAAAACTATTCAATTCCTTTCACAAATTTGATATTTGCAAGAGAATTGGAAAAAACTTCTATTCTTTATTCAATTTTTTTCTGGTTTAAAATTGTCCTTATGAGTGAAACATCTTTGGAAGTACAAAATTCAAAAAAATTTAAGATTTGTTTTGATAGAGCCATAAGTTTAATTTCGCATTATTTTTAGATCTGCTCAATAGAATAAATGATATATTCCAAAATTAACATTTAAATATCTGAGTCGGATGAAACTATGAAAATGAAATTCATTATGGGGCTCAATAAGAACAGAATATCTTACAATGATATCATTAAAAAGTAATTTATAATAAAATATAAAGATAGCTATGTTTTAAGCTATAAATCATGAAATTATAAGTTTAATTATTTTCATTGAACTGAATCCAGTGATGAATAAGGTCGATAATCTGAATTAGGAATTGAAAATACAATAAATATAAAAATAATTAAGGATGCATTATTGATAATTCGACAATATGCTATGATTAAAATTCAATGATGAATTAATTATATTACAAAGTGGTCATAAAATTTTAATAATTTATTTATGCATATTTTTTTGATGAAATCCTTAGGCAAACATTAAAACTCCTGAATTAAAGTAAGATAAAAAATAACCTTCACTATTTATTCTCTTGGATCGAAATCAACTATTTATTTTCATAAAATTATTTTTGTTTTCAATTTATCAGAACTTATCAATATGAATAGACCAGCGGAATTTTAGGGTTAATTTTATCATTCTTTATTGATTCTTCAAATCTATTTATGTTTTAGCATAATAATGTAATTATCCTTTTAATTATTCAGATGATAGAGTTTGAAAATTGAAATCGCTTTTACTAAACAAAGAACTTGAATTTGATAATTATTATTTTTGCATTCCTCAAGTTTAATAGAACAAATTAACAACTATGTATAGTAATATTCCACCTCTAGATTTTTATTTGATTAGAAATTTAACATTAAGATTATTTTATTGTAGTAAATTATGAGAGTTATAGACAAGTAATAAGTTTAAAGAATTACTGGAATCTAATAATACACATGGGCTTGGATTATAAACAGTATATATTTCTTGTTCTAGAAAGTCAATTAATGAACTATATTAACAACTTATCTTTAACGATAATAGGTATAGTATTTTTCTGGTTGATTTCTCTCAAATTTCGTGGAAATAATTAATAATTTTTAATTCAAGTGTGGACCAAGGAATTTGACTGCTTCAAGTGAAAGAAAGTCAATATTTACAATACATTTGAATCATATATTCAATTTGAGAGAAATCTAACCAGAATTAATAATAAAAATGATATTAGTTGAGCCTCAAATACGGATTTTTGATTTATGCGATCAATTTATCATTAATAAAACAACGAACAAAATCTAATATAATAATCAATACAAATCATATAGATATGAGTGATGTAATAATCTTCATGATATCCTTTTTATAAACGACATTTTGCTCGTAATTGGATGACAAATAATAGGAAATATTTACTTTCTTTTTATGTAAATTTCACTGTTTAGAATGCACATCATCAGATTTATATAGTTTTATTGCATAGTTTGTATATATCAATAGCCTTTGATAAGGTATTCAAAAATTTTAGGATAATATAATACCTACGTCATAATTTTAAAATTATTAGAAATCAAATCTAATTAATAATTTTTACATTAGATTATAATTGATTCTAAATTATTCTATATATTCTTAAAATACAGAAACATTCTAATATATATCATAAATGCTGTTTGTAGAATAATTGACAATTTTTTATCAACAAGGGATGTGATAGATGCTTTTTCAAAAACAAAAGTAGATGATAATGTGGTAAACAAAGAAATTATAAACTTTAAGTATCTTGTAATTAATAAATATTAATATTGTTAAGGCATAAACCTGGTTTATCAATGGACTAATTTATTAAATCGGAGTTTAACTCAAAGTTCGTAAGCATTCAAGAGATGTCTGTGGGATTGAAAATAGTGGTAAATTATTGTATTTATGATAGGATCCCGTAAATAAGTTGATTTTGTTGTTTTAGTTCTGGAACAACTCTATTTTAATGGATTGGAATTACTTTCAATAAGAATTTAATGCTGGGCATCTTGGAAATTTATTTTTCATAATTGAAATTGGGGAGTCTAAATTTCATATTTATGGAAGCGCAGAAGATTTGTATGTCATATATAAATTTTGCTCTGGAAAGTATATTTTTAGAAGAGGAACATCTAATAAAACACTTTAAATGATCAAAGAGAAACATGATTACCAAGTAAATGAAGAAATATTATTTACTAGTTGAAATCAATATTCGACTCTTCAAAACAAAAGTAGTACTATGAACATGTTATTTTGGTTCAAATGAACGATAGCTTAGATATGTCTTTCTATTCTTAGGCTACATTAGATGGGGAGAAGGTTTTACCTTAAGAAATTTAAATTATAAAAGACTTACATATCACCTCTTCACCTTATCTGATTTAAGTAGATGCCTTGTATCACGATGGAGAGTAATATTCTTACATTTATTCAAAAAAAGATTTAATAAAATTATCTCAATATTATAATCACACTTAATTGGACAACCCATGTTTCATATCACATGTATCAAATTAATTAACACTATGTAATTATTACACCATAAACTTTATAGTATTGTTGACTCTGGACGAAAAGGGTATTATACATCCCAGTCTTGATTTAAAAAATCTTTACATCAACCCAAACACATAAGATATAGTTCTGGTTTCCTATTACTAGGCTTACTATTAATAGAATAATGAAGAAAGAAGAATGTAATTATTTCTCCTTATTCAGGTGTGTAAACATTGGTTATTCTCCTCCTGAATACTTTAAGATAAATTACAAATTAACAACCAAATCAAATGTTTATCAAGCTGGCATTTCATTATTTCATTTGTACTATCTTCAATTAAGCATTAGATTACTTGGACACAACCCTTTCGGTAAAACCTAATAAGAAATGGCAATAAATCATACCAATAATAAACTTGATCTCACCAGACTTAATGTTTTTGATTAAGTCTTATGTGATTTCATCAGATAGTTACTAGAATAGGATCCACTCAAACGACCATCACCTTAAGAATTACTTAAACACAAGCTGTTTTCAATTACTCATAAGGAAAACCTGTCTAAATAGACTATGACAAAAGAATACCATAAAGATATCTAAGAATTCCAAAATTTTAGTTAGACCTCAAACATTTAAACTGTGAAAAAATCTCTAAATTTCAAGACGAGATTATGATTTATAGTAAGGATTGTAAACTCATATATATATTTTGAATTCTCTTAACTCTCTTTAATATTAATTTTTTTTAATAAATAACTGCTTATATTTTGAAATTGTTCAAACTAGAGAAATCATTGGGTTTATCTACACTATTTTCTCAATTTTTAGGATCCTAAAATAAATATATTTATATTGTGATAATTATAAACTTTTATTTTTACATTCGATAAAATTCACTTTTAAGCAATAAATTTCTTAATCTAAAAGACATCAACATATGATTGTAATTGAATTGATACAAAACAGCTCAAGTAAAGGCTTATATTTAGTATTTATTCAATCATAACATATAATAAGTGAATATGCTAGTTCATCATTACAATGATACTTTCTTAAACAAAGATCAGTTGAATAAAACCTCTGAAACATTTTAATGAATCATTTTGATTTGTTCAATATTTATATTTGCATAAGCTCATCAGTTTTTTTTTTGTTTATAAAGGTCCTTGATAGTGTTCAGCATTCCTTTTCTTTTCAAAATCTCTTAATTGTAAAACCTTAAGCCATCAAGGCATAGAATTGCAAAGAAGGTTGGGTAAAACTTATAGTGTATTTTCATTCAAATTCTTTATATTTATTTTTCATATCTTAATGTCAGAAAAGAATGACATCAAGAATTTAAGTTTGATGGACAATTTCTGTCCCTAGGAATAACAACATTTTTGTCTTTCACCAGGGTATATAATACTGTGCCAACAGAAAAATTTAATCAGTTTCAAATACTCTAATTGTTGCCTCTTATTAATGAATGTATAATATGTGAATTGATTATATACCATGATTATCAAGTCTAATTACTTTAAAAACTATGTTTACTAAAATGGAATAAATTTTCTAAATACTTCTTTATATAAAGATCGAGATCTTAATTAATTGTAACATCTAAATAAAAGAATTACCAAATGAGAAATATAGGATTTTTCTTAATAAAAATAATTAAGCATTAGTAATAATTTAGCCCATTATTGTATTTATGAAATTATTGTATCAAAGTGCAATTTTTTAAAGATTTCTCAATTTCATAGTGCTCACAAATAGCAATTATAATAACATTTTCCATTCACATTCTTAGGTGATAATAATATATTTATCTCAGATTACACAAGTCGATTGTTTATCAGGAGCATTATTATTAATGGAAGAATAAATGATTAAAAAAATAAGTTAAATTCAATCTGAAATCGTATGTCTGTTTGTGGATTTTTAGATAATAAGTAAATTTTTTTTTTTACTATTTTCATTTGTTATTATATTTATATATTATTATGCAACAATTTAGAGACACTGACAATAATAGTGAGAATCTCAATGAGGAGGATAAGTAATGTAATAAATAGTATAACAAAAGCAGCTCCATCAATTAGCATGTACCATAATTTCCTCCTAAAAAAGCCCCATCTTTTTCTATGGATGGTCCACAAATTCTACCGCTGTTATTACAATTTAGGTGTGCGTAAGGAAATAATAGAAGGGAATTGGAGTGCTAACTTATAAAAAGATTAGTTAACATCAAAAAGAATTACGAGCCTGTTTGCTACAGATTAAATGGAACTTGGGCTTTGAAGTATACCAATTACCTTTACGAAAACTCAAACACCTTGCCAGGTCCAATAGATAACACTCCCTTATTATAAATCAAAGAGCCGGTTCGCAATAGAGATTATTTTGTATTGACTAACACAGTGTGGAAGTTTTTGCTTGAGGAGTACGGTGGTGGTCCTGAACTCTTGGAAGATAAGGTGCCTCCTTCGCCAGTATCTGCAATTTCTTCAACGACAGAGAGAGCCAAATCAGCTGACATTAGCATGATGTCAAGTGTATCACAATAGGAGGTTCCATCTGAAATTCCAATCAAAGGGCTGAAGAATGAGTTATTCTTCTGTTATATGCACTCTATCCTTTAGTGTTTAATGTGCATTCAAGAATTGAATCATTTTATATTAAACAGTATTAATAGACATAATGGATAGAAAATGCTATATTGTGAATGTTATAAGGAGATGTTATTACAAATAAGGGATGCTCAGAGTGACTATATCAGAATAAACAATTTGAGAACTACGATAAGCAAGAAGTTCAATCCAAAGTATTAGCATGATGCATAGGAGTTTCTCTTATACTTGATAATGATGATGGAGGATGAAATTATAGAAGTAAATAAGGAATGCGAAAAGAAATAGCAGCCAACATTGGAGAACGTCGTGAAGAAATATCTAAAAGGGTAGATAGTAAGTGAGTTAATTTGTAAGAATTGCAAACATAAATCTGTAATCACAGAAGAGTTTCTGACTTTATCATTAGCTTTAACAAAAGTATCAACAGTAAATCAATCTTTAGAAGAGTTCTTAAAAGACGAATTAATCTAGGATTATCAATGCGATAATTGTCATAAGAAAAATAAAGCAATCAAGAAAACAAGAATCACTAATTTACCTAGATATCTTATACTGCATTTGAAGAGATTCAAGTTTTTTCCAAAATAGACTAAAATAACTCAGCAGATCAAGTTCTCAATTGAATCCAATTTCTGTAATACAGAATACAAATTGATTGGAGTAATTATTCACTCAGGTTCTTTAGAATAAGGACACTATTATTCATTTGGTAGAAGATAACACAAATGGTGGTTGTTTAATGATTAAAGAATCAAATAAGCAAATAAGATAGATGTGTAATAGCAATAGGGTTACATCTTATTTTATTAATAACTTTTTTGATTATATGAATTTATATTTTAATAATCCGTTTTTTTTATAATATAATTATGAAAGTAATTGCTGTGACTCTAGTGTTATTGTTAGCAGGTAAAGCATTAGCCGGTGATCTAACCAATAGGTAGCCTATATCAAATTATACTAGATATCCAATCATTGGTAAAAGCAAGCCAACTCTTGTTAGTATCTTGACAGAATTGGAAAGCAAATTATCATCAGGCGGATCGATTGATACAGCTGTGAACTTCTTATCCAATCTTAGAGCTTCAATAGATTCTGAATAAATTAGACATGATCAATTATACACAGATCAAAGAAATCAATGCAATGCTGAATTAGAATTGAGAACCAAAGATGTGAAAGATGCAGAATAAGTATTGAACAGAGCAACTGAGTAATATGAGAATTGTTCTACTTCTAAGAAGAAGGCCGATGCTGAACTCGATAACAACTTAGATAGCCAAAAAGTATTTAGAAATACATAATTTAAAGGCTACTGATACCGACATCAAGATTTTGGATTCAATTAGACAAGCTGGTGCAACAAATTATAATGCTAAGAAATAGGATCATATTGATGCTTTAAGATCAATTTAGGAAAGTTTGAAGATCTTGGATAGCTTCTAATCAGGAGGTGCTTCATTAGCTTAAATGTCTGAGATTTCATTGAGAATGATCTAAGATGCAGTAAAATTGAAGACTACCAATATCATGAGTTAAATTTCAAGCATCTTCGCATAAATGTTGACTTAGAATGGAGGGTATGAATGATGCAATGAATTTTTAGATACATTGAAGTGTTTGAAAGACTTAAGTAATTATTGCAAAACTTGGAATAAAATTTGTATACTAATTTGTAGAAGATTTCTGAAGAGGAAGACCAATCCATTTAAGAATATGATGACAGAAGAGTTCATTTAGTTGAATACTACAATAATTTGAAGAGAACTGAGAACAAATTAAGAGATCACATCACCACCATGGATATTTGTTAAGATTAGCAATCAGCCATAATTGACAGTGCCAGAGGAAAGAAGGTAATTCAATTGGAGTAATATCTTTTAGGTGAGAAATGGAGAAATCTTTGACAGTGCTACTAGGATGTGCAATGATTTCGCATCAGAATATGAGAAGGCAACTCAAGTGAGAAAATAGGAGTTGGAATTGGTTGATAAGGTTAAGGCCAAGATAATTGAAAGAGGATCATGATATTTATTTGATTTGATTATTATAATTCACAACTCTGTTTTCTGATCTTAATGTTTCTTACAAAACTAAACTAGACTGTCTTAAAGATTATGCAAATTGTAATGAACAGTATCCCAATCAACAGTGTATTCGTCGATAATTACTCGATCGACTATTTGTTTTAATTGGAGTGCATATTCTGGATTTTTGTATGTTATATAATCTATTACCAAATTACCTTACGTGGAGTCCTAATATGTGAATATAAATTGAGGATTGGGCTTGACTTCATATTCGTACTAGAGGTTGAAGTCATTGAGCTTTAATAAAGTTCCGTTTTCAAGAAGATTGAATGAAATATTTGGGATTGCTTCTTCTAGATCATGACATTTCCATAATAGGATGTTGTTTGTTTGTGGTATCACAGTTATAACAGCTTAGAATGTGTATGCAGAATATTCCAATTAGGATGTCACATAGACGTACTCGAAGCCGGAGAATAGAGCACCAACAAATGGAATTAATAATAAAGTAAACATGAAAAATATTGAATTGTAATATGAATATTGTTTATATTTTAACAATGAAATATCTTAATGATATCACAGTTTGTCTATGATGTTTCCGTACTCCAATAAGAATTGAGCAACGCCTGGCAATTTAGCATTTCCGCTGACAGCCAAGAAATTGGGAATTGTAAAATAGAAATCAATTTCCATATTTGGCAAGTTCTACGATGATTTCAATGATTACCTCTTGAATTTGTTTTAGGATTGCTATTCCTTATTCGTCTTATATAGCTGCATCTCCATCTTGAATCCATTTTTGGATCTTCTTTCCAAAGAATCCATTTTATCTAATGAATTCAGGACAGTCATCAGAACTCTTGAATTCCAAATCCACCTTGAAATTCTTGAATTTAAGAAACAAACTCATTGGGGGTTCATTGGCAGCATCTGGCTCAAGATTCTCAAGTACACTTTTTATAGTTTATGCCAAATCTTAAGCAAGATCCAATTTCAGAACGAATTTGAGACTCTTCATAACGACTGACATCAGTCTATCACCCTTCTTAAGAAGTTCACTAGCAAATGTAAAATCAGTATTGGATGACAACAACATTTATATTGAATTCTCATTCTTCTCAGCAAATTCTTCTAAACCTAATGTTATTTTAAATAAATCATATCTTTACCTTGAGCAAAGACCATGTTGAATCCTTCCTTGATTTCTTCCATCTCCTCTGGTTTCAATTAAAATGACAACCACAAAGCTGTTCCTTCACTGTGAGTCTTCATGGTGATGTTTTCCTCCTCAAGAATTGGATTGAATTTCTCATTGAGGAATTTCTACAACTCCTAAGCCTTACCATCTATTGTCTTCAAAGCCAACACAAATCCCCACTCTGTATCCAAATTTCCTCCTGTTTATTTTTGTAGCTATTCCAATTGTTATGTTGCAGCCTGTTTATTGATAAGAGCCTTCAAACTACGACATATTAAGGACACATACCTCAGACTCCATGCTCCCTCTCCCTCGTAAAATGGCCCAACTTGCACTGAGATGTGTGATGAATTGATTGACATTTTTTGTATTAATAAAATCAGAATAGATTCAATTGATATCTTGCTTAATTATACGTATAATTAATGACAATCCATTTGGGACTTCAGATTATAAAAGAAAACAATAATTTGATCACATATAAAGTATCATACATAAAATTGATAGTATTTTACATGATGAAGAATTTGGATACACACTAATTGACGATGGGGAGAATCCCACAATCTCCAGATTTCGAACGATTTCCTTCTCCTTTCCCCTCTAAACCACATACACGATTTCATCAGAACCCACCCTCTGATAGGCACTATCATAATAAGACAATTCTATTCTCCCACTGCACAACTTCATCAAATAGTTTTGCATTGGTTTATGCTTACTCACTCCAGAATCCTTAGCCACGATCTACAACATTACTCCTTTCACCTTGTATTTTGACAAATCGATCTGAGAACCGCACTAAAACAAACCCATTTGATAATGAGCCTATATTATCATCCATAATTATCTGCTCACTCTTCTCATCCTCAAAATGTCTTAAATACTCAAGTATTACAAGATATCCAAAACTATATGTCTTGGTAAGTTTTTAAACATAAAATTAATTATATCATTTCAATTAGCTATTCTATGCATACACCCAGATATTGTCTCATACCATTTCTGATTCACCAAATCGAATTGTCCCCTCTCCAAATCTATCACCTGAATCTGATTGAAAAGATTTTGATAAGTCTATATGTCCTTATAATCCCCTCGTAAGTCTAATAGTGAAACGTACAATTTCTTTGTGAATCCTATATCCACTGAGTAAAGTATTATCTCCAAACAACTACATTCCTATTTCATAAAATTACTCTTATTCTTCCCTCAAATTCATAGCCACATTGAATGACTCATCTTCCCAAGAATCAAAAAACACTATTGAATTCTCCTCGCCCAATCTCTCACTCTCTATCTCCTCCTTCTCCACTTAAATCGTCTCCGTTTTTTGTTTCTCCTACTTCTATTGTGTGCTCTATCTCGATGTTTTCTATTGTAGTTATGCTAGCAATTCTTGTTTCTGTTTCAATTATTCGAATGCCTTAGGATTCATTCTTTTGTATTCATCATACATCCTGTTATAGTACTGTTAACATTCCTACTAAGATTTAGTTCTAATTAAAATTGTATTAAATCATTACTATACTTTCCTAAAAGTTCAAAGACTTTGGCAAAGAACTGATATCCCAAAAGCAAATGATAATGAATCTAAAAGGGGGGAATTTCCTTTGGATATGGGATCATTGCCTTTTAGTTATTGTTAATTGAATATTCAATTAATGAAAATATGATTCTATTCTTAATAAGAAAATCATGGGTTTTGCTGTCCTAATTTAAGGCCTCTAAAATCTGCATAGGAACAGTAATCAATTAAATAGCTTGCTAAGGTTAATTGCTTTGATTTAATGCGAAACAGACATTCAATTGCAATTGAACCTACTGATAAATAAATAAATTCTTTGTCATCAGATAAGATCGGATAGACAGGGCTCTGCAAATGTAGTTCAGTCCAATTTGAGTCTTCTTCCTGAGGATCTCGATGGCACCAATATTGTTGACAAACGAAATTAAAATAAATAGGTGATCTCTATTATTTTATTGTAACGTTACTCTAAAAACTCTTGTAGTCTTTTCAACTCAAATGGCAAGATATCATCATTCTTTTTTAATTTAAATTTGACATCGAACATTTGACTGATTTCTGCATCTGAAAACTATCTATAATCATCTAAGATCGTTATGATCATGTCTTTGATATCCTTAATGTTGGGAAGTTGATTTTGGATCTTCAAACAGAGACACTTAAGATTCTGTTTCAATATTACACACACCTTCTTGGCTATTTTAAAGGCTTTCTGCAAATGATAGATCAATTGATTACTTTGTATTCTTCTGCTTCCACATTCTTAATGTAATCTATCTGCCATTTCTCGAGGTATGAAGTAACCAGAGCTTACACTTCCTCATAAGGTAAATTTGTTCTGAATATCTTCATCACTTCGTCAAACTCGGAATCCATTAAAATAATAAATTAATTAATATAATATATAAATCACCACTTTTTGCCGAATGATTAAGTAAATTCCTCATAAGAGATCTCAATGGACTATTCTAAATTGTCTGGAACATCCTTAGGTTTGAGGATCTATCCAATAGTTAAATTTTTTTAGATGAAGGTTTCATGCAACAGTTTCATCTAAGCAATCCAATAATTCTATTGTTGCAAATTTTATTACTAAGAAACCAATTCTAAGATTGTTAACTAATGCCCTGATATGACCTCATTAAAATTCTGGATGGGCATTTGTTTAATGATGTTATCTTCATTCCCAAATATGTCCTTCTCCATTTTGATTATGTCCTGCCAAGGTTCCTCAATGTGATTGACGTTAATTTATGCTTTGAGTTCAAGCAACCTTTTCACGGTGTTGTCAATAGTTTTATGCAGATTGAATTGTGATGTTGCTTATTTATCATAATTCTATTTTAAAGTTTATAACTAAATTTTTAGTTATTATATTTTTTTTTGTTTGTACACTCTGTTCTATTGTAATTGGACATCATGGTCCTTGGATAACAAATCAGGTTTAATTTGTCTATTCCCACGAATTGGCTTTTTAGTAAATAATAATTGCCCTGCTTGAGTTAATTGGAACAAATACTATTGTTGGATAAATCTTGAAGGATGTTAGAACTACTGGATCTCTCTGATCGATGAGTTTAGATGTTGCTGTGACAATTCTCATTTAAGTATCTCTGCTTCATAATTTAATTATAAAATTAACAAAAACATTAATATCACTTATATACTCCTTTGTCCTTTTATTCATAGTTTCTATTGAAAAAGTACGAGTTAATTATGAGTCTTCCTTTGTGTTGTTTGTCCAATGCTTTTTTAGATTCTAATGAGATTCTCAATTGTTTGTGACTAAATGTGAGATTTGGTTTATAGCCTAGATACTCATTTTTAAATACATATCAAGATTGTCCTTAATATTGAGTCTGCTGAATTGATAATTCAAGACTTTTGGCAATGACAATGAATACATTGTTTTTTGTGCATATTGTAAATCTGAGGCTGATGTAAGTTATTTGGATTTAGATTGCTGGTTCTACTTCTTCACTTTAGAAGGAGGGAAATAAGGCTATTTGTAATGGTCTTGACTCAAATACACGATGTTCTAAATTGGCTTGTGTCTTTTATCAATCCTCTTTTTGTAGAGTACCAATTTATCTGTCTTAAATTTTGGTAGAATTCTATTCAAATTGATTTCTTCTTAGGAGGCTTAGGCTTATTAACAATAACTAGAGATTTGTTCTGCATTGGGTCTGAGTTCAGGATCGTAACACAGCATCAACTTCAACAAATTATTTAAATTGAGACTGTAGTTAGGGTTGTATGTTATGTGGATTCCTTTAAGAACTTTCTTTTGTAAAGCATCCACATTGTTGGCTACTAATAAGGGATCCTTGAACATCATCTAATATAGCATATATCCCATCATCCAAATATCAGACTTATAATCATAGGTTTATGTTCTGATGAATTCGGGAGCCAATAAATATGTATCAGTATAATTTTGTTTGTGTAAATAAAAAAGTATATTCATCTCTCCCAAAACAGCATTTGTTTAACTTTAGAACAGATTCGATAATTGCAATTTCCCATGAATTCTCTTAGGATGAAACAATTATAATGCTTGAGAAATCTAAATGAATAACTCTTAAGCGATACATCTTAAATCACCTTCCAAATGACTTGTTCCTGCATTGGATATTCATACTATTTATCTAAATAATCACTCACTATTCTAATGATGAAATATATGCCCATACCCCAAATATGTCATATCTTAATCAAGGGATGCTTCGTAAAACTTAATAATATATGGGTTTTTTTGGCTAGATAGCTTAGAGAGTATTTTAATGATACTTTGCACTCTTTCCTTTGGAATGCCATCCAATGCGAATATTCTCAACATGTAATAATAACCACTTCTTTTTACTATGACAGACTTCTTATATTAGTTTTATTTCAGGATATTGACAACCTCAAATTGAGGAAATAACTGTTCCACACTTTTCATTAAATTAATTAATGGAACTTCGAGAAGCCTTTATAACATTTCTCAATTACATTAAGAATCAGTAACAGGTGACATAAATATTGAAGAATACAATTGATAAAATAGTCACCCAATTGCAATCCAAAGCAACTGATGGTGAAATAAAATAGCTTATTTTCTAATCAACATCTCATCACCAAAGAGTCAACTCTCAACCCACTAAACCTCCATTGGTAGTCAAATAGAATGCGCTTATTGGATTGACGGCCTTCAATTTAAAACCTCAGAGGAAAATCTCAGAATAATAAAAAGTAGCAATTCCTCAAGATACTCGATAACTATATAGCAACTTAGAAATTCAAATTAATAAATAAAAGCAACAGGAAATACATTCAGGCAAATTTGAACCCAAAACCCTTTTACTTAATGATCTTATGCTTTGTGTAAAGTAGTTCCAATACAATACAGAAACTCTCTCTCAAATATATAGTCATACTTCAGAAATACAAACCGCCTATGGTATTCGAGTTAGCCAAGATATACATGGATCCGGTTAAATCAATCGAAAAGGATCGAATAAATTATTCGCTGGATATAATAGTAAATTGATGAGTGATGACCAGTTGGTTGCCATCCAAAACAATTTTCTTATGAAAAAACAAATAGTCAAAGGATGTCCCTAAGACTACATAAATCAATCCCCATTGTTCATGCAAAAGTAGATCTTCTTAATATGAATTAATTTTATATTGGATATATGAATATCTATATCATCAATTACACTTCATTTCAACACCATTTGTATTTTTAAATTGGTCATCTCTTAATAGATAATTTAATCATGAACTGCTTCATTTTCTAGTGGAATCACTTCTAAATTCTCAATAGAATTTGGAATATTTGTACAATAATTTTCTTGCCACACCTAATATAAATAATCATTTGCGGGAAATTAGAACATGATATAATATGAATGAAATATTAATTAGGTAGAAAATAAGTAATTGAAAAATTCTATAATGACTCTAATTCGTAGTTTTAGATATGTGAATTGAAACTCATATTTTAATAAGTTATTCTATAAGAATTCAGAAGTTATTAATCCAATACATTATAAGAAGTTGGTAGTTGGTGTAAAAAAGTTTAAAGAAGGTTAGAATATCTAAGCTTATTCAAAAGTTGGAATACGTTTAGATAGTTTATAATATTATAAATAAAAAGAAGGTAGGCATCCTCAAATGTAAATAGTGTAGTATTTGTTAAATTCTCGAAACAACTGAAGTTAATTTATCAGATTAGGGATTGCTATTGATGTATCTATATATTTAGTCATAAAATAATAATTCATAGAATTGGTTGAATGATGAAAATTAATTTATAGTTCAACTATCAGAAAGGTTAACTTTAATTAAGAAATATTAGAATCCATCTATTATTGTAATGTAATTTTCATGTTTTATACAATTTTTTGTTAATTGTTTTTATGTTAAAAGAGAATAATATTATTTAATTAAATAAATTTTATTTTACAAAAATAACTACATCTTCAAACACTTTCAATTACTTATAAATTCATTTTTTATAGTTTATTTATTGAGTTTCTTCTGTTTGATTAATAGGAGAAGCCTCATAAGATGTATGGGCTGAAATGATTTGATAGCTGCTCTTTCTGCTTTAGGAATCTTCAATAACTTGATCTTTGATATGAATAAGCAATTCTTGAAACTGCTTTTGAGTGTAATGTATGTGATTAGAGAAATCAATCCTTATTTGAGTTTCATCAAGATTGAGAGATGTAGTTATTATTTCACTACTCTTGTTGATTTATAAATCATCTCTAGAAATAGATTTAATCGTGCTCACCTAGTTAATCCATGGATGCAATGAGAATTCTTCAGCACTCAATCGCTTTTCTGGATTTTTGTTTAAGAGTCTTTTTAATAAATCAATCTGAAGAGGTTATAATAGTTATAACTCCTTATTTTAATTTATAGTGAGATTGGGATCAGTAATCATCTCTATTGTATCTAATTTGGAATCACAGATAAATGGAAATTTGCCACACAGGAGTTGGTAGAGGATAACACCGACACTCCAAACATCAACTAAAATAACTAATGTTGAGATACGTTTTTCATCATATCCACCGCCTAGAAAGGTTTCTGGTGCTTAATAGAGAAGAGAACCAGTTCTTGTCCACATTTCATGATATATCCTATCGTTTTTCTTTTTGACCATGAATTTCTTAGATACACCAAAATCAATGATTTTGATATCAATTTAACCATGCAATTTTACTAAAATGTTATCTGGCTTCAAATCTCTATGACAGATGCCTTTCTTGTGGATTTCAGTGATTGTTTGAGCCAACTATTTCATAATTTATTAGATCGCAACATCAGGGATTGATTTCTACATATATGATTACAGACTTTTGTAATTGCAATATTCCATTACCCAATAAGCAACCTATTCATTTTCATCAATGTACAAATCGTATGATCTGATAATTTTGGGATGATTATTCAAAGTTCTATTGATATTAAAGGTTTAAATGATAGTTCTTATTAACTCAGGATCGTTTTGACATGACAATTTTTTAACTGCATAGTTTATTTTTAGTTAATCTTAAATTTTATTACAAATCTTCACAACACCATGAGCACCTGTTCCTATTTTCTTGGTCATTCTGTACACATCATGGAATTTTGTGATTTTAGATTACTGATTTTATTTGAAGAATGTAAATTCTGTCCATTGAGTTATAGATTTGGATCTCTTTGTTTCGGTCGGATATTGACTTCTTTCCGTCTTCACTGATTTGAAAAGTGACTGCTTCACACTCTGTCTCAACTCTAATAATTTTCTATTTGACTATTATTTCATATATTAATATTATATAAAATTTAATGCATTCTCATACTCATACTTATTCTTTCTTATTTGCTCATTTACTTATTCTAAATAATTTCAATATTAATCACGTTTAAAATAAATTATTTTATATAGTACATAAATTAATTAATGACATTTCTTTGGGCTGATATCCCATTCGAATGGACCTGTCTCTCTTTAAGGTATCACAATGATATGCTTTGGTAACTCACCTCATTTTGACATTTAGGTATATTTGGAGTATTATCCAAATGATACCAGTCTTTACAGCAGGACTCTACCAATTGTACAAGCATTAAACAACTCCTGACTATTATCATAAAATCAGGAAAGGCACTTGGGATCAGTTTATCGTCATGTTTTTTGTATTCAAAAACAATACCATAAGGCTGCCCCAGTCCCACTCTATTATTTAATTGATCTGACAATCTCAATTGTAGAGGGAACCTTTTTTGAACCCTGCAGATTCTGGCTATGGTTTCATCATATGGTAAACAATTTATAGAAGAAATAAAGGTGTCTATGATCGTCATTCCCGCATTAATTCTGAGAAATGAGTATGAATGGTAGGACACCATGATCATGGCCACACACACCTTGTTGATGAAGTTTCCCTTCATCTTTTTATTAAATATATTATATGTTGGACTTGTATTATATTACAACGTTTTGCTCTACTTTAGGTATTAACATCATTCCTATCTAGTCCATTGAAGGAAAAATGGGTCAATAGATTCCTGGGCAAATTCTTCCCCTTCATCTATTACGGCTTTATTGTCCTCTTGGTCCACGATTGCAATAATGCCTTACCATTCCTGTATTGATCATCAAGATTCGTATATCTTTAAAATTACACATTAATTTATATCATAATCTTATTATTAACTGTGTCAAAAACTTAATAGTTTAGATAATCAATTAGTTTGACAATCTCTAAATTTTGGTTTATGTCAAATCTAAATTTTCAATTCTAAAGCATTGCATAATCCATCAAAATGTTAATTATAATGATTAAGGCCAATTATTCTTTGAGGGGAGCAGTTGAATCAATTAAATAAAAGGATGGCAGATTAGTAAATCGGCTAATTAATAATATTCTTAAGTGAAGGAGTGAATTTACTCTTTAATTTATTTGTAATAGAGGGTATGTCAAAATTGATTATAAGATTGGGTTAAGGGAATAGGGAAATCTAGTTGAAATCTGCAGTATAATCTTGGAAGAATATCTACTTCTTCTAAGTTAATGACAAATAAATAAATGATGTTGCAAATTGAGTAAATTTATAGAATAATAAACAAATTATATATTACGAATATTTAATAGTTCAAAAGCAATTACAGGTTAGTAGTGTTGCAGCAGTAGTGATGTTATAAGGGTGCATAAATAAATAGTGATTTACCTAAGAGAATAATGACATAAGATGACATAAAACGAATAGAGTGGGTATTCGGAAAAAGAAGGAGTGTATATGTGATGACAGTAGTCAATAAATTCTTATATATTTTACAGAAGATGTTTTCTCCATCTCTATAATTGAGTAAGTTGAGGTTTAATTAGCATATGAAAATTCCCATAAATTAAAAATTAATATTAAATAAATTGAATGAGGGGAGAGAGGAGATTATGATATTTCTTTCGCCACATGAAAATAAATATATTGTTTTGAATATTAAATTAAATGGCTTCTCATTTTTTATCTTTTCTTTTTCTATCTTCTATAATATAAGAATTGAAATACTGTTGTCCTATTAAGTGCTAAGCTAATAAGCTAAAGTTTCTTTGATATATGGTCGTTGGATATCAATAGGTTTATCAATAATCTTGGCGTTGGCATTAACAGTTTAATCGTTAATGACCAATTATAAATGGACTGGAGGACGTAATGCCTCCTGCAATTAAGAGGACGATGAATACAAGAGTAAATAACTTGAAAATTAAATAGGTGCCATACTTCCTATTCTACTAAAATACATAAATCCCAATTAGATCTCCATACTTTTTAAACTCCAAATAGACATTAAAAGGAGGTACATCTCTATCTAATTCAACTTGCACCTCATAATTCCTCAATAAATCCTAAACAGGTCGTTACTTTTTAGCCACAACCAAAAGAGGAATGCCCTTAACTTGCAAACAGGGCCTCAAATTGACTAAAAATTGAGCAGTATTTTCATCTTAAAATTATAACTCCAAATATTGCATCTTATCAGAAGTGTCTTAATAATTTAAATAAATAATAACTCCAAGTATGATTAATAGGTGCATTCTATTTATGATGAGTAACAATCTCTGAGATAACTTCATTCTCATTAACTTCCTGTGGTATCGAGAAGATATAAACACTATTCTTATCAGTGAACACCTGTTAAGGTTTGATAGGTTAAACATTCAATTAATCCTTATTCAATTCTAAGGAAGAACTCCTTGATGATTGTCTAATCTTTTTGACCTACTTGTTTTTTCTGGGTTCCCCAGAAGAAGATGGCGATCTCCTTCTCGATCCTTATCCTTGAGACTGCTTTCTGTCCGCTTTCTTACTCTTCTTCTACTTCTTGCTGACACTTCGACTCTACCTTCTTGATGACTCACTACTGTCACTCCTGCCCTTTGATTATTGCTAAATTAAATGGTGCACAGTTACATTCCTCCTCAAAGATCGTTCCAAATGCTCTTTGTCCAACATATTCTTGTTTTCTAGGTAGTTTTTAAAGGCATCACTCAATTCCACAACTTCTTTTTGTCTTCCTATTCATAAATTAATTTGATCATACCATTCCTTCCAAAATTGAAGTGCTTCTTGCCTATGTATACTAATTTTGCATTATCATCATTGCTCATTCCAATTGCAACATCACAATAGGATNTTCTCCATCTCTATAATTGAGTAAGTTGAGGTTTAATTAGCATATGAAAATTCCCATAAATTAAAAATTAATATTAAATAAATTGAATGAGGGGAGAGAGGAGATTATGATATTTCTTTCGCCACATGAAAATAAATATATTGTTTTGAATATTAAATTAAATGGCTTCTCATTTTTTATCTTTTCTTTTTCTATCTTCTATAATATAAGAATTGAAATACTGTTGTCCTATTAAGTGCTAAGCTAATAAGCTAAAGTTTCTTTGATATATGGTCGTTGGATATCAATAGGTTTATCAATAATCTTGGCGTTGGCATTAACAGTTTAATCGTTAATGACCAATTATAAATGGACTGGAGGACGTAATGCCTCCTGCAATTAAGAGGACGATGAATACAAGAGTAAATAACTTGAAAATTAAATAGGTGCCATACTTCCTATTCTACTAAAATACATAAATCCCAATTAGATCTCCATACTTTTTAAACTCCAAATAGACATTAAAAGGAGGTACATCTCTATCTAATTCAACTTGCACCTCATAATTCCTCAATAAATCCTAAACAGGTCGTTACTTTTTAGCCACAACCAAAAGAGGAATGCCCTTAACTTGCAAACAGGGCCTCAAATTGACTAAAAATTGAGCAGTATTTTCATCTTAAAATTATAACTCCAAATATTGCATCTTATCAGAAGTGTCTTAATAATTTAAATAAATAATAACTCCAAGTATGATTAATAGGTGCATTCTATTTATGATGAGTAACAATCTCTGAGATAACTTCATTCTCATTAACTTCCTGTGGTATCGAGAAGATATAAACACTATTCTTATCAGTGAACACCTGTTAAGGTTTGATAGGTTAAACATTCAATTAATCCTTATTCAATTCTAAGGAAGAACTCCTTGATGACTGTCTAATCTTTTTGACCTACTTGGTTCTTCTGGGTTAGCTAGAAGAAGAGGATGATCTCCTTCTCGATCCTTGTCCCTAAGACTGTTTTCTGTCCACTTTCTTACTCTTCTTCTACTACTTGCTGACACTTCGACTCTACCTTCTTGATGACTCACTACTGTCACTCCTGCCCTTTGATTATTGCTAAATTAAATGGTGCACAGTTACATTTCTCCTCAAAGATCGCTCCAAATGTTCTTTGTCCAACATATTCTTATTTTCTAGATAGTTTTTAAAGGCATCACTCAATTCCACAACTTCCTTCTGTCTTCCTATTCATAAATTAATTTGATCATACCATTCCTTCCAAAATTGAAGTGCTTCTTGCCTATGTAGACTAATTTTGCATTATCATCATTGCTCATTCCAATTGCAACATCGCAATAGGATCCCTGAGTATTGAATATTTGGACCACATCACATGACCCAGCCAAATTCACTAAATATTACCATACATTACCTTTTCTCTTAATGAAACTCAAAAATTCATTAGTACTCATCCCATTCATGTGTACATGACGTACATAGAAGTGGATCTTGAATTCACTGTGGGGATAGTAGCGTTTTCCAATCTTATTCTCAAAGGAGGATGATTAATTTGAGTTTGACTCATTCGAAGAATTGCGTCTCTTTGATTGCCCTTTTCTGTCTTCCTCCCTATTAGAAGAAGCATTTCTTCCTTCATCCTTTTTTTCTTGCTTTTGCACTTCCTCTGGTTAACCTTACTACTAAATCATTTTTTAAAATATTAATGTTAAATTCAAATAATGAGGCGCTTCTCAAACAAGTCAACAAAAACCAAACTCTCCTCATCCAAAAATTACAAGACGACATCGAACTCCTCAACGAAGAAATCGAAGCTTCCAATCAACAAATCGACACTCTCAAATCCGAACATCATATCTCAATATCATAACAATAATCCATCATTGAAGATCTCAGAACCGAATGCTAGAACTATCAACAAAAGAATATGGAACTCCAATCCAAATTCACCTAATCTGTCTTACAAAATCAATTGCTTCAAACCAAGTATGACAAAAAGAACAAATAATATAAAGATCAAATCATCGAACTCAAGCAACAAATCAAATTGAGTCATCTCAAAAACTAGGATTACCAAAGAGACATTCTGGAGCTTCGCAAATCCCTAGATAATAACAAACTGGAAATCTGCTAACTCATTGACAACTCCACCTTATTAAACGAATAAAATAAATAGCTAAAAGCTAATTTGGATCTTTAATAAGTTGACTATGAAAATAAAATAGAACAATATCAAAACTTAATTCAAGACAAGGATGAAGAAATCACTCTAATCATTAATGAAAACAGTGTGCTCAATAGAAATCTAGAATAAATGGAAAAAAATGCCAACCTTTCTGAAAGTCTCCATTCCCAAATATTCACGCTCCAAAAAGACAACCAGAACCTGATAATCCAACTATCAGATCTCCAAAATCACAACACTCTTCTAAAATAATAGTTGTAATTGCAATCTTCAGAAATACAAGTCTCATCTTCTTCATTACAATTGTAATTGTAATCAGCTCCTCAATAGCCAAGTCAAGATGTGATAAATCGTAACACACAAAAAGAGATAGTTCCATTACAAAAAGAGAGTGACATCCAAGATCTTCAATAAACTACTGAAGTCTAAAATGTTTAGATAACCTAATCACAATCATTCAACGACGATCTATAATTGCCTTACCAACAAGAAACCAAAAACATAGAGAAGGACAATCAAAATTAGATCAATACTCTAAAATCACAGATAGCAAAACTTACAGAAGAATTGAAGGAATGTGAGTTAAAACATGTTTAAGTTAAATAAGTATAAGAGAGCACCATATCAAAATTAAATCACGATGTTAGATTGTTGGAATAAAAGAATGAAGATTTAATTTTGCATAACAACAAACTTATTAATGAAATCAAGTAAAATGAATTAATTCAACAGAAAGAATCTACCATTATCTGCTAGAAGATCTCAGAATTTGAAATTCAATTACTGGATTCACACCATCAAATTGAGGATTTGAATTAAGAAAAATAAAAATAAGAACGTGTTGTTGAAAAGATGAATAGTTAAATGTAAGCATCTAAATAGATCCAATCGAAATTAGAGGAAGACATCACTAAATATCAAAACTTTCTTATTTCCCATCATAAACAATTGGAAGCTGTCACTTCTAATGAAAGTTCTGACTCCAGTGATTCAAGTGAAGAAACCATTACAGAAAAACCATAACAATTAAATTTTGATGCACTCTGTACCAAATTAACTGAGTAAATTAGACTCGTCTAACTTAGACTAGAAATTTATGAAAAACAAATTAAACAATACAAACAAGAACTTCATTCCAAAACTGTTGAAATTCAAAAGCTATTCAGTGAAAACTCAGATTCTAATCTCAAAGTCTAAAGATTATCATAATTGCAACCTAAATTAGACAATCAAGAAGCAATTCTAAAATAAAAGGATCTAACCATTGAAAATCTTACATAATAAATAGCTAACTAATAAGCTTAACTAAATGAAAATGAAAACAAACTACAATAATTGGAGATAGAATGTGAAGCATTGAATAGAAAAAATGTTGAACTCTCAAACTTATAAAATCAAATTTGTATTGATCATACTATCAAAAATGATTTTTAGATTTCATCTATTAAAGAGGAACCTATGCAAAACTTAGAATTGATGAGTTCAGAATTAACATCAACTTCTATTTTCGATCAAATATTTTCTAATATCAACTATCAGATCCTACTATTTACAGAAGAAAATACTAAACAAGTTAAATCATCATTATCAAATAAGATTGATCACTTGGAAAACAATCTCTTAAGAACTATAAATAAATATTAAAAATTATAAGAGATAATATAAAAGAATTATCATAATATTCAAAACCTAAATGAATAATCTTAGTAAACCCTAATCTAAAAGGAAAACCTCTTTTAAATAGAAAATTAAAAACAATAAATACAAAAATAGGCATTGTTGGAAGAAGTACATTAACAAACCACCCTTATAAGTTAATTAGAAAATTAATAGTAGATTCTATCACTATAATTACAGAATTTAAATCAATAAAATCAGGATTAAAAACAAGTAATCACTCAATTATAGCAATTAGATGAAAAAAAGAAACCTGATGATTTATAAAAGGGATCTAATTAGACTAAGTTAGAGGAATTAGAATAAAGAATTATAAATTATGAAGCAGATTTGAAGAAAGCATAAGAAAAGAATACTTAGTTAGAAGTATAAGTAAATGATTTAAACAATAAAGTACAATCTAAACTAAATACTATATACGAATTGAGACAAGAGTTGGATGGCCTAAAAAATAATTAGACTGGGATGTAGTCGGACTCATCTCAATTATAACAACAATAAAAATAGATATTAGAATTAATTTCGAATAATACAAATTTAAATCAATAGAACTAAGATGCTTAGCTTAGATTGAGGGAAATAGAGTCTTTAAATTAGGAATTATAAGATAGGTTCAATTAGTTATCTAAATAAGGAGTAAGTTAAAAGGAAACGATTAATTAATTACAACAATAAAATTAAATGGAAGTCAAACAAAATTTGACTTTGTTGTAACAAATGGATCCCTTATAAAAATAGATTGATCACTTAACAAGAGATAACAGAAAGTTGTAATAATCAAATAATGATTTTGAAAAAGCCTATGGAAAATTGCCAACTTATGGTAGTCCTAGAAAAGTATAAAATTAGGATTAGAGTCAAATCAAGAAGTTAGAAGATGAGATACAACAAATGTAATATAGGTTCTAACAAGAAATTTAGGAGAAGAATATAGAATAAAAAAATTTTTAAAAGTAACATGAATAGCAATTAGAAGAAGTTAGAGAGCTCAAGCTGAATGAAATATAAAAATTAGAATAAAATTGTGTCACTTTAAGCAATTAATTAAAACAATAATAAACATTGAATAACGAACTACTGCAAAGTAATAGTTAGTTTGAAAGGGATAACAGCAAATTAAATGAAGAGCTGGAAAAATTAATAAAGTAATAGAATTTACAAAATCAATCTCAAGAGATTTTATAATAAAAAGAATAAATTAATCATGAATGTAAATATATTGAACTTAATCAAACAATAGGCAATTTATAAAAAATAATTGATGATTAAAATTTATAATTATTAAATTCCAAGAATCACACACTTGATCTAGAAAAACAAATTAAACATTTTAAAGTATAAATTCAACAACTGGTTCAAGAAAAAGAATACTTATGCTAAATTAAAGATTCTAATTAATGTAATGAAACTTAAACTAAAAATTAGTAAAATGAAGAATTGGATTCCTAAAATTAGCCAATAGAATAGAAAAAAAATGAATAGTTTATTGTAGAATAATTAAATTAAGATAAGTTAATGTTTTAACAATAATAAATAGAATAAGGAGAATTTATAAATGAATAGAAATAAGTCATAGAATATTAGCAAGTTGAAGTTAATAGGCTAACAATTATTGAATCAGGATGTGTACAAAATATTAGCAAATTGTAATCAAACTAGGCTGAAAAATTATTGCTAGTTTAATACTAACAATTTTTGGTAGAATTAAAATAGAAGTAATAATAAATTGAAGGTAAAGATATAGAAATTCATGATTTAAAATAGAAGCTAGATAACAATTTATAATTAAATAATGAATTAGAATAAAATTTAAAGGATAAATAAACACTAATTATAGCTTTAGAGAACGAAATAAAAGAACTAGAATATGTAAATCAAACATAATTACAGAAGATTACTGAATTAAATGAGGATTTTTAAAGATCTTTAGAGTAGGCTAAAGAGCAAAAGTAAACTCTCACTAATTAAAGTGAATAGAATGCATTATTAGAGAGCAAGTGCACTTAAATGGAGCAGAATGTTATCAAAATTGAAACACAAAATAATAGTTTAATATAAATAAATCAGCAGTTAGAATCAACTTTAGAGCAACAGCAGCAGGTTAATGCATAGATTATTTAGAAGCAAGAATAATCATTCTAGACACAATTAGATAGATTGAACATACGGCTTCAGGACCAATTAGATTAGGTTAAATTGCTTCAGCAGGAGAATGGAGAGTATAAGTAGGAGATAGAGAAAATAAGGAATGATTAAAAGCAATGGGAGAAGAATAAATACAATGAATTAGTGTAAGTGAAAATAGAGAGTGAGGGACAAATATTAAAATTGATGGATTAGATTAGTAAGGCAGAAGGGCTGAATGAATAGCATTAAAATGAGATTTTAGAAATGGATAATGTAATTAAGAAATTAATATAAGAGAAGGATAAGATTATAAATAATGATATGATTGAATAATTGTAAATAAAAATAAAAAGTAAGGAATTTATTTAATTTTTATAGTGAATGAGGAATAAATAGAGAGATTACTTATGACTAATAAGGCCTTAATGGAGGAGAATGCTCATCTTCAAGAGTAGATTAAGGATGATTTAAACTCTAGTTTTTGCAGTAATGCTTCATAAAAGTGATTATATTAATTAATAAATAAAAATGGGTAGTTGTGCAACGAAAAATTAAGAAAACGAAGTTTCTCTCCCTTCTAATCCTAGATTACAAAGGGCTTACTAAGTAAAATAAGAGTGATTTGATAGTAATATTCATAAATCATTGAAATTACTCACCCTCTCAATGTGAATCAAAAATACAATAGTTACTTCACTTTGATTCCTGATTAATTTATTGGCACAGGGATAAAGAAGACAAATCAATATGAATCTCGTCTCTCCAAAGAAGAATGGTAATAAAAAAGAGTAGAATTCTGGGGTATATATGTCTTTTTGAAGAATAGATTCGAGAATAGAGGGACAGAAGGAAAATTGGGCAACGATAAGAGCAGCATTGGAAGCTGATGAAGGTACATGTTATAGCAAATTAGGAACTGCAAAAACTCTTTTGTAAGCAGCTGACTTAAAGCTAATCAAAAATAGTATGTAAATTGTTTTTGACAATCACGGTATAATTATCCAAAATGAATTCTGTAGGTTAGAAATATGATTTGCCAGTATTTGTGATGCATAATCCAGTTTCTTTTCCTTAGAAGTAATCTTTTGATTAGAATCTGTACTCAAGTTTTGATCGCAAGATTGTTAAGGTAAATTTGAATTTTATGGTCTAGTTTAAAGTAAGAAGTACCAAATGGAACACTGACAAAGAGGTATCTTACAACACAGGAGACAAGGTTGAATTATTAATAAAAGAATTACAATCAAAAGAAGAACCTTAAAAAATGAAGCTCTTTGTTAATGGTAGAGAAATGAAAGGCCATAACATGTTTGGAAATTATGGCGTCTAAGATAATTCTGTAATTATTCAATTTATCCTCTTTTAGGTTGTGCAAGCGTTTATGTTCTGATTATTTAAAAATATATATATTTATGAATAAATTCAACGTTACAAAGCATTTCTAATTCAAACAGTTTTAGTCTATAATAAACTGTTCATTGTCAAATCGAATTTCATATTCCAAATTATATTTTTTAGATAAAACTTATTCAATAGATAAAATAGACTATATCCAATAAATTAATCTAAAGCTTATGACTATGTATAAGCAAGTCTTGAATGACCTTCATTTTAAAATAAGTTTATATTAATTAGGTCAATAAAAATTTAATTTTTAAGATGCAAATGAAAATTCAAATACTAAAGTATATCCAATTTTAACAGCTTAGTAATAATCTAATGGTCATGTAAATTATCGATTAAAGTTATAATGAATATCTTGAAATTAAACTTATTTGGATTCTTTCTTTGGTCCTTAGACCTTACTGTCTAAAAATCTTTGATATTAAATATAAAGATCTTAACTTGGTTTTGAAGATTCACTTTAATTCCTAGAAGTTTTGACAATATTGGTGGCTAATCAACTTTTAGTGTTGTTCTGTGTTTACATCTTAAATAGAATTAAAATAACCATAAATATCTTATACTTTATAACTTAATTAGAAATAGGATGTATTTCTTATTCAAATATATTTAAGCCTCTCATTTAGAGATATTTCTAACGAAGAGAGGCATAATAAGACTGTCAAATGGAATTATTTATATAAAAGAGGTTTTAATTTGATTTAGTGAAATCACAATTGTAATTTTCCACTTTGTAATTGGTGGTGATAATAATAGGTAATTTAATCTAAATTATAAAGTGATAAGAAAGAAGAATATGAAGGGCATCCTTTATAAATAAATTAATGGATAATTAATTTTATAAAGAAATCAGCTTTGAGTATTTTTCTTCTATAGATGGATTGTTGAATCAGTAGAACAAACATTGTCTTATCTATTACTTTTATCATCAGCTGATTTTCTCATCATTCTCTAATATAATAAAGCGGTACGTCTATTACCCAAGTACTAGAAATTGTAGTATTTTCAACCTACTGCTATGAAAGAAGACGATAACCAGATTTGGCCTTCAACAACCCTCCTATTTATTCATTTACAAATATCAGGAATGGATTCATCTTTGAAAGCCCTGCAAATTGCTTGTAATGGTCCAAAAAAGGTAGTATTAAACAATGATGAATCTTCTTTTTCTATCATTTTGGTTCATTGTGGAAAGTCAACCTTCCCTTGTATCTGATGCAGTTGATTTGTAAATAAGGATTATAATGTACATTGTTCTTCCTCTGAAAATCCAATTGTTCATTAAGTAAAGAATTCTCTCCTTGGTCTTCACTCCCGTTGACAAAACTTTTGACATAGCATAGCATGTCTTTACTTCTTCAGCATCTATACCCACCTTGGTCATAATATCAAATGAGCAAGAAGGAGAAATGCATTCTATAAACATTAATTGCCGAATTTTAAGACATACTTCCACCATTTATCTTTATCCTATTTGAATATGCACAATTATCTAATAATTTCTCTTAAAGAATCTGCACCTTTCAAAGGGCCAGGACCATCTGGATCAGATTCACAATACCTACTTCCAGACAAGCATTAATCTACTTATTTTAAATAATTTTAACGTTTGCAGATACCACAAATGTCAATCGAATAATACGGAGGAAATTCTAATTGATCTTTCATTTCCAAATGAAATGGATAAAACTACTATAAGAATGTATATTCTTATTTGCCTATGACTTCAAAATGATAAATGTAACTCACAAAGTCAGTTTTAGGTATATCTGGGAATTTTACTACTATTTAAACATTGTATTTGTCTTAGTCATTTGAATCCATATATTTTTTAATCAAATCCCCCTATTTTTTGGAAATCATCAATAGTGAAGTATTTATTTCCTAAGTTTCCTCATAATCATAAGTACTATTTAATATCCTAATAATTAAGCTTCGATAGTCTAATTATCGTAAATTAAGTACTTTTTTGGTCATAGTGCATCCTCCTCTTTATAAGAGAAGAATCTTGACGTTTGATTGTTCACCACTTCGATCAACGGAGCGATTGAATTTTGGACTACAAACACTATAAGGATTAGCCACTTCAAGCACTCCTGTAATGCTCTATCCATATGGCACATAACTAAATTCAGCAATATTGAAGGGTATCTATTGCAGCTCTGAATTATTGGCTAATTGTTATGGACTTAAAATGATGAGACTTTCATTTTGAGATAGAACCAAAGTGAATAATGCAAAAATAAACATTTATAATAATATCAGAATTGAATCATAAATACTCATGCATTTTATTACGTAGATTGTCCATTCTTTTGTCCATATTCTCAATAGGTTTGGCTCTGATTGCAGTTCTAATATCTTGAACTCTTTGTTTATTGATTAGCATTGAGAGACCATTCAAATATTTGACCAATAAATCCAGAGATCCATCGCTTTGTACATCAACATACTGCGGATCAAATTTGGGTATGATGATGTCATTAACTTCATAGTGACAAATGTAATACAAGAGTGTTATTCCAACAGATTGGGGAACACATTCACCATCACTATATTAGGAAGATCATAATTAGGAAATTTCTAGTTAATCAAGGATAAGTCTCTGTCGATTCTGATTGGCTCAGTGCTGTACTCTTTTTAGGTGCCTTCGTATTATTCACGATTGCAGGTGCTAACAAAAAGCAAATTCCTAAAGTGTTTTCCGAAAAAGGACTTAGCAAAAGCAGCGGTCTTGTCTCTATCCAAACTGGACCAGACTGCAACATCGAATCTGTCTCTGTATTTAATCATGAGGGAATCAAGAAAGAATTCTCTTCCTGGTCTCCAGATGATACTGTGATTTTCGTATTTGTCATTTGGTTTGATGTTGTCTAATTCCCTCCTGCGATCCAAATACAACTATTTGCCCAATCGTTCAGCGAGAAGAAGAGTTCGAGATATATCTGTGATCACTAGTATTTTTTTGTTCATTATGACAACTTAATGGTTTATAAAATTTATTTAATTTCACTTGTACTAATAGGTTTCTGTAAGAAATAGTCCATTCCAGCTTCTTTGCACAGTTATTTAGTTTGCATGTCAGTGTAGGCAGTTTGGGCAATGATGATGGGAGGATCCAAATCAACTGAATGACAGTAATCTATGATCAATGAGGTAGCTTGTATGCCATTCATGATGGGCATTTCGATGTCCATTAAGATAACTTAGTAATAATGCTGTTTGAATTTGTCTAATCCTTCTTTGCCATTGTGTGCCTGATCGCATTTAATGTTCAATCTCGAAAACATGGTTGTGAGTGCATAGATGTTAACAAATTCATCATCGACAATGAGGATCTTAACTCTATCTTCGTGTATTTCGATCGCAGTTTGATCAATCGGGGAATGTTTGCATTTTTTCGGTTTCTTGGTTTCCCTAAAAATGTACGGAGCACATATATTTTCATCAGGTTCAGAGAAATCTGTAATATGTATGATATATGGATTTACTTTCAGAATTCTTCTCGATTAATTTTTGTTTGCCTTTGAGAGAGAAGGTGAAAGAGGATTGTCTCTTCTTATCACTCGGACTAATAAGGAAACTCTATTCAAGTACACTTCGACCAGAACTTACAATCTTATTGTATTTGATGGTTCTTTTGCTGATTAAGTCAGGAGTCTCGAGCATCTTGAGATCCTCCAAATAGAACCAGAAGACTGACCCATTTTGATTGTTGGACTCGAAATGGATTCCAGATTCATAATTAGGGGATAAGCCATTGCATATACTATTACTGATCATCAAACCCAACCCATAATTGAAATTGGACTATCGTTTGTGTGGCTAATTTAGGAATTCCTTGAGTTTGGATTGCGTTTCAGAATTCATTCCTGAACCTGTATCTGAGACACTGACTTTGACATAGACCTGATCTCTTGCGATCTATTCAGTGAGAGTGATGGTGATATTGCCAGTGAAGGTGAATTTTTGAGCATTGGAGAGCAGATTGTTTAAGACTTACTTGAAACGTTGGCCATCAGTGTGAATATATATTTCATTCATCTTGATGTTCAATTCGACTCCCTTCATGGTCAATTGTTGTCGATACAAGTCAGCGACTTCGTTGATGAGTAGATAAACATTCTGAATCTGAATAGTGAAGATGAAGTTTTTGGAGAGAATCAAACTGAAATCTCGGACATCCTACACTATTGAATTGAGAATGTAACAACTATTCAGAATGGGCTAGAGGATATTGTTAACTACATAATCGTCATCGATGTCTTCGATGGCACTTTCAGCTAGTATCCTTATGCAATTGAGGGAAGTACTGAATTCATGACTGAAACTCCTAAACAATTGGTTCATCAACTGTTTAGTTATTTTGCATTCCCAATATTCTTTGCATTCGTAGAGATCTACAAAGATCATGCCCACATTGTCATTGTAATTGATGAGTTCAATCATGTAATGATCACCGAAGGCAGCAGAACAATCCAAGATCTTACATTTCGGTTGATGAGCATTGATCATCTCCAATAAATTCAACATTTTTCTCTCCTTGATTTGTTTGTCCACTTTGCGAATGATTATTTCATTAATTATCTACTAAACTATTATTGGATCATCGGAACCCAATAATTTCTTAATGTCTTCGTTGCTCGATATCACCTTGCCTTGATGAGTGACTATCAAGTGGTATTGTTCATTGTGACCTATTATCAAACTATCCGAGGGATTGTTCCAAGTTTTTGAGTAACTTCGATTCTTTGAAAGCTTTGCTGTCTTCTCTGTTGTTGTGCTACTGCTCGATAACCACACTAGGGTTACCAAGCAGCATGCGATTAAAGTGTGATCATAACTGAACTCCAACTTAACACTTGCAATGACTCCAGCAAAAGGTAGACATAAAAACACCTTTTTAGGATGTTAATGATTTTAGAGCGGAATGATATACAGCAACCTTTTGGGAATAATGGATAATACATTTCGCTTATATGTGTATTTGCCACAGTTCTTAACGTATTCGCTATTAGAAGCAGTACAAGCATATATAATTGATTATTCTTTATCCGTCTATTTTTAATTCTCAAAAGACACCATAAACTCAATATCGGCAACGATGAAAACATAGTATACAACTCATAGTCCGTTTACAACTCAAATAAACACTCAGCAACTGTTGCACAACAAATTCCGAGAATATACAAAAAATCTATAATGATCATATTTATTCTAAAAATTAATTCATTTAATAGAAATGTCATGATCAACAATTAAATATTTGAAATTATTCAATCCTACTAATTCTTATTTTACAATACTTTTATTTATCAATCCTAACACACACACACATGTAAATCATGCTTCGAGAATTGCCAATCATATTTTTACAAATATTGTAATAATTTAATTAACATAAAATCACAACTGCAATTGCCATTAAGTATAAAGTTTAAAGTTGTCTCTCTGCTCCTCCTCCACCTCTCTTATCAACGTAGACAACTATTTGATGTTCTGCATAAACTTCTATTTCACATAGTACAATCGGAAGGAAACCTTCGTTTGCGTGTTCTCCATGCTCTCCAATTCCGGTGGATTCACGGTGCATCCCAGCTATTCATACACCTCGTAGATGGCCCATTGCAATTGGATTCCCACCTGCTGATTCTGTTGCTTTATTAAAATCAACAATTTCATTAGCTTTTACTACTGCACCTCCTTGCAATAAGGAACCAGCAGAGATTGAACTTTGAGATACTAAACCAAGGTCTCTTCCTGAATGGTTGAAAAGATCTATTGGATAATTTTTAAATTGTTAGTAAAAATTTATTCCGCGCTATCTTTCTTATTAGGATCAAGAAGAAAATACAATCGTTGAAGCAAAAATATTTGTTTATAATCATTCGACTGTCCTTTTAACTTATCGTATACAATCTACTTGAGTTGATTATCAGTGAACTTATTGAGTTACAAATGAAGCGCTAAAATTTCATAATGTTATTGCTCAATCAATTCACAAATGTATGTTTGAGGAGACTAAGTGGCTGTTAAGAAAGCATGTATTAATTGTAATGACTTGTAGGGGGGCTCGCTCTTTAGAAATCCTAAAATGAAATCAAAAAATAGATGATCACAATCCACATCTGACAAACATGAGAATATTTGTTAGATCTTGCCATAATATTGAAATCCTTCCGAAACCAAAAACTCACCCAATATTTGTATTATGTTTTCCTCATTCAAATCCATGAACAAATTATAAAAAATATATATTTAATTCTAGTTCAAAATGAGAATGTTTAAGTACAATGATATCGCTATTAATTGTATTCTAATGTTAAATATCAGCAATCAACCGAAGAGCTCCATCCCATGTAGAAACTATGATCAGCAACCGATGGAATAAGAACAGAGTCTGAACAATTGGGATCCTCATCCAATTAGCATACAGTGTATGATGCTCTGTGATACCAGATCTCTCTATCAACGTGATTGAATCCAAAGTTTTATGGTGGAACCTAAATTTAAACCAATTCAAATTACATGTGGCACAACATCCTTCTCATGCACTACTCTGAAATGAGTCACTTTAGTAAATGAGGAGAAGTAATTATAATAAGCAGTGTCACCAACTCTTGGTAATCCGAAAGTTGTTAATTGAAGCGAATTTCCAGCGATTGCTAACTACGTAGCATATAAAGTAGCCATAGCAGCTCCCAAAGAATGACCAGTAACGTGAATGACGGCAGTTGGATACATTTTTCTGTACTTGGCAAAGAGGGTGTCAAGTTATGGCTCTAGGGAATTGAAAGCCTCAAGGAATCCCTTGTGAACTTGGCATTTGCAGGCATCATTATAATTCACCTTGTCGAATTGGATGTTGTCCAACCAGTTTTAGATATTGCTTGAACCTCTGAAGACTACTGTTATGGCATTGTAAGTGGGGTTGAAAGCGATATATCCTTTTGTTCCCTAAAATAATAAGTCTTTATTTTCTTACTTAGATGATATTTTCAAAGACTTGAGGATTTTAAATATTGGGATAGTTGCCACTTACGTAGCCCAATTTCCAATTATTTATAGCTGAATTAGGACAATAGGCAGCAAAAGAGAGAGCAGCCTCCTCTTTAGCCAAATCTTCATTATAGATAAAAGTTGCGCTGACTGTGGCTGCCAAAACAACCAAAATAACAGATGATGATCTCATTAGATTTTATTATTTTATTTATACAGAATAATTCAAATCAAACTATTTATATATT